CGACAATTGTTGCGCAGAGCCAGGTTCTGGACCGGACTGCGACTGGCGGATGGTGCACTGAAGAGTTTGGTCTGTAGTCCCCTTTTACTTCCAAATAACTTCTCTATGCTGTTTGTTAGAGAAATAAAATTGTGTACAAAAAAAAAAAAAAAAAAATCCAGCAGAGGCGGCGTCCATGCGCGTGGTTCAGAACACACACGTCGACAACTCCACCCCTCGCGTTCTGTACTCTGACGGATCTCTTCTGAGCTCAGGAACACCGGAAGTATCATAGGCCTTTGGAGTGGTGGATCTCATTCAGGACAACCCTCTGACGGTACAAGGACGAACGGATGGCCACGCGTCCTCGGCCAAGGCCGAGCTCATGGGTTTATTAGTTGCAGTCTTGTCAGCACCTCCGTGTCAAGAAAGCAGACCAAGCAATAGAATGAAGTAGATAAAGAGAACCTTGATCAAGGGCTAGGAAACGAGTACGAGAAATAGGTTAAGGCGTATGTTATATTGGCGATACCAAGTAAAGATCTATAGATTTATTATCTAAAGCCCTTTTATATTTGTTAGGGCGAAGTCACAAGAGCAAGCTCTTGTCTCGTGACAACCTCCCCTCTAGGGCCGAGTTCCAAGAGGCCTTTGGCTGGGTTTGTGAGGGTGTTGCAGATGGAACTCGCGAACAAGGTCCGGGGAATTCTTGACACAGGCGGCCGGTTCCCAGGTTCGTTCGGATACGAGGTAGCCTCTCCAATGTATATAAAGTGCTTCACAAAAGTGTTCAACCAAAACACGATTTTGCCGTTTTTTTTGAAATGCTCATTCACCAATGTTCCAGCCGGCCCCCAGATTCCAGTCATTCATTCTCTTGAATCGTAACCCCATTCACCACCACTTGCTTTTTTTTGCATGGACCGACATTGGATCATCGCCGGAATTGAAATGCCTAACTCTGCTTGAACAGTTAAATGGATTACATGCATCACGATCTCCTTTTTCAACTTGCGGAGTCTTCGTAGTTTCTTATTACCTCTACATTTTAATGAGTTACTTCCTCAATCTTATATGACATTGTGTCAAGGTTTGGAGTTCCTACTTATAGTCTTTTGTATGTGACTTATATGCATGATTTTACATGGGTTTAGCACGTATTTAGCTGTTTTTTTAATACCACAAGCTCAATGCACTTTTAACAGGCAAACTGAGAGCTGGTCCATGTGTAGAACATGTTGTGGATCAGCAACATAGAAAAGGTATGGGATTACCGCAACGTTAACATGAGATATCACTAAAGTAAGTATTGTTACATGGAGTTAGCATGACTTTAAATCCTGTCACGGTATTACACTTCATTGAGAGTAACTGGTTTCTTATATTAAAGACTTCTAGATCCCACAACATGTTCTACACATGGACCAGCTCTCAGTTTGCCTGTTAAAAGTGCATTGAGCTTGTGGTATTAAAAAAACAGCTAAATACGTGCTAAACCCATGTAAAATCATGCATATAAGTCACATACAAAAGACTATAAGTAGGAACTCCAAACCTTGACACAATGTCATATAAGATTGAGGAAGTAACTCATTAAAATGTAGAGGTAATAAGAAACTACGAAGACTCCGCAAGTTGAAAAAGGAGATCGTGATGCATGTAATCCATTTAACTGTTCAAGCAGAGTTAGGCATTTCAATTCCGGCGATGATCCAATGTCGGTCCATGCAAAAAAAAGCAAGTGGTGGTGAATGGGGTTACGATTCAAGAGAATGAATGACTGGAATCTGGGGGCCGGCTGGAACATTGGTGAATGAGCATTTCAAAAAAAACGGCAAAATCGTGTTTTGGTTGAACACTTTTGTGAAGCACTTTATATACATTGGAGAGGCTACCTCGTATCCGAACGAACCTGGGAACCGGCCGCCTGTGTCAAGAATTCCCCGGACCTTGTTCGCGAGTTCCATCTGCAACACCCTCACAAACCCAGCCAAAGGCCTCTTGGAACTCGGCCCTAGAGGGGAGGTTGTCACGAGACAAGAGCTTGCTCTTGTGACTTCGCCCTAACAAATATAAAAGGGCTTTAGATAATAAATCTATAGATCTTTACTTGGTATCGCCAATATAACATACGCCTTAACCTATTTCTCGTACTCGTTTCCTAGCCCTTGATCAAGGTTCTCTTTATCTACTTCATTCTATTGCTTGGTCTGCTTTCTTGACACGGAGGTGCTGACAAGACTGCAACTAATAAACCCATGAGCTCGGCCTTGGCCGAGGACGCGTGGCCATCCGTTCGTCCTTGTACCGTCAGAGGGTTGTCCTGAATGAGATCCACCACTCCAAAGGCCTATGATACTTCCGGTGTTCCTGAGCTCAGAAGAGATCCGTCAGAGTACAGAACGCGAGGGGTGGAGTTGTCGACGTGTGTGTTCTGAACCACGCGCATGGACGCCGCCTCTGCTGGATTTTTTTTTTTTTTTTTTTGTACACAATTTTATTTCTCTAACAAACAGCATAGAGAAGTTATTTGGAAGTAAAAGGGGACTACAGACCAAACTCTTCAGTGCACCATCCGCCAGTCGCAGTCCGGTCCAGAACCTGGCTCTGCGCAACAATTGTCGCTGCTCTTCACAGCTTAAACGGAAGAAAATAAAACTAGATACGAATGAAGGGGATTCTTCCCATCCTCTCCATCATTGACAACCTCCTCCTTCCTAACAAACTCTCCAACAACCGCTCGTCAGCAGCGCGTGGGTCCTTGGTCGCTCCAGGGCACCTTCCTTCACAATGTGTGGCTAGCGAAGCGCCTTTTTTTTTTTTTTTTTCGTACACAATTTTATTTCTCTAACAAACAGCATAGAGAAGTTATTTGGAAGTAAAAGGGGACTACAGACCAAACTCTTCAGTGCACCATCCGCCAGTCGCAGTCCGGTCCAGAACCTGGCTCTGCGCAACAATTGTCGCTGCTCTTCACAGCTTAAACGGAAGAAAATAAAACTAGATACGAATGAAGGGGATTCTTCCCATCCTCTCCATCATTGACAACCTCCTCCTTCCTAACAAACTCTCCAACAACCGCTCGTCAGCAGCGCGTGGGTCCTTGGTCGCTCCAGGGCACCTTCCTTCACAATGTGTGGCTAGCGAAGCGCCTTTTTTTTTTTTTTTTTCGTACACAATTTTATTTCTCTAACAAACAGCATAGAGAAGTTATTTGGAAGTAAAAGGGGACTACAGACCAAACTCTTCAGTGCACCATCCGCCAGTCGCAGTCCGGTCCAGAACCTGGCTCTGCGCAACAATTGTCGCTGCTCTTCACAGCTTAAACGGAAGAAAATAAAACTAGATACGAATGAAGGGGATTCTTCCCATCCTCTCCATCATTGACAACCTCCTCCTTCCTAACAAACTCTCCAACAACCGCTCGTCAGCAGCGCGTGGGTCCTTGGTCGCTCTAGGGCACCTTCCTTCACAATGTGTGGCTAGCGAAGCGCCACACGGACAGAAACCATCGTGCGTGATGTAACCGTATCTTTGACTCCAGTCACCTCTGGGGCCTGTGTATTTGGATGTCTTGTCCTTGGCAGAGATACCCTGGCTTTGTTCCCACGCGATCGTCGCGGAGCACCGAGGTTTCCAGATCAGCTCCGAGGCCTGCGCTTCCAGGTTGTACGTCGACCCTGCCTAAAAAAAAAAAAAAAAAAAAAAAGGATAAGGATAAGGAAGAAAAGAGAGTGGGAATGGAGAAAAAAAGGGATAGGGGTGAATATAGGGGTGGCAATTTACGATATTCAAAAAGTAATAGGTCAATATGGCCGAGCGGTTAAGGCGTGTGACTCGAAATCACATGGGTTCTCCCGCGCAGGTTCAAATCCTGCTGTTGACGCTATCTTTTGCCCTTTCTTGCTTTGATAGTTGTACGAGCATAATTTTGGTGGTTTGTCGGACCACGGCTGGCGAGCCTGTAAGCCATAAATCCTGAGTGCGTAGGATGAAGATATTCTTACAGCATGTCAGATTAACCAACATGCTTTTGGAGATATGTCAAAATATTTTTTTGTAATGTCAGAATTAGTTGTCAGAATAGCTGCTGTGTTCCCATACAGTTAACGACGTTGAGAGCTTCCCGTTGGCTTTGACAAGACCACCGTGACCGCGTGCATGTTTTCTTTCCTCGACACGTCCGTCTCAATGCTGTCAGAGGTGATGGTAAGACTAAAAATTAAATTTCAGGGAACGGTTCACTTTAGAAAGGGTGGCTGCATTTGAGACATGTCAGTGGAAAAAAGGTCCATAAGGATCACAACCAGTGGATGGTATTGTGCGAGACATGGAATTGGGCGGAAATCGTGCAGATCACACACGACAAGGAAAACCCAATAAGAAGAAATAAGTGCCCGCGTATGTGCGCCGCTTCACCCTTTTACACTCAGTTTATGCCTTCCCCTTTTTACAACTCCTAAATAGTTCAAAGTTAAAGTCGAGGAGTTTTTTTTTCTAACAGTTCTTTTAGTTAAACAATATTAAACAATGGTGGTATAGATGTATGTATTGATGCTCAATATTTCTATGAATATTCATTCTTCCTCATCATCCTGTTCCTCTTCATCCTGTTCCTCTTCATCCTGTTCCTCTTCATCCTGTTTCTGTTCATGCTCATCGTCCTGTTTCTTCCCTTTGCCTTTGGTCACCTTCTCCCTCCCTTGCCCTTCGCGTGCATGTTTTTGACGTATACAATATTCCACACTCCTGTATCCTCCTTTTGTTGTTCAGGTTCTTGATTGTGGCGCCAGAGAGTGTTGTTGGTAGTCCCTGGGCTTTCCTTTCTGCAAGCAATTTGTCGTACCGCTCAAGCTCCTCAAATACAGCCTTTGTGTTGGTGGGGTAATTGTTCCTGACAAACCAGTCCCCGACTGGCACTGCTGCCTGGATACTCGTTAATGCTGCTTGATCTCCTGAATCATTTGGCTCTGTACTGCTGCGTTCTCTCTCTGTCGTTCTGAAGGACGTGGGCAAAACCCCTAACGGCCTGGACCTGGATCTCCGGGTCTTATGTATTGGTGTTGGTGGCGTTTGAACAGTTGACAAAGCTGGTCGAATAGCTTGAAGTTGGTGATTGCCGGGTTTGGAGGATGGTGGCCGCCGCAAACCAGGATGTAGGTCGTCTGTGTATGTTGCTGATGCTGGAAAGGCGGAGAGGGGATTGGCGCCGGCATTCTGTGACCGAAGAAAGGTTGAATTCCAGCGAAATAAGGCTGGAGCCCAACAGGCGGCGGTCTATCAAGCGTTTTCTGTATCTCGTCCAACCCATCGTTCACCCAGTTGTTTTGGTCGCGCTGGGCCGTGAAACAATCTTCAAAGGCATCCAGCCTCACATGGATGTCGGCCAGTGCTCGCTTGATATCTGCAACTTCATTTGCTTGCGCCGAGTCCCAGGTCTGGAGTGCCATCACGTTGGGCGGAAGATCGGTGGGCACGTCTATCTCATGCCGCTTTAGAGACATCATAACGTTCTCCTTGAAGGCATCAAACATCTGACTCTCGAACACCTCAGGACTCTTCTCCAGCAGCGGCGACAGGGCTATATCAGGGTATCGATAGAGATATTCGGCAGCGTCCTGCAATAGAACTCGGCGTAAACGGAGCATCAGTCGCAGCACATGCTTCTTGTTGGAACGTTGCGCCAGAGCGGTCGCCTTGTTCATCTTCAAGGGGTTGGGGTTGGGTTCAAACGCGTATGGCTCGACGTCGTCCAAGTTATCGCTGTTGTTCGGGTCGAATTCCTGCATTTCCAAATCGCACTCTTTTCTCCACAGTTCATTCTCACGGGAACCGGGGTCCCCAATTGCCTTTTCGATAAACGGAAATATGAGACGTTGCAGTACGAGGGATGGAGCGACCTCATTCCGCCGGAGATGAAAGGGCTTGACGGAAAACCCTGCCATGGCCAAGGCAAAGGTGATGGGTTGCTTTTCCAAGTACACTTGGTGCATCTTGCCGGTCCCTTGCACCCAACGCCCGCCAGTCCGAATGTCTTCTTCCGCAATCTTCAACCTCACTGCTTCCTTGGCTCCGCTGTGGCGTCCAGAGTGGGTAATGTTGGTGCAGGAGACATGCTGTGAATTGAGCACAGAAATTGTAGTATCCCGAGCTGTGCTGTACACCATAGGAACTTTCTCGCCCTGTCCAAGCACCTTTACTGCGGTCCATTCGGGGTCATACATATCAAGCCACGGTTCACCATTAACCTAAAAAGCAATAAAGTTTTGTTAATAAAAGAAGAAAGACATGGACTGAGTGTCTTCAAGCATAGTTCCAAAACAGAGACGTGTACCTGGAATCGTTCAAACATGTAAAATGCAAAAGCACCGACGCTGCACCGACGAACATCGGTATGTCGCACGGCCATGCCAAGTTGGACATCCCCAGTTGTGTTTGACTTCCCTATTCTCATAGAAAAGACCATCGCCACCACTTCCTAAGTTCCTCCAGGTTGCTTTACAAAGGTGTCCATCGAGCAGTCGGAAATATCCAGAAAACGCACATTCTCGTCCCTCAACAGCATACTATGTCGTACCACCAGTACAAAGTGCTCCCGAATCATGATACTGCGACCGTTGACAGGTTGCCGCCATGCATAGAGCAAGCATCGGATATGCTCTGCGACAGTGTAGTAGTTGGTGGCGTTGCTGTTTGTTGAAACATCCCGGCCTGAACAGATCAGTTCCCCGTTTTCATCCTTCTCAACATGCTCGACGCGAAGGATACCTCCCACAAGACTTCTGTTATACCCCTTCATAGAGTCCGCGATGGCTTTGTAGGTTCCCATTAATTGTGAGGTGTTGGGCTCTGTTGACCGTGCTTGCTGTAGTTTTTGAAGGGTATTCAGGGCAGCATAGCCATGCTCAATTTTGCTGTAGGAATAAGGAGTGTATATTGTGCGCCGGCCGACTGATAGTAGAGACACTCGTCCAGCAGCCTCCTCCGCGTCCACATCTAGATAATTGAAAGAAGAGTCTTTAGAAAAAACAAATACTCGTTGTTCTTTTTACATATAATTGACCTTCTAAATTATTTCGAAGTAAAATATGAACTTACAACGGGCAAGGTTAACGGTTTCCGTAGCTCCCTCGATGGGAACTCGATTTGATTCAATAGTTTCCCGATCCAGACGGACACATCGCGTTGCATTCGGTCCAATATGTTTGGGTATCCGTTGCGCGAACAGGTATCGGAGATAGGCAAGGGCCTTGCGAGGGTCCACTTCGTAGCGCCTAAACGCCTCGCTGCTATAATTATCATTGCAGAATTTCTAAAGCAAAGATGGTTAACACGTTGTGATCGCAGAAGTGAGAGTGAGAGAAGAACAAAAAAGACGCATGGAAATACCTTGTAGTCTGTGAAAATAACTCTGTAGGCATCTCTTGTTTTGTCGGCGAGACAAGTGGAACTACTCTGCATATTGGCTACAAGTTCCTCTTCCATTCGACGAGCCGCATTTAATGCTTCTTGACGGGAATCCTGCGATCCACTCCGCTGAGGTTCTGTCTTCTGATGCGACAACATAAAAGTGTCATGCACCAGCTCTTTGGCCGCCAATCGATATTTTTCTATTGTAATTGCGGTAAGAACTTGGCATTAGCGACTCATGTATCGCTGCCACAACTCTCATGCTAAATGGAAATCCTTGTATTGCACTTGGAACATACCTTCCGAAGTCAATTTGTTATTTTTAACAGGGGGTTCAGACTGAAGTATCATCTCACTCACAGACCGTTCAGAACCGGAAACAGACGCATTTTCATCAGCGTCGTCGCATTGATCGTCTTCGCTCTCATATTCATATTCATCCTCACCAAGAGTAGAGGCCCTCTCCTGTGCCACTTCTAAGTACGTTTTTTCTCCACGAGAGCGTAGTTAGCAAACATTTCATTGTTAAACATGAGGCCAGAGATATTCCACTATTGATCTTGTTTACCTGTTATTTCGCGATTGTTGCGGTTTTTGTGCGCGCGCCTCTTAGGGGTAACCTTGACTGTAACACTGGCACTGGAGGCACTGGCTACACTAGAAGCACCGGTACTGGCACTGACGGTATTGGCAATGGGGGCATTGACACTGGGAGCACTAGCTCTGGGGGCATTGGCAATCTTAATGGATTTGGCAGTCTTAGCTCCCTCGTCTCGTAACTGGATGCCAGCAAGACCAGCAGCCTGCTAGGCGAAGTCATCACTGACAACAGCACCTTCGGGATCGGCATCTGGACATCAGTGAAGGCAAGTATCTGGAAGGGAGTGCCAGTCGGCTACCTTTAGGGAGATGCATGGACTCTGCAACGACGCGGCAGCAGCGGTAGCGGGACTCTTTTCAGCAGTTTGGCTGGTTGGCTTCTCATCTGGTTCTGGATGGGGATTCCTGTTGAGTTTTTGTCCCGGGGTATCCCCATCCAGATGAAAAGCCAACCAGCCAAGCTGCTGAAAAGAGCTCCGAGGCCACTGTTTGCCTGAGTCTCATTGTTCATGGCTCTTGGACGTCCTGTCGGAGACGGCGCCTGTACAGATGCTTGCTAGCCAGTGCACAGCTAACCGGTTTTTTCTCTCGTTTCGTTTTCTATTCATTTATATACACCAGGCCTACTCCCACCGCGCTAACTCGACATGGACCAAGTTCCCAGGCTCATAGGCGTTAATAATATGCGCCATCCTTCGAGATCCTCAAGGATCGTGGGGCTCCAAACTTTAGATGCGTTATCCTGAGAGCCCGGACGTTAGGACAGTACTCTCCCAGGATCCGAGCCAGAAACGAGCCAACCTGGTCATCGATCAGTCCAAGAATGAGTGGTTCTAGGGCCGGGAATGCGCAAAGAAGGGTATGCGTAGCAATGTTTGTCCATTGCCAATTGACTTGAAGTTCAGGGGTCTTGACATTGGGGCAGTGTTGGCAGTGTAGATATCGTCCTTAAATCAATCCGGCGGCCTTGGCTTTCTGTTCTTCCGTCATATGTGGAATAGATTGATCCAACATGGCCCAAGGTAAAGACTTTTCCTCCCCCGTCTGTGGGGGAGCAAGTTCTTCGTCCGCTTTCTGAGGGGTAAGTCCGAGTAGCAGACTGAACCTCCGCCTCCTGAGAAGCTGGCTGGTCCTCCAAGTCTACAAGATCACTCCACTCCAGGTTCATAGGCGGCGCCTCAAGGAAACTCGTATTAGCAATCCACCTCCCCAGCAGAACTTCCTCAAAGCTGTCGGCATTATTACTCAGGATATGGTGCAGATAAACAGAGTTCAGAATCCAACCCACCAAGCCAAGCGTACGTAGGTGACGCCAACGGAAGAGGGCCATGTGATCCTCTGGGCTTTGACGAAGATAACCTAACCGCTTCCAATACACCACCTTCAGACCTGGGTTCGCCTCGATCAGCCGCCCGATACACGCGACGTTGGCGGTAGAAGAGAGGCGAAGTTCCTGGAGCCGGGTAAAGTCGAGGTATAAGCTGCTCCACGGGGCGGGCTTTATACTTGTGCTGGTGGATTGTCAGATCAAGGTAGCGCCCTTCTCGATTCTACCAACAAGGAAAGCATGAGTCTCCCTTTCTCTGTATCCATTTTTCTTATCCTTTCCTCTCCTTATCATCCGGTTTTGGCACCATGAATGAAAAAGAACGCCTTAATTTATCTCCTACGTCCTCAATAATGAGCCTACAAATACGAGAACAGTAGGTTGTGAGCGTCCAGTCGATTTTCTTCAGTGCCCAGCTCATTTCCGTCACTGGTAGTTTCTCGAGAAGGTGGTTTACTGGGTGAGATTTGTTTGACGAGAAGGTGGAGTTTGGTGACTAACAGTTGAAGGGATATATCATTCGCTCTACTCTGCGGTACACGTGGGAAGATTTTTACAATGAGAAAAAAAAAGCAAAGTCAAAATTGACCTACTGAAAGTGCTCACAAAAAGAGGAGGAGGGAGAGGACGACAAGGAAGGAGATGTCCAATGGTTGAAACAAGTGGCGAGAACATCAGGTCCAGTTGGATATTTGTCATTCAATTGGCGCTCGCTCTCTTTCCCTCTATCGCACTCAATTTTTCTCAAGGAACACAAATGGTTGTCGAGCGACGACAATCATTCCTTGTTGTCGAGGTGGCAAGGAAGGTGTTGAAAGAGGAAGAAGAAAGAAGTGAGGATTGTTTCCATCTCTGTAGTCTGGACATACAAATTATACTGCAACAAAGTGTTAGCCCTTTGCCGATTTGATTGACTCGTACACATCGTCCAGCGAGCATTAATGTAAGGCCCAAGGAAAAAACCTTAAAGTGAGAAGAGAGTGAAGGGACAGACTGGATAAGTTATGGATTGGATGAACACAAACAAAAGATATCGATCCACAATATAGTCTACAACAATCTGCCTCCCTTTCCTGGAATTCTAAGAAGGCAAAGGGGTCCGATGTATTGTCCAACCACGCATGACCCCTGCCCTCTCAATAATTCTATTTTTCTGTTCGTTTTTCGGTACACGGGTTTTATGCAGAGAGTAATAGAATTGGGTCGAGTCCAAGTGGTTCAATTTCTTATTAGTCCTCTCTCTCTCTTTCTCTCTCGTCTCCTATTAGCCCTAAAGATGTTCCTTCTGAATGTTCTTTAGAAGGTTCAACAGTGACAAATTTGGTTGGTCCAAAAATAAACAGGAGACAAGCACCTGCTGAACAACGAGAGCCAACATGTCCATTCTAGATACAGACGATGTGGTCCACTCCCAAAAGCGGAAGTCAAAGACCCGGTGGGCAGACCAATCCTACCACTCTTGTATTCCCCTTTCAATCATGCGCTCCAGGTTAATGACCCTTTTTACCACTTTAGCACACCCCCTCTCTCTTCTTCCATTCCTGTCTATCTAGAATATCCCTGGCAAGTAAAAACGAAACCTATCTGCAACGGCGCTTTTTTATTTTGTCTGTGTGTGTGAAGCCCAACCTTAGACCTATCTCTCGTCTTTCCAAACGTTCATGTGCGTTATTATTTGTGTCTATTACCTCGCCTCATTCTGTGTTCTGCTTTGCCTTACTTACCCCCTAGCCCAATTGGACTATCGGGTCTTTATAACTATGCAATGGAGACTTTTTGGCTGTGAACGACCGATAGCGAATGAAGGGGGACAGACTTCTGCAAAAAGGTTTGGTCTCCCTTCCTTCTTTACCTCGATTGAGATTACCTAGAGTGACACCAAAGAAACAAAACAAACAAATGACTTTTACACATTGCCTTTTTCGCATCCCTGGCGCTGTTGTATATTCCAGGCGAACAATTCTACATTCAATTCCGCTCAATGTTTCTTTGCATCTGTTCCCTGCTTTTCTACCACAACAATCAACAGAGGGAAAAAGAGATGAGAAAAGCAGGATAAGTAAGATGTATCAGCCCTTCTGAAAGAGTATTTTTTTTGTTCTTTCGTTCTGTTGCTTACCCATTTCTCTTTTCTCGGTAAGTTTTTTTTTCTTTTTTCCTGTGAACATTCCGTTCCTCATTTACCACGACAAATGAGATTCTATAAAACAGAAGTGCACAAGAAATTCGATTAAGAGTGAATAATGTTTTGTTCTCACCACTACGTTTACTTTACTGCTACTATTGCCCTTAGGAGAGGAAGGATGTAGTTTGCTGAACATTGGACCATGGTTACAAAAATGAAGGTTGGATGGTTTGATAGTCAGTTTTAACCTTTCAAACAGGGAAAAAAAGCGTGCACGCCATTTGAGAGCACAGACAGACGGCGAACCCTTCCGTGATTTCTATTTCATGGCTATTGTGTACATGTCCTGAGTGAAAGGGCAGTGGTGGCGTAAGGCAAGAGAGGGGGTGTGAACATATTCACTGAAGAGATATTCCAGGTAAGCAATAGACTCGAACTTTTATTTTTATTTTTTTATAGGGTTGCGAAATCCTCCTCCGAAGCAACCATCAACAAGCAAACAGGTGAAATCCTCTTTTCTCTTTCATTCCTCGGTGGACGTCGGGATGGACCTTGTTCCTTTTGGCTGCTCATCTCAACCCCAGTTGTTGTGAATAAGCGATCTGTAACCTGGCTGAGCGTTTAGGTTATCGGCGATAAAGCAGACATAAATAACTGATGGTGAAGGAATGGTCCTTACGTGTAGTGGTGGTGATGATGATGGTGATGGTTCGTAGTTTTAGAACAAAATGGAGGTGCCGTGGATCGAAGGAAATGAGAAAGCGGAGAATAGTATTTTTCTTTTAAAAAAAAAAAAGAACAATAAGAAAGCGAAGGGGTGAGAGGGAGAGGAGGGAGCCGATATCCCAAAAAAAGAAGAGAGGAACACAGGCTGACAGCCAAAAGCAGGAACAACTTTGCACCTGTGCCATTCTTTACTTGCATGCTGTGGCCAAATGCCAAATGGTGGGAGGGGGTCGTGTGGCCCCCTTAGCCTTCTTTTTCAATATAAAAATTAGAGTAAGGAAAAAAAAGCCCAATCGTAGACTAGCAGGGAAGGGGTCTGGATTCAATTCTTTGTTCAAAATAAATAAACTATTGGAGCTTTGAGCAGTTGCTAATCTAGTCTTTCGCTCTTTTCCTCGATAAACCCTCGGTAAAGGGGCAGAATCCAATCTCGGTAAAAACTTGTTCGTCGTCGTCCATCGTTGTCTTGTGTTGCGTGCTCACTCTCGACCAAACGTGATTGAGGTAAACGGATTATTATTCTCTCCTCTTCTTACTTTCTTTGTTCCTTAATATTTTCGCATCCTCTCTTTCTCTCTTCTTTCCTTCCTTCTCTTCCCCTCCTCCTTTCTACTCCTCCCTTTCCTTCTTTCCTTCCACAACCGATTTTTTTTTATCTGATCCTCCATCCTCCCTTCCCCTTTTCCGACGTCTATTTCGTTCCTCCTTCCTCCATCCATCCTTCTTCTCTTGACTCACTCATTCACTCATTCACTCATTCGTTCTCATTCTCTCTCTCATTCATACCTGCCTCCCTCATATCCCCTCCTTTATATACTCTACTCATCCTTCACTCTCTTCTACCAGTACTTCCTCTCTGTCCAACTGTCCATATTGTCCCAATTTGTCCTTTCACCCGTGTCTGCCCCAACCTACCCTTGCACAACACTCTCACTCGCACTCACATATCTTATTCCCTACTCACTCACTCGCCCTTATTCTCACTCTCACTCTCATACATAAGACATCCTCGCAATGACCAACCAGAGCATGATGGTCCCTCCAAATAACGCACCGTGGCCCGGTCTACAGGCGCCGACTCACAGTCAACCCCCAACTTCGCCACCAACCTACTCCCATGGCCATCCTCACCATGCCCACTCTTCATCATATCCCCCACCTTCTCCTTACTACCATCATCCTCCGCCACCGCCACACCACCCTCATCATGGCCCTCCTCCTCCGCCCCCTCATCATGGCCATCCTCCACCCCATCATCATGGCCCTCCTCCTCCACCCCCACATCATTACCCATACCACCCTTACGGCGCACCCTATCCTCCTCCATACCCTGCACACTCGTCATCACACCCTCCCTACCATCATCCTCCACCTCACCCCTCTGGCCACCATCCACCACCACCACCTGGCTCCCACAACCCTTCCGCGCCATCTTCAATGTCAGCAACAGCAGCAGTAGCAGCAGAAACGCTATCTGAGTCAGCAAAGGCTATCAAGGCAAAACCAGCTACCAGCAGCAACAGCAAGGCCAAGGCCGGAAAGGCGGGCAGCGAGTCATTTGACAGCGCAAGCGCCTCTTCTTCAGCAACAGGAACTACCTCAGTCCCCAAGACGTTTCGATTCGAAGGAAGCATCTCGTCCGAGACCTTCAAAACCACAAAGTCGTTCGATCTCGCTGGGGTCAATATCCTCAACCGTAAGCCCATGGATGCTCGCACTGCCCTTGACAAGCTGCAGCGCCGGAGAGAGACCCACAACCGTGTTGAAAGAAAGCGCCGAGATTGTATCAACCAGGTAATGAAAAGGAACATGGTTTATCATCAATAATCTTCCTTGTTCTAGCCCGCTCTATTTTTTTTGGCAATTGCATTTGCGACTTGCCTTTATTTTTTCTACCTCCCCCATCCGACTTAAAAAGGCCTTCCTGCATCTTGCACCCTGCATTTACTCACGCACCGTTTGTTGTTGCTTCGAAGGATGCCTTTTCTAACCCTAGTCTACAATCAAACTTTCCCCTTCATAGTTGATTGACGATCTCACAAATCTGCTCCCTCCCAAGCATCTTGAGGAGGCCAGCTCAAAGTGCCATCGAGTCAATGTCCTTCGCGGTGCAGTGGCCCACATCAAGTTCTTGAGCGAGTCTAACTCTGGCCTAGCAATGACCCTTGATGCAGCCAAGAGCGAAGGCTTCAAGCTCCCCGAAGTCATCGATGTTGTCCCCTCTGCCACAGCCTCTTCTGACAGCAGCAGCGCGGAGACTGCGGACCAAGGCATGTCAATGGATGTCGATATGGAAGACAATGCCGAGGCAAATCCTGTCAAGAAAGAGGATGCCGACGACGACATGAAGGAAGCCAGCAGCAACGACACCCCTTCCCGAACATCTTCGCCCACCGTGTCATCCTCCTCTAAGCAATCCGCCTCAGCCTCTCCTCGATTGACACCCTCCAAGGTCCTGGGACACCCGCAGCTCGTTGTTACCGACGCCCCAAGTCCAAAGACCGAGCGCCCGTCCTACAGAGAAGCACTTGTGCCGCCACCAATTTCGATCAGCGCTGCCTCCGTTGACCCTTACAGTCTCGAGTCCCACCCTACTATCGTCACCTCGATCAGCGAAAGCACTACGCCTGTCAACCCCGCCTTCCCAGCTTCGCCCAAGAGTAACCCATCAACCGCTTCCTCCTCTCCACGTCAGGGGTCCTTCCAGACTAAGGATAACAGCAGCAAGCAGCAGCTTCAGCAGCAACTCTCGCCGTTCATGAAGACCATCTCGATGTCGACCTCCCCTTCACTTCCTCCTATCTCCTCATTGGCCAGCCTCAACATCCAGTCTCCAGCCGTACGTGTCGAGGGTACTTCTGGTGAGAGGCACTTTCAGGTGCGTCCTGGCTCTCCTACCCTCCGCGCTGCTGCAATTCCATCGAGTTCCAGCAATCACAAGATCGGTCCTACCCAGCGCACCGGCCCTACCTTGCCACCACTGAAGATCCCTGCTCCTCAGCATCTCCACCCATCTTATAAGCATTCTACCCATGACAGCAGAGCCAACAACCACAGTGGCCCCACTCTGTCCCCTAACCAGCACGCTACCTCGCCGTATCTTCAGCGAGGCTCCGAAGAAGAACAACACCCACAGCAACCTCCTGTCTCGCCCTTCATGCTGTCGCCCCTGATGTCTCGCTCTCCTTCCATGGGTCCGCTTTCAGCGTCTTCTGCAGGAACCTCGCCTTACCCCCATTGGGGCCATGAGGGTCCAGAGGGTGCTGCCGCTCCTCCTCCACCACCACATCACCAGGGACAGTACTTGCCACCCCACGGCTACCCTCACGGCTACCCATACCCTTACCCTTACCATCCCTCCTATGGTTACCCTCACCACCCCCCTCCTCCTCACCACCACCATCCTCATCACCACCACGCGCCTCCTTCGCCCCACTCTCCTCAGCAGCGGCCTACTTCGCCCTACCCTGCTGCTGCGACCGCTCCAAGACCTGAACCCATCTTTATCCAAGAGGAGCCCTGGAATGTACAGCGCAAGCGTAGCACATCTGGCACCTCTGGAAAGGCTCAGTCCGGAAAGCAGCAGTCGTCGGCTGCCAACGCTACCAAGAAGGCCAAGGAGGGTTCGGTGATCCGTGAGGCGAAGGAGGAAGAATCAACGCCCGTGTCGCCTGCTTCTTCGGTTGCTTCAACAGTATCGTCGTACCCTAGCCCCAACAACCGGCGTAAGCGGCCATCGCCTTCGTCGCATCACAAAAGTGGTAGTGGTACTTATGAGGGTATTGCTGAAGAGTCGGCCATCAAGCGTGTTCGCCAGCACGACGAGTCGTCGTCGTCGCCTCGATTGGAATCTAGCCAGAATGGACAAGATCACCATCAGAGTAGCAGTAGCAACAATGACGAAGACCGCCTTCAGCAGCGCGATAGTGGAATTGTTGTCGTGGTCGTCAAGGCCGACGAAGACCATCACAGGCACTCTCACACTCATCCCCTTAGCCCCGCGACCTCTTCACACCATGAAGAGATGGCTGTTGACCAGGGCGGTGAACACCACCAACATGGCCACCACCACCACCGCGATGCTGCGCAAGCCCTGACCTCTCTCTCGCAGAACGCTGCATAAGCTTAACACAGCGCATGCACCAGCACCAGCACCAGCCAGCACCCCTGTTTTTCTTGTATTTTTCCATGTACAATAGTTTTTTCCGAATTAAAAAAGAATAACCATATCTCATCATTCGTGTACGTGTACGTGTACGTAATGGCTGGCGTCTTTATTTAGTGCCGGATTTTGTTTTGTGGTTTGGTGGTTCGGAAGTGGACAATAGAAAAATAAAAAATATTGTGTGCAGGGACTATGTAATAATGCTTGCTTTAGTTCGCTTTGTTTTTTTGTATGGATTTTCTACTTTTAGATCATGAGGAGACCTGCCAAGAAGACAATGACCAACGCCAGCCTTGACTCAACACCTGCAGAAGAACCACTCGAAGGCTTTCCTGTAGGTTGCAATTGGAAGGTTCCCCGGGTCGATGTCGAAGTCTCCGAGGTGGTTGTAGCAGCGTCGGTGGTTGTTGTTGTGGTGGTGGTGGGAGACAATGTAGGGATGGGAGTGGTTGGTTCGACGGTCGGGGTGGCTGCAGAGGGGGTAGGAGGGACTGATGGTTCTGTGGTGGGGAGGGAAGGAGCTGTTGCTGAGGGGGAAGAAGGGCTTTGTCCTCCTCCTAGGCAGGATCCACCGAATCCTACTTGGCAGCCTGCTCCACAGTACGTCTCTCCTGGCCCACAGAAGCCCTAATGTTTTCGTTACAAAAGGAAGTGAGGTTTCATTAGTAAGGGTCGATTGGAAGGCGTTTGGACAGGAAAAAGGGTCCTTTTGTCCCTGCGTGAATGTGTTAAATTGAATGTTATTGGTTTAGGAGAGAGGGCGAGTGAACTTACGGCAGAAGAACAGCAGTTGCCGTCAGTACAGGATCCGACTCCGGGTCCGCACTGGGCTTGGGCTGCGACGATCGACAAGACGCTGAGGCAGCAGAGGATGATGGCGATGAGTGCTGTTGTTGACCTGTGCATCTTACTATGTGTTATGGGTTGTGTGTTGTATGGGTTTGATTTGAATCTGTAGATGGGTTGGTTGTTGTATGGGTTTGATTTGAATCTGTAGATGGGTTGGTTGTGTCGACGTTGATGGTGTTGTTCCTGAAGAGTTCGATGATTCTGGTTGAAGTAAAAAAGTGTGAGAGGAGGAAGAAGGGAAGAAGGAAAAATAAAATTACCTCCAGGCGAGTCAAAAATAGAAAAGAGCCATCAGAGGGCTGTGTGCACGTGCGTCGAGCAAACACACGAAAAACAAAACAAAAAAGGGCGGGGCTGTGTGGATGGCATCGTGGCAAAGTCACTACTTATTGCTGTTGACATCATCATCATTACGGGATAATTATATTCTTTCTTTTGATAACAGTGCTTCGTTGGTCTATGGTGCTTTGTTGGTCTATGGTGCTTCGTCGATCTATGCTGCACTCAAACACGAAAATTGGAGGAACGCCAGTTCTACAAGATATCAATGGTGAACTTGTAGAAGAAAAAGAAGAGTATGAAGAAAAAGGAACAGTACAGGGCAAGGCTGGGGCAAAGGAACGAAAGGAATCCATGCACTCTCAATAATATTATGTGGTGCGCCTTTTTTCGATCCATTGTTAAGCACTTGTCCTCTTTCATCGCAAGTCAAAAAAAAGACAACATTCTAGACAAGGTCCACACCTGCTCGGCGCAATACAACACAAACACCACAAACAACTCTTCATTATAGAGCTGTCGACCTTGGGAATATGCCCTCTCCTAGTTCTGGGTAGCGTACCCAGCCCCCCTTGCCTCCTTCAAGAAAAGAGTGAGCTACCTCCATGCAGAAAAATGGATGCCTTGTCAGTCAACCCCCTTTCCTGTTCCTTTCCGTCTCCTTCAATTCTCCCTCTCCCGTTCCCTCTATCCCTTCAATTTTCTTTTTTCAGCCACTTGCACAGAAAACAGTAAATACCTCAGGCACCAGCCAAAGCATGCGCGCCATCTGCGCTGTAAGGAAGACGAAAAGAAAAGGCAAGCAGGGGGTGGTTCATACCATGCACAAACGCACACATGCAAACGCACACATACAGGCGGCGTGCAAGAAAAAGAGATACAGCAGATAAGCATGCAGGCAGACTGGTTCAGATAAAGAACACCATGAGTAAACATAGTCCCCTTCTCGTCTATTCCTTCCCTCACTTACTGCTCAAGCACGACAATCTTGACATCTTTACTGCATTTGAACGCCTTATGCGCACCAGCGGAAGCACAAGTGCAGTCGACACCTTCAATTGTCGGCAGAGAGAGTTTTCAATGCGTTGCCTGAAAAACACCGCACCAGTTTAGCGAGCCTGTTCGGCCACAATTCTTGATTGACATTCTTTTTATTCAAATTCTCAGAGAGGAGACATGGCGGACGGATCGAAAATATCAACAACAGCAAAAAAAAGGGTTGAATGTTGATGACAGAAGAGATTGGCGTAGAGATTGAGAGAGGGAGAAGACGAGTGAAAGGACATGTCCCAAAACGACAGATGCCAATCTGGAGGTGCCCGCTCCTCGTTTCTGCCTTCATGACGTTTGTTGGCCGTCGTTATGTCTCCGCTTGTTTTTATTCTTTCCCTGTTTTTCTTCCTCTCTGGCTCACGAGTCTCATCTTCCAGTCCACATTTGTTTTAATTTGTCGTATCTCTCAATCGACACGATTCCCACTGTACTCTTCCTATCTTTGTCCGCTTCTTCTCTGTCTCCAATACCCACCCTCTTCTGTCCCAGTCCACATCTTCTCTTCAAACGTCAGACAAAAAGCAAGTGCATGCATACCTATTCATTCTCCTTCAGCTACATAAACGCACTAAAATTTGTAAGTCCTCGTCTTCTCCTGGTAAGCCTTTATCTCCTCTCCTCTCTTTCCCTTCTCTTTTCTTTCATCTGAGCGATATCAATATCCCGTGGGATGAAGTGGATTGCTCTATATGATTTCAACCGCAGCATTTCCTCCGTTCCGTTCATCTATCCAAAATGGATCATCGAAGAAACCGGGGATAGAGACAATCTTTGTGCTATTCTCTATTTTATAATGTATGTTTCTATTCTTGCATCGAAACCACTAATGAATGCCTTGTCGTGGATACACTCCACTTCCTTCATCCCTTTTTTCCTTCCTCTCTTCCTCCCACTCACTCTCACACGCTCCCTTCCTCGTCTCTCTGTTACTTCTATCCACCCTTCGTTTCCATTCAATGAGTAGCGTGCTCCCTGTTCCTCAACTTCCTCAAATGGAAAAAAAATGCTCGTAGCCCTACACCACCTCCAGCAAATGCAGCCTCGTTTCGCTTTAGACGATCGTCGCTCATCAAACAATGGCCAATGCGCTTTGTTGATGTGTAAATGTGGGTCCAGAAGCATTTGTGTGTGTCATGGCTGACGTGTTCAGCACTTGAGGGCGAAGTCTTTATTTTGTGTACAATCAACAGATGCTAAACGCGTTAGTGCCATCTTTTGTTCCTTCCGGTCCCCATGATGTTTTTCACCCACGGGAGAAGACACCCGTTATCTGCTTTCTCGTTTTTATACCTCGCCTATTCTTGTTTCTTGTTTCTTGATTTCCGCGTTCTTTTCTCTTCACTCCTTTTCCACTCGAGACGGTTGTCAAATCTGTCGAAAAAGACAAGAACCTGCATATCCGTCTTCGAGAATACCACTTTTGTTTGTCTCAGGACCCCCTCTCTTCCTATCATCATCCCGTCCTCTCTTAGTCTCTTTTCCTCTTCACCATCTTTTCACTAATACCGTAGTTGTGTCTTTCCTTTTTAACATCGCTTTTCTCAATTTTGTTTCACCCATTGCCTCCGTCAGCGACTTTTGCCTTCAGATCTCTCCCTTCTTTGAAAACCTTTCTTTTTTTACTCTCTTTACTGAGCATATCACCTCCTCAGTCTGGTAAGTCAACTATCTCGCTTCCGTTCTCGATCCATCTCATTGCGATGCCTTCCAGCATGGACTGTCAGTAAGCTCAACCATAACTTCTGATCACAAACTACAACACATCCGTTCCTGAATGATCGATCACCCATAGGTTTCACCAAATCACAACTCTAATAATTTACAAGCACGATCACAAAGCACGATGATTAGATCAATGTCATCATCACCATCATCTGGCCACCGCGCCTCCTCCCCCCTCTCTTCCTCTCTCCGCATTTTATCCTTCCTCTTCACAACCGTCCTACTCCTCACTCTCTGCCTGCTCGTCTCACAAGACCTCCACGCCGCCGTTCAAGCCGTCTACCGCGACAGCACCACATCCGACTCTACTATCAGTGGCGCTGGCAGTAGTGATACCTCTGACAGACTCAGCGGGACATTCTACAAAGAGGATTCCTTTGATGACGCCTACCCAGATCCCAAGAACGTCACAGTCAACACGAGCGGCGCCAAGGGTGGTAGTGGTGGTGGTGGTGGAGATAGTACAGGCTCTACGCCTACGATGGCGACCCCATACTTGTCGACCAAGACTTGGCCTGCGCTTCCCGTAGCCACTGATTCTGGTGATGAGGGCAGTGGCGGCGCTGGGTCTTTTCCGGATCAGGAATATGTCAGGTACAATTTCACGTCTGAGAGCGCGTTAGTTTGATTTGATCAAAGGGACGAGGACTAATTTTTGGGTGTTGGTTGTGATGTAATGTGATGTTTTAGACTTTTGGACGCGACACTATTGTTCTATGAGGCTCAGCGGTCTGGACACCTCCCTCCCGACCAGCGCGTCAAGTGGGTATGTAATCTTATTGCTATTTCTCTTAATGGATGACTGGAAGACTTATGTGCGCCAACTAACATTCCATGTCTTGCTTCGTGCCATCTTCTAGAGGAACGACTCTGCATTACTAGACGGCAAGGATGCAGGCATAGATCTCACAGGGGTAAGCTTACCCTGTTTCTCAACACGCGTCTGCTACATCGAGCTCTCAAATGTTAACATTTCAACCCATACTCATTCACCCAACCAAAAAAATAATAGGGGTACTATGACGCGGGAGACTACTTAAAGTTCATCTTCCCACTCACTTTCTCCCTCACCGAAATCTGCTACGGCGGCATCGATTTCTTCGAAGGCTACGTCCTAGCCACCACCTCGACCAAATGGTCCGCTGGAGAACCGACTGGCTCATCAAAGCCCACCCCAACAACAACACCCTCTACGTCCAAGTCGGTGTCTCCGAAGTCGATAACAGTTACTGGGGACCCGATACAGGTATCCCTACCCCACGACCGAGTTTCTTTGTGAGTAATTTGAAGCCGGGCACGGACGTGATGGCAGATGCGGCGGCGGCGTTTGCGAGCTGTTCGGTGTTGTATCGGGAAAAGTTTAAGGATATGGAATACGCGGGGGTTTTGCAGAGCCACGCGGAGGCGTTGTTTTCGGTCGCCGAGACGGCGTTGCCGCAGCAGACGTATCAGACAGTGATTCCTGCGGCCAGTTGTTGTTATGCGTCGACGGGGTATTTGGATGAGTTGGCTTGGGGTGCTGCGTGGATGTATCGGATGACCAAGGATCCGGCCTATGCGGCCAAGACGAATCATTATATTTCAGAGTGCTCGAAACTCGAACATGGGAGCATCCTCCTCCCCATCACCTGGGACGACAAGACCGGACTCGTTTATATCCTTGACCCAAGGAACTGCAGAGGGAGTCCAATGGCAGGCCCTCGCTGAGAAGTTTGGAAACTTTGTCATCCAAGCCCCTTAACCTTGTGCGTTCACCTCTGGAGGGATGTACTACTGTTACGGATATTCGGGCGACGATACCTCTGTCGTAGCTGCGAACGCTGCCTTTGCGATGAACCTCCTCTCCTACAATATGGACATCTGGCTCAAGAACAACCGGTACGGCACCAACATGACCAACACCCTTGAAAACGAGACCCGTGGCAAGATTGAGGCCTACCGATCCTTTGCATTACAACAGGTTCGCTACTTGTTGGGCGATAATCCAGAAAAGACACCTTATGTTGTAGGTGTTCATCCAAACTCGCCGACGAACCCTCATTCTTCGTTGGCTGCTGGAGGAAGGAGTACGGATAGTATTGATACAGAGCCGTTAAAGGAGGCGCATATCTTGTTGGGCGCCCTTGTAGGTGGGCCGGATAAGAATGATCACTTCCAGGATCTTCGGAGCAATTGGCGCCAGAACGAGGTAAGACACAATTTTTTTTTTGACTTGATATCAATTGGAGCCTTGGAGGTAAAAAAATTTGGACGCGTCACTCACATGGTCAAAACGCGATTTCTTTTAATCCCTGTAATGTAGGTCGCGTTGGATTACAACGCGCCCTTCACATCACTAATGGCCTACCAAGTCATGACCTCACACGACCCGCCCCCCTACGCAACCATCGCAGCCGGCCGCCCATCGCATGACGTCCTAGTCGCAGATATACCCGCCTGGAAACTAGTCCTCATCATCGCCCTCGTCGCCTCCATCCTATTCCTCATGGCCATATACCTCTTTTACTACCACCGCAACGATATTCACCTCTGGTTCACCTCCCTCGGAAAGCGGCTCCGAGGCGAAAAAGTCAACAGCCATGGTGACAGGAAGGGAAACAGTGGCTCGTTGTCGGCGACGACGACGTTTGACGAAAAACGACGGGTCCAGTCAACTTCGTCGCGGGTTTCCTCGCCCTTTAGAGCTGATGGAGAGGATGGCACGATCTCGGGCGAGAGCTATGAGAAGTGGGGTGGTAGGAGGGGTAGTCTTTCGATGGAGAGTAGCGGCGACGGTGCAGGCGTGATCGGTGGCGCCAGAAGGGGTAGTCTCCCTATGAGCAACAACCCGGGTGGCGGCGGTAGGAGAGTTAGTATCCCCATCACGATCGGCACCACAACCAAGAATGACATAGAGCCACAGGAGACGACGACGACAGGCGGTTTTTTTTGGCAGGGCAACAGCCGTACTGCGGCCACCACCCCTGACAGTCCTCAAAAAAGCAAGCCCAGCAGCTACCGGAAGACCGTACGATCTCGAATCTGCGCCCGGCTCAAGTTCATCCTCACGGTTATTACTCGCCCGCCCAGGCGCCTTGGCTACCTCCTCCTACCCGCCCACAACCCCCACAACGCCAATGACGCCCTCCGGAGACACCATTCTCCAACTGGCGTAGAGTCCTTCCCAGAAATCCACCCCAACATACCATTCACATCCATTGTTCATCAATAATCGGCAAGCAATAATAAACACCAAAAGCCGTTTGAGAATGTGATAAAAACTGACATTTTTTTGAGTTTGCTTTCTAATTCATTTCACCTCCTTGTGTGTGTTGCGTGTACATATTTTTCGCCCTTTGCGCTCTCTGCATTTAGATGGGGACAGAGGAACCGCGGGTGATCTTACCCCATCCAATCAAACGCCAGTGGTTAGCGATACGACGGGACAAGGCAACGTTGGCGCCAGCCCTAAATGAATCACAAAGAAAAAGAGGCATGTTCGTTAGTTATTATGAGCCGACGATTCTTCGTTTTCATACGAATTCGTACCCGTCAAAAAAAAAAAGAACAAACAATAAGAAAGTGATACGTACTCTGAGCATGCAAGACCGGTGAGGGCAATCTTGGCGATATCGTTCTTGACCTGGATGACACGGCCTCCGGTGGAGGTGGAACCAATGTTGACCATGAGAACCTCGTTCTTGGTCAGCTTGGTGACCTTGGCCTGCTTCTTGTCATCGGTCTTGACTCCCAAGAGACGACGGAGCAAGAAGTAGTTGATCTCGAGTTCAGAGTAGACATCAGGCAACTTTCCAACAGATCCCAAGACCTGTCCGACCAAACGATCGGCACGGCACAAGGTAGGATCAATCTTGGTACCCACACCAATCAAACCACCAGGAACAGCAAACTTGAGCTCATTGTTCTCGGCCAACAGCGACACAATGCGCGAGAAGATGGGTCTGCACTTGATCTTGCCCTCGTTATCCTTGGTAACAATACCGGGACGGATCTCAATCTCATCACCAAGCTATATATGTGACATTTTCAACATGACAGAAATTAATTAGTAGCCGCATACAGTTGAATCCCTTGCGTGAGGGAAGAAAAACCGATTGGTATCCTGAATGTCCAAGAGAAGAACTTACGCGCAAGACTCCGCTGAGAATGGAACCTCCGGCAATACCTCCAGTCAAGCTGTCGACCTCAGCACCGGGCTTGTTGACATCGAAGGAACGAATGACAATGAGGCGGGGGTCAGAGGTGAAGTCACGGACGGGGATAGGGATGCGCTTGACAATGTATTCGTTGACGGCGTCGATGTTGTACTTGAGCTGAGCAGAGATGGGGACAATGGGGGCAGAGTCGGCAATGGTTCCCTTAACGAACTGCAAGATGCTCTGGTAATGTTCCTGTGCGGCAGACTCCTTGATCAAATCGACCTTGTTCTGCAAGATGATGATGTGCTCCAACTTCATAATCTCAATAGCGGCCAAATGTTCACTGGTCTGGGGCTGGGGGCAGGATTCGTTGGCAGCAACCAACAACAAGGCGGCGTCCATGACAGCGGCACCGTTCAACATGGTAGCCATGAGAATATCGTGTCCTATTGATGATAAGCATGTCCAATTGCAACAGAGTCATATGTCAGTCATTTTGCAGAGGATTTGGGAGTATCCAGACACGGTGGCGCAGACAGAATGTACAAAAGCTAAACGTACCAGGGCAATCGACGAAGGAGACGTGTCTAAGATCGATGAACAGCAATAAAACGAAAGAATGAGGGTGGTGCGTAAGTATGGTGCTTTTCCCGGTATTAATGCCTCCTTTTGAACTGTCACCAACAGAACTCCATTAACACGAGCCTATGATCAGCACTGCCGCATGTCATTGTCCAGATGTGTTCCTGTACCTCTCCAACTTCATGGTGCCACCGCATCCGAAGCGCTCGCACTTGGGATGATCCTCCATGCTGCTGCGGTACGACTTGTAGCATCCAGGGCGAGGGCAAGCCTCGTTCTGGCACTTGTAGATCTATGTTCCAAAAGTGCGTTGAAGAAAGGACGTGTGAATAAGCTTATTTTCCATGAACGCACAAGATTGAAATGTCGTTTTTTGGAAGTTGTGTCCTTTTCATAACGTGTGAATAAGATGAAGGTGGCTTCCCATGAGAAGAGCGACAGGCTGTTGGTCCCTTGGGCGGATGATTCCAATCCAGAAGAGAACGTATGAATTGCCTGGCTTCCCACGAACGTAAAAAGGTGATACACCGCTTGATTGAAGCATGGCTCCATTCCAGGACAGAACGTGCGAAAAAGAAAATGATGGCCTCCCATGAAGAACACAGTGATATGTTGTTGGTCGGCTGAGTGGATGGTCTCCTTCTGATTTCCAGGAGAAAACATATGCACAAGATAAAAATGCCTGCCTCCCAGGATTGCAAAAGGTGGTATGTTGTTGACTGATTGGGGTGGATGTTTCCCCTTTCCAGAGATCCAATGCTCGACAATGCTTTCAAAAAAAAAGGAGGCGCTGTCGAAAGAGGGATCCTCACCTTGGCGTTGGCATATCCGAGCTTGATGGTAATGTTACGCTCCAACTCGTTCTTGAAACGAACGGTCTATGATTTGATGTATACAATGGGGCGAAATATGAATCATCGTTGACAGAATATTCAAGTACGAGTTAGTGTGAGGAGTGAGGTTACTGCGGAAAGTAAAAAATGGTGTGGTGAAAAAGTATGACTCTGACTCGATATATCGTTGACGTCAAGGAAAGGAGCGAGTACCTGGACACCCGAGATGGCCTTGACGACGGTGGATTTACCGTGAGCGACGTGACCAATGGTACCTGTTTGGCAGGTCGAATGAGCAAAGAGCAGAAAAGACAATAAAAAAGGAGAAAGCGTATGGTTGGTGATGTTTAGTTGTGTGATGCAACCAGATGGTCATTTCGAAGGTGAGAGACGCAGCATGGTTGTCTCCTGGCTTGTGTCGGTCGTCGAGAAAAAAAAAAAGGCGCCCTGGAGCCGTGCAAGTCGGGGGCTGCTGTTATTTTTTGTTGTTTTTTTCCTTCTCAGACAAGCCAATATTTTTTTTTGATCTAGATCGTCGTTTTTCCCTTCGTGATGTTTTTTTTTGTCGTGTGTGTCGTTCGTTGTTGAAGACAAGATCCAGAGTGGGATTAAAAGAAAGTACCGATGTTGATGGTGGCCTGCTTGGAGATGACCTCGTGGGACAGGGCGTGGAGCGTGGTGAGGTCCAGGGTAGAATCCATGTTGGGCAACAAGGTATGTATTGTATGGAGGATGACAGTGTCAAAAGAAGAGAGAAGAAAACAGAGGCAACGAGGCAGATAAAGACAGACTGAGGGGAAGATCATTCAATCGCAGATGCTGTCCAGGAAAAGGATGAGCTCAGCCACAAGAATTAAAAAGTGGAGGGAAGGAAGGGGGCACGAGTCCTGTCTCCAGGCAAGCAAGACGCTGGCAGCAGCGAGTGGAGTGAGTCGCTTTCTTGCTTTCTTTTCAACCCCCTCTTTTGACTCGTTTCCCTTTTTCTTCTCTTTAACTCATAATTCCCTTTTCCCTCCGTCACACACCCTCCAACCCGCAACCTACCCATCTACCTCAACTACCCCGCCGATTACCTTCCCACAGAAAACACACAAAAAAAAGAACGCGCACACCCTCACACGACAACCCCCTATACAAAAAGGTAAAAAAGAAAACGCATGCGAAAAAAAAGAGCACTTGGGTTGGTGCACACATCCAACACTGACAGACTGGCAGCATGCCTTTGTCTGCACAAGACGACGACAAAGGAGAGAGAGGTTAAATCATTGTCACCAGAGGGGAATACAAAGAAAACAAGGGAATCAATCGTTCACCTGATCCGGTCCTTTTCTTTTACAACTACCTCTTTCACATCATCATACTACACACGCACACTCACAGCAACCAACCAGGAACAACGAAAGGTGCCAAATACACACTGAGCAAGCTATAACGACGTGTCTTTTGTGGCTCCCAGGCTGACAACAATAGTGGCGACATTTGTTATTCGCTCTACGTCTATGTACCAAGTCTGCTAACGAAAAAAAGAGATCTGCTTCCTCTTACTTAGAATGACATCTACACAGAGACGCCCAAGCGGCAAAGATGAACCAGAGGACCTCCGTCGCCTCCGCAGAGAACATGGAGGATCACTTGCCACACTCAAAGAACTTTTCGCGGACTGGTCAGAGGAAGATCTCCTGTACGCAATCCAAGATGCTGGTGGTGATGTCGAGGCTGCTATTCTCAGAATCAGTGACGGTAAGTCTTCTTCCTCATACACACCTCCCACTACCCTTCCTGTGGTACCCCTTTCACTTTTGCGCGCGTGTGGGTTTGTGTAGTTGAGTGAGGGTTCTTGGTGTGTCTTTGTATAAAAGTGTGTGGTGAGGTGTGGGGTACTTTCTCCCCCCTCCCTCTTTTTTGCTGCCCATTCCCCCTTTCTGTTCGGGTCTGTTTACTTTTCCACCTTCAAAGACAACCGCTTCTCTCTCTCGTCGACGTCCCTCCTACTCCTCCCTCTCTCTCCCCCACCCCTTGTTAAACAAGAAGTTTTGAGTGAAGCAGGGACCACCTTTTTCTTGATTTGCACTCTGTGCGTGCGTGCGTGTTGCCCCAGAGAGATTGTCTCTGTTTTGTGTTTGAGCAAGGGGGTTGTTGGTTTTGCTTGGGTGAGGATGGTGGGACGATAGAGTCCCCGACCGACTCTGACACCTCCCTGCTTTGTGGTTGGCAACCATATCAATCTGGATAGTAAAGGGAGTGGCCCCCCCCCCGTTCAATTGAATACTGCAGCATTCTTTCATCTCTCCATGCACCCTTCGAACGAACGACGTTGTTGTTATTCCCACCAGACTCTGTTTTTCGACTTTTATGCTAAGTGATGTGAGGTGCTGGCTTCATTTGGGTGGTTATCAAAAGTGAAAAGTGGGACGTGGATCAATCCCGAGTCAAATCAAAGTCCAGGTTCTTGGACCAACCAGACCAAGCGATGACGCAGGAGGGGCAGCACTCTTTTGACTGGCCCATATTCAAGGCCTGGACAGGTTCTCGCTCGCTCTGACTCGTCGCGCTCGCGATGTCCTATTTCATTCAGCCCGTGACCGGCGCAAGCAAGAGATAAAACTGTCGAAAGAAAGCCTTGATGCTAACCTCCAATTGATCCTCTCTTATTAAACACATAGGCCATGCCTCCCAGTGGGGTGAAGTCAAGGGCAAGAAAAAGACACCAAAGCCAAAGTTCACACAGCAGGAATACCGCGGTCCTAGCCAACGCGGCGGATTCGCAGATCGCGGATCGCGCGGTCGTGGAGGTAACTATCAAGCCTTCAACCACCGGCCTTTTTGAATTTGCGTAAAACAACGAAAACAAGACAAGACCGCGTGAATACATCATATATCTAACGGTATTTTATTTTGATTACTATTGTTCATAGATGGTTTCCGTGGTGGTCGTGGCGGATCAACCAGAGGCGCCCCTCGTGCCCAAAACGGAGGTGATAGAAACACCCGCCCAGTGAAGACAGAGACAGAGGAGGCATGGCCAGCTGTTTCTGAAAAGGCGGAGAGCGCTGTCGTGGATGAGGCGCCTTCTTGGGCCAAGATTACTGCTTCAAGCGTTACAGCTGCATCTGCCGCTTCGGCTGCTTCTACTACATCAGACGGATGGGGCGCCACAGCCTCTCGGAGCACTCCCGCAGAGGACACCAAGCCAGCTCCAGCTGCAGAGACCGCACCCGCCGCCGAACCTACCAAGGACGTCGATCCATGGGGTGATGCAGCTGCAAACCCCCCATTGCCCGGCACTTCAACCCGCAAAGTCAATACATCTACCATCCCCGCAGGAACGAAAATGTCATGGGCCAAGATTGTGAAGTACGTCTACATGCACCCGATAATTTTCTGCCAGAAAAGAGCAAATTAAATTCACCACTCCGGAACCAATGACTGACTTTTTTTTTGCTGTTACTATTTTCCTCTTTAGGCCAGAACCAGCTCCCCAGCCTGCTCCACCAAAAGTTATACCCGCTTCCGCACCTGCGCCCGTGACTCAGAAGGAAAGCAAGCCAGTTGAACCTGTGCCCGAGCCCGTTGTTGAGAAGGAGGCTGTGCTCGAGCCCGAACCAGAGGTTGAGGTTGAAGTAACACCTGCCCCTGAGGAGACACCCGAAGTGAAGGAGGAGGAACCCGAGGTGGCCGAGCCTGCCCCAGCAGTGGAGGAAGAGAAGAAGGAGGAGCCAGAGCCCGTTCCTGAGCCAGTGGCAGAGCCCAAGGTCGAGAAGGAGCCAGAGCACACACCCGCACCCGAACCCGCACAGACAACTGCTCCTGCTCCTGCCCCCACAGGACCTCCCGGATTGAAGCAGAAGCCAGCATCACAGCCTCGCCGTTTGAACCAGGATGCACCAGTCGTTATTGCAGGAGGAGCTTCGTCGCTCCAGAGCATGGGACTCAAGTTTGGCAGCTTCTCCTTGAACGACAATGATGAGCCTGAGACTCCAGAGGTCACTGAGACTCCAGAGGTTCCTGTTGAGGAGCCCGCTCAGCCTGCCCCCGCCGAAACTCAGCCTGCCCAACCCGCTCAGCCTGCCCAGCAGGCAACCCAGCAGCCTGCCCAGCAGCAGCCCTCTGCTTATGGTCGCCAGCCAGCTGCCGCCCCCACCCCCGCTACCGTTCCCGCTGCCGCCGGACAGTCTCCCGCCACTGCCAATGCCAATGCCTACGCTAAGCAGGATCCTGCCGCCGCCAACTACCTTGCTCAGCACCACCATCACCCAGCCATGGGTCTCGATGCCATGGGCTCACCCTACGGCTCGTACATGCCTGGAGCTAACCAGCTCGGTTCGTTCGGCATGGCTCCCATGGCCTCCCTTCCCAACGAGTATGCCGCTCTCTACGGTAACGACATTCAACGCGCCATGTACTACGACCCTGCCAGCTATGGTCAGATGCCCGCTACTGGCATTAACAGCTACCAGGCCCGTGATACCAAGTACAACCAGGACTCGACCGCGGCCGTTGGAACCACCGGAGCCAGCAGCACTGGATCGACTCAGGCCCAGCAGACGCTTCAGCAGCAGCAGCAGCAGGCCTACCCCAACATGGGAGGAATGCCCTACTATCCTTACTACTACATGCCCAACCAGTTCCCTACTGCGTACCAGCAGTCTGGATATGGTCAGCCTTTTGTCAACAAGAACATGTACCCCATGTACCAGCACCAGCAACAGCAGCAGCAGCAGCACGGATCGAACAAGCCTGGATCAAACAGCAATACTCCCTACGGAAACTACAGCTCTACCGGTGCCGGTCAAGGAGGCCACCATCAATACTCCCAGACAGGATATGATGACATGTCTGGAGCTGGACTCCACAACGGCATGGGCTTGGGCAACGACTCGTACACTAAGTATGGCTACCCCGGCACACAGAACTTTTTGGGATCCCAGCAGGGAGCTACCCCTACGTCGACTGCAAGCAATGCCAAGGGCAATACTGGATCTGGCAGCTACAACGGAGCTGACAAGAATGCCGGCGCAGGAACCCAGCCTTCGAACGCCGCCGGTGGTGCGTCTCTCCAGGGTCAGCAGGGCAGCATGAACCAGGGTCAGCAAGGCTACTACCAGCAGCAGATGTTCTCGAACTATCAGTATCCCAACCACCATCAGGGTTATCACCCCAGCCAGCATCAGGGTCAGCACCAGGGTTCAGGCCGCAACAACGGCAACAACAACCAGCAGTACTGGACGCAGTGAAAAAAACAAACAAAAATAGGGGTGAGATGTGGCCCTCCTTCATGATTTTGATGTCTGAATAGGTTTAATGGACTCCGTTTTTCTTCTTTCTTTTCTTTTTGCTATTCTTTTGTTGTTATCGTTCGTCTTTTCTTTTCTTTCTTTCTTTCCTTTTCTTTTGTTCAATTGTAGTGTAGTTGTAGAAGTATTCTTCTTTTCTTTTTTTTCTGATAATAACAACAAAAAGTCATGTTTGTTTGTCAAAAAAACCATGAAGGCATGATCTGCTTGATGTTGGGCAAGTGTCACGTGTGGGTATCGTGGGAAGAATCTGCTGAAGAGTGTTCCCCGTGAATAAAGAGTGCTACCCATCTTTTTCCTTCTCTTCGTTTTCTTTCCCCAAACCTTGACAACATACACACAATGTTCCGCCCATTCCTCACCCGCGCTATCCCCGCCCAGACTGTCGCCAAGCGTGCCCTCTCGACCGGCATTCCCAAGGTATACACAGACACACACATGGACCTTCTTTTCTTCAGTGCAATTCAGTCCGGAGACCTGATTTCGGAAGCCGAAAATGACGGAAGAGTAATGAGTTTTTGAGTGAGCCGCATATGCAGAAGCTGAACACCTGCAGCTCATCATCTCGGACTTTTCAGAGGAACAAGAACCAAGCGCAAGGATTCGGTCGCAAATACGTTCGTTGTTCGCCAGCAAAGACAACATTGGTGGCACAGCGCCACCCGCCGTTTAACATGTCAGTCTCCCTCCACAACTTGTCTAACTTTCGTATGCACTTCCATATGATACGCAATTGATATTGTAGACCTCGCCTCTTTGGACCCTCGGCCGCTTGAACCATGTCGCCATTGCAACTCCCGATATCGACCAGTCGACCGCCTTCTACCGCGATTTGTTGGGTGCCAAAGTCAGCGCCAAAACCGTAAGTACTCCTTGACAAGTGGCGGGCCGAGAACGTCTGTTGTTGTTATTTAGGGGGTGGGCATGTCAAAGTTTGAAGACCCCTAAGAAGTGTGTATTGGGTGTGAGCCGATATGCAACAAAACCACTGCCTGAAAAATACGATGTGTCGGTAAAACGACAGCGGGAGGATGACAACAACGGCAGCATGGCAGATGGATAAACATCACACCAGCCAAGGATCCGATTTGGTATCATAGGCAAAAATATAAAAACAGGACGCCCATGGCCACACTACAGCCATTAACCACCTCATTTTCACACCATTTACCCCACAATAGCCTCTTCCCGAGCACGGAGTGTACACAGTCTTCGTCGAACTGGGCAACACCAAGATCGAGCTCCTCCACCCTCTCGGCGAGAACTCACCCATCCAGGGGTTCCTTAACAAGAACAAGGCTGGCGGCCTTCACCATATTTGTATCGAGGTCGATGATGTCTACAAGGCCGTGGATGATCTGATGGCCAAGGGTATTAAGGCCCTCAACCCTATCCCCAAGATTGGCGCCCATGGCAAGCCTGTGGTCTTCTTGCACCCCAAGGATTGTCATGGTACCTTGGTTGAGCTCGAGCAGAGCTAAAAGTAAAGGTCTTGTCAAGAGGATGATATTCTGAAAGGATCACAACATAGTAATAAATAAATGGATTACAAAATGGTTGACTGGTGGAATGTGTTTTGTCTATTGTGCATGTTTTTTTTTGGTACTGTGCAAATGGAAAGGCGAGAAGCTACAAAGCATGGCGCCGATCCGCCTCCTGGTCATCATCCTTCTTGTCCGCAGCGGCCTCTGCAGCAGCGGCTGCCGCGAGTTCGCTCTTTGTGTCTAAGAACTCGTCCTCAACAGCCTCAGCCTCTGCTTTTTCTTCAGCACCAGGGTCATTAAACCCTTCGTCTCCTTCCTCCAACACCCCTTCTTCCTCGCCGTCTTCTACATCTGGGACATCTTCGATATCCTCGGCGCCAGAGTCGTCGCCTCCTTCTCCGATGTGCTCTTCAATAATTAGGGGTGGTGGTGCTTCTGCTCCTGCTCCTGCGGCAGCGGCCTTGGCGGCGGCAGCGGCGGCATGTCGGATAGACCCTAGGTTCGGCGGTGATGGTGCTGCTGGTGCTACCGGATCCTGCTTTTTTGGACTCACGACTGCTCCAGCCTTAGCATGATCTTTGCCTGCCTGATAGTTGGGATGGTTCCCAAGCTGAATATTCTCCATCCCAGAATCCGCCTTCGACCCTCCTACTGCCGCGACTTCATCAGGAACCACAGCCGCAGCAGGGGACGGAGCATGCGGGAACAAATTCTCCAAGAAATCATGCGGCTTATCATTCTTAGGATCTTCCCCAACACCACCCGCAACAACCGGCACCGCAGGCGCCGGAACTGGCGCTGAGCTCGGATGAACGATCCGCCCAAACATATGGCTATCATCCTTCGGACCCCTATAAGAAGCATATGACTCGGGGTACTGATAACAATCATAATCCCAAGTCTTCAAGACCTTAGATGCCTCGCACTGAGACCTCGTCCATTCAGATCCATAAGCCAGGGGGGCCCTGGTTCGGAAGACCAAGATGGCCATTAAGGAGACGACAATCAGGGCGGCAAGTCGGAAGCGGATGGGGATGAACCGGCAGGCGAGGTCAAAAGTGACACAGAGCATGAGGATCGCGAAATAGAGGGCGGGGAGATAGTGGTGGAGGAAGAGTTGGCGGCCCATGAGGAAGAAGGGGAGGTAGTGATAGCACCATGCCATAAAGAAGAATCCTCCTGACAACTCGTAGTACTCGCGCAGACCTGATTAATATACGATAGAAAAACGTTTGATTGATGAGTTTGTTGTTGAAAGGATTTGGTGGCAAAAAACAATAAGTTTTCAGCAACAAATGGAAATACAATAAAACAAACATACCTCGGAAGTTATCGCGATAGCCGCGCTTGTCACGAATGACAAGGAGGACACGAATGGCCGCATAGAGGACGATCGAGAAACTCGACATATACCAGGTGAACCAGTTTCCAATCAGGTAAATATGCTTCTGGTCCTTGCCCCAGAAGCTGATACCGCGTCTCAACCAGATCCAGGACGATGGCCGCGAGTCGTAAGGGTGCGAGGCTGTCAATCCTGCGTTGGTAGTCCACATGACCTTGTTGAGCTCCAGGAACTTGCCGATGAATCCGGGCTTCCTGTAGTTCACCATTGGCGCATTTGCTGGGTCTATTTGTGCACAATTGAGATAATCAGAGACATGTCAGTTGAAATAGAACGTTTTGAGCAGGTCAGATATCCCTCTCCCGAATATCCAAAGAGCAACAACTTACAGGCGCTGTAGGCGTTGGACTCGACCATAAAGGTGACCTTGGCCCGAGAAGCGCTCCGCATGCAAGTGACTTCCTGTTGCTCAAAAGCCCACTTGGGTAGCTTGACGCTGTGCGAGAAGAGGTCGCAGGCCATGTTGGGATGCGACAGCTTAAAAATCGACCGCAGCGTGTGTAGGTTTTGACCTGAGGCCTTATCCTTGCCCTCGTAATCCAGAATCTCCAGCTTCCACTCATCGTTCGAGTCTCCCGGAAATTCGTCGGTGCCACCGTACGCGCTGACCTCGAAATGGTTCTCGTCCTCTGTCACGGGCGCCTTGTTATTGTGGGAGTGGAGGCGCTTGAAGGTTGTGACGTGCTTCAGGCGGATGATGTCCCCGCTCTTGATGTATTCCAGTTTGTCGGGCACGGTTCCGTCTTGCCTTTGAAGGATCCAGTCGTTGTTAGTATCCTTGTGTGGGTAGAGTGTGATTTGTTGCTCTACATTAAACGAAAAAGGGCAATTGTAAGTGAGTGTTGGCCAAAGTCGCTTCATATGACGAAGGGCATTGGTTGAAAGTATCCATAAAATCAATTACTTACGTTTGCTTCCAGTCTCGTAGTTCGAAGGGTGCGAGTGAAGGTATCCTCCCTGAGTTCCCAAGTGACGAATCGAGACAGTCGCTCCATAGGCCACACCTAGTTCGAAGAAAATAAATATTGAATTAGTCCATTGGTACCGTATCCCAAAAAAATCTACGCTAACCGAAATGAACTAATTCCCGAGAAAGGGTGTCGTTTCTTTCCATTCTTTCTTACCGAGTGGAGAGTCCTGCAATGACTTACCAAGCGTCATCTGGAAGGGAGCGCTCATAAAACCATCACCATCGCCACTGTTGGCCAGCAACAAGAAATGGATCTCAAACATAAACATGTAGATCACCAGGGGGACCGCAATGAGGCAGACTGCGCGAGCCAAGAAGTGGTTGAACCAGACACGGGGTGAAATCTTGAGATCGCCCCACAGCACCCAGAGTTGGTTGATGGTTGAAGTTCCGATGGTGGCGATAATAAAGAGCCCCACCCACTTGACACTTCCCGCCAATCCCAATCCAAGGCCCGTGAGGAACAGCCACAGAAACCAATCGTCCGAGAAGGGGTCTTTTCGTTGGTTGTGAAAGTTGGTCCATGCGAGTACTGTGAATGCGGTGAAGAAGATCAAGGGCGAGTCCAGAAGAATAAGGCGACTCTGCGTGACAATGCTGTTTTCTATTGTTTTTTGTTCAGGGGAAAATATTGTTCCATTGAGGTTAGTAAATTTGCTGAACAGGCCCTTTTTTCGTTTGGTCCTGATTGAATTCGCTGCTGTTGTCTCCCGACTTACCAAAGAGGACAAGGACCGCAGCAAGGATGGAGGCATGTAAAGAGTGGCCTGAGTTCTTGATGGTGTAGAATGCCATGGGAACCACGGCAACACCCATAAGACCACACAGCATTCTCATTGCGACATATGGGACCTTGGGCGCCAGATAGTCCCTATGATGTCGAGAAAGGAAGGTAGTCCGGTTATTAATCGCAATAGGTTGTTATCTTTTCTTTTTCGGTTCATTCCTGGCTCCGATGGATCCGTCCGTGTCCAGACCGGGATTCCACAAGGGCTGGAGCAGATTGCAAAACTCTAACACACGAAGTTGGCAAAAGGAGAAGTAACCTACAGCCCAATCTCCTTGAAGTCGAAACTTGGATCCAGTCCGAAAATCCATCCTGTCACGGCAATGAGCATCTTTGCTAGTGGTGGGTGAACATCCATGAAGAAGCGACCCCGGATATACTTGGAAGCGAATCCTCCAAAGTGAACCTCATCAAATCTAATACATTTAGCAATTATCGATAATAAGCGATCAAAAAAAAGGAGAGGAAAAAAAAAAAGTTCAGAACCCTGCTCACTGCCTCCAATCCCCAATCCCCCAATTCCATGGCTATTCATGAAACACACACACACACACACGCAAACAAAAATGTAGACCAACAATCCGCTTACACGACAGAGGTAGGGTATCCAATGTGCCACAATCTCACGATCAACGAGAGCACACAGATACCGAGAACGATGTGCAGTTCCCGACTCTTGTACCAGGGTCGGCCTCGACGATTCTTGAAGACTGAGAATCGCTTGCTGAGTCCACCGCGTCCTGCTCCTCCTTGACCTCCAACAAAAAAGTCCTCATCGTCATCTGAGTCGCTGCTGCTAAGTCCACCAATTCCTCCTGAGCTGATCCGTGGCTGGGGTCCTCTGAAGATAGGTTTCCCGCTGTGATCCAATGATGTGCTTTGACCGTTCCTCATCCGCTGCGTACGTGAAGCATAAAGAGGCAGTCCGGCTGCCGATCCATTGCCATTGAGCGGTCCTGACCGAGTGCGCGGGTATTGATACCGTGTTGGAGGTTGTTGTTGTGGTGGTTGTTGTCCTGGCGAGTAGTACGGTGAGGCAGGTAACGAAGGCGACGACGTTAAAGACCGGGTGGGCGGCGTGTCTGCGAACGGGTAGGCCTGATACTGCTGAGGGTAATGTTGATCGAATCCATAGACAGCTGAATCTCCAGCGGTAGGTGGATATCCATTGGATTTTTCAGAGTACGGGTATGACGAGTGTTCGTTCGTGTGCCCGTCGCCGTTGCTGTTGGCATGGTTGCTGTTATTGGAGTAATTGGACGCCATGGGACGACGCGAGGGGTGGATATGGATATAGTCCGCCTCTTCTTCCTCACTGTCTTCGTGGATGGTTGTGATGTGGCTGGACGGGTTGGCAGGCTGGGCTGGTGGCAGATCAAAGTCGAGGCCGGATGGATCGAGGAAGGAGTGAGATGATGTTGACCTTGAGTTGGTCTGGGATGAGTTTGATGAGTATGACCCTGAGGACGAGAACATTGTTTTATGGTGTCTTTTTCTGTTCGGGTAAGAGTGTTGTCCTATGCAAGAAGCCCTTTGGCCTTGATGTAAGGAGTGATGGAAGGGATGACAGCGTGAAGGGGTGGCGATGGAGGGGGGGTGTCCGTTGGAGTGTGTGATGTGGTGATGAAGAAAGAAGAAGACAGGGGAAATAAATACAAGGGTGGAAGATGGGATAAAGGAAGGAAGGAGGAAAGAGAAACAAGAGAGGAATAGAATAGATAAAAAAGAAACCGATGGTGGTAGAGAGGAAGAGTGGTTACAATTGAAAGGGAAAAGGAAAGACAACGGCAGCCCCTTGCAAAGACAATTGGTCGACCTCAACGATAACAGCCGGTTGAATGTGTTGTATGATAATAATTGATCCCGGGACCTGTTTTGTGCTCTCAATATGTACTTTCATTGATCCTGCCCCTGGGCGCCAGCTGATATATAGTCGATAATGATGATGATGATGAGGCTGAAACAAAGGAAGGGAGCCACCAGGTCTAGAGCTAGGTTGCTGCAAGAGGGGTGAACTGCGACAGCCAATTGCCACCTCACAACTGATAATTGATGTATATGATTTCATTTGATGCTGATGCAGTGTGTGCCTAAAAATAAACCTTCAACGAGCGCCCTTTTCTTTTTCCATGGACCGTTCGCCTGTTGCATTTTTTTTGTGGCAATTGGCAAGGAGCAAGAAAACAAAAACACCTTTTCGTATCGTGTAACATCACACTCCACCCACAACAATAACACCACAATAGCAACAGCAGCAACACCCTCCCTCTCATTCGCCATTTTGTTCCTCGATCGTTGTCCTTGCCCTTCTTTGCACAAACAAAAGATTTCTTTTGATCGAAAGGGCAGATGAGATCCATATCTTTTTCTTCTTCTTTCGATTGCACTCACCCGCACGTTCTGCCATCACCATTATCCACAGTCAAAAACTAATTATTCAATTCCACCCACCCTTCCTTGTCTCCTTCCGCTTCCTCCACTTGCAATCCTTCTCCCCCCCCCCCTCTCTCTCTTCTCCCAAAGGGCGGCTTGGTCCAAAGGCTCATCCAAATAAAAAAACGCGTTTTGTTCCTTGAGCCATCTATCAGCCCAGAAAAACCTTTGCTTGTTTCACTCCTCCAAATTGATTACCCTCCCTTCCCCCTCCCAACTGTCAATAAAGAGCTAGGTGTTCACAATTTCTTTTGCTGCCTCTCAATTACACTCAGCACAGGTGAGGATACGTTGTCCAACAACTTTCCAATTAAGGGATTCTTGGCGTGTGATAGCTCGATGGTCTTTCCTCTTTTCCTCTATCTCACTGCAGCAAGCCCAGCTTCATTGCAACACAGTTAATTTGCAACGCCGCACACAAGAACAACACTGCTCACATCGACAAACATCATGTAATAAATTCTCGGCGAACGATGATTTGATCTCATGGAATAATACAAAAAGCAAAAATGTTTTATTATGATACAAAGGGGAAAGAGTGCAGTACAACGTTTTGGGTTTGGGCGTCAAGGGCTGTAGTCCAAAAGAAAAAAAAATGACAAAGGGAAAGGTGACAGAAGGTTGAGGTAAATCGGATTGGTCTGGACGGAGTTCTGAAAGAGCCATCTCGTTAATGCACATGTCCGCATATCATCTTGGTGCATTGGGTAGTTGGGCGCTGCCAAAGGGTGAGAGGATTGGTTGGCTATTGAGACAGTCAAAGTGATTTGGTTCCTGAGACGTGCCGCGTGTCAGTCTCATGCCAAGGAATGCGGGTGTGTGTGTGTGTGTGTGTGTGTGTGTGTGTGAAGGAGTATGGCACCCTGCCAAGCGCTTGCAGCAAGGTCCAATATCATTTGGAGTTGATTCTGCACACCGCACAAACGAATCTCGCCTGGCTGACGAGAAAAATTTGAATGTTCCTGCTGAGGCGGCACGACGTGTCGAACTCACCTCTGTATCCTGTATCTAGGCAGACATCACAATCTCCGTTATGGACGACAGAGACCTGTTCAACATCTAATTATCGTCCAATACTACCTCTGCTCTATCCACTCCCATTCTGACCCTTTTTCTTCATTCAATGTGGTACTTCTATCCTCCAGTCATTATGCAAATATACACGCGTAATATACACCCACACCTGAAACAGGTGCACTGACAATGGTGGAGTCAAGCAGTCTAGATATGCTCAGATTGGAATTATTACCTAACCACGCATGGAGAAACACCCCTGTCTTTACCTTCCTTCAATGAGAATGGGACTAATGTATAATGGGTGCTTGTTTATTATGTTGTACAGAAGATAAGTGAGATGCAAGTGTGGGGGGTGATGGTACAAGCTTATTGCAGGCTAGTGCTTAAAGATGGAGTAGAGCCACAGAGGAAGCCGATTTACATGAGGCTGAAATTGGCGGGCATGGTCTGCACAGACTTGCGGAGGGCCATCTCGAGGGCCTGGTCGCGGGTCATCTTGACTTGGACAAGACGCTGGCCATCGACTGAAGAGCGAGGCGTCTGCGCTGGGGAGGTGGCAGCGGAGCCTGACTGGTTCTTGTTGGACTTGAAGAGGGACATGGCCATAGTATTGTGTGTTGGCTTGAGAGGGAGGATTCGAAGGAGAGAGTTGCTTGGTGTTGTTTTGGGTTGCTTGAGTTGTTGTTAAGAATGAGGAATGAAAAAGATGGGAGAGAGGATGTATTTATACAAGTGAGAAGGGAGGGTAAAGGTGCAATTGGGACATCATCGTCATAGCCAAGTCCGCAAAGAAGAACATTGTCTGCATGTCTGCTTGTTGTGAGTTGCACGGTTCATTTCCACTCTTGGCAAGCATGGGGGTTGTTGATAGTTACACTCCGCTCTTTCTTCCCATCCGCCGCACTGGAAAAATCTTATTTCTCTCTGTTCACACTTCAAAGTCAAAATGCCTCAGGCCCAAGTAAAAGCGTCATAATTGGTGAGCATCCGTTGACTCTTTGCCGCAGAACAACGGCCATGACTCTAATTTTGATCCTTGGCTCCGCTTCAAAAAATGATGACAATGACACAAAAAGAAGAAGCAGCCAGAATGGTCCATGCTCGGCCGACAATACGGCACTCGATTAGAAAGCAATTGGCAACAAAACAAACAAGTATAAAACCCCTCTGCTCTCCTCTTTTCTTTCTTCATTTTCATCACAACCAACTCAACAACCAGGCAAGAACCAAGCTACCAAGACTCCATCTCTCCTTTCAAGTCCAACCTCCACTCCTCACAAGTCAAACACAACCATGTCGCTCTTCAAGTCCAACAAGAACAAGTCCGTCTCTGCTGCTGCCTCTCCAGCCCAGTCTCCTCGTACATCGATCGATGCACAGCGCCCTGTCATCCAAGGAAACACAATGACTCGCGAGCAGGCCATCCGTTTGGCCATGCACAACGCTCAACAGAAGTTGCCTCACCACTTTAGCCTTCTGTAAACTAGGGACTACCCACCTCACATCACATTTGCATATCATCCATCCTTCACTGTACAATACCACCCACTTGCATCTTTAATAAACCCATTGCATACTACTCTACACCGTTATGTTTGTTGTGAATGTTGCACATCGTGTCATGTAATGTCATGTAATGTGGAAGGGGAGTGATAAACGACTGTTGCTTGCTCAATTCGTTCTTCCTCCCTACAACACGCGTCAGATTTTTCACAAGAGAAAAGTCAGGAACAGCACTGAGACCGATTGACATGTTGATGTCTCAGACTGATCAGTGCCTGGTTGATGGATCGGACTGATCAATCGTCCGTTCATCTCTTGTCATTATACAACTTTCTTCAGTTGCCAATCTCAGAGCATCATACATTACAGCGGACACGAAAGGGAAAACAGGGTAGATATAGCAGAAAGAAGATGCAAGTGTTTATTTTATATTACAAGATTGAGAATGCAGGGTGGGATGTGATGAATAAAATGCAAAGTGTAGGGGTATGAGAGGCCTTGAGGGAGACCATCCTTGCGGACCAGGTGTTGGTGCTGCTTTACATACGGTTGAAGTTGGCGGGCATGGTCTGCACCGACTTGCGGAGAGCCATCTCGAGGGCCTGGTCGCGGGTCATCTTGACTTGGGTAGGACGCTGGGCCTCGATAGAAGTACGGGGAGTCTGAGCTGGGGTCGAGGCAGCAGAGGCGGTCTTGTTCTTGTTGGACTTGAAGAAGGACATGGCTGGTTGTGTGTGTTGTTGGCTTGAGTGGGAGAGGACTTGAGGGTGGGTTGGTTGGTTGGTGGTTGGTCGCTTGGGTAGCTTGAGTTGTTGTTGTTGTGTTTGGTTTTGTTGTGATGAGGAATAGAAAAGAGGGAGGGGAATGCTGTGCTTTTATACCTTCTGAATTCCCTCAATATTTGTCTTCAAGCGCTTCCTATCTTGGCAACCACGTTTGAAGGAGACGTCAACTCAGAAAATCGACTGCCAAGTGCCGACTGCCGAGGAAGACTGAGCATGGACCATTCCATTCGCTTCCTTTGCAAAGGGCGGAGTGTCACCTTCTTCCCCTCCCGCTCGAATTCTCGAATTAGACATGTTGCTTTTCTCAGTTCTTCCTTTTGTATTTTACTTTTTGTCTCCGCACAGAAGAAAAGAAATTCGACGCTCACATTTTCGCAACCAACCCTCAACCTTTGATGACGATTGTTGACACGAACGCAGTGCAGAGGTGGGACAGGTACAAATATGGACTCCATTGGATGCATTGAGAGAGGCAAGAGAATGGACAGGGGCCGTGGAGCAAAAAGGGCAGCGGGCGGAGTGTAACCTTGGCACCGTTGTTGCTCTGTTGTCTCCAACGCTGCCAAGAGAGGAAATGAACAACTGTGCCAAAAGGGTACGGCGACCTTTTCTTGCAATTAAAGTATGCTGCGGGTATGGGGAACATAAACTGCGGAAATGAAGGAGAAAAAGAGAGAGAGAGAGAGAGAGGGACTTTGTCATTCTTGGCTATGGTACTGGTTCTACCTTGGCAGTTGGAGTCATGAGAGGACTTCTGCAAAGTAGATAGCAAAGGGCCAGGAGACACATATATAAGGCTGCCGACCACCCTCTTTTTCATCCAACACCCACAACGATCACACCAACAACAAGACCAGCTCCAAGCACCTCCACTCAAGACCCGTCTCACCAGCCAACACACAACCACCAACCATGTCTCTCTTCAAGTCCAACAAGAACAAGACCTCGTCTGCTGCATCGACCCCAGCCCAGACTCCCCGTCCTTCTGTCGATACCCAGCGTCCTACCCAAGTCAAGATGACCCGCGACCAGGCCCTCGAGATGGCTCTCCGCAAGTCGGTGCAGACCATGCCCGCCAACTTTAGCCTCTTGTAGTCAGTTAGCTCTGACGAGGACATTTTGCTTCCTCTCTCCATCTCTCTCCATTGCCTCAAGCAGGGGTTGTACATCATCTTAATTTTCACTCATACACTGTATCATACTCGCAATAAAAGCACGCCCTTTCAAGCATCATCCATTTCTTTTCTTTTCTTTGCTATTTGTCGACGATTTCAACTATGGAATGTGCCATCACTAAGTAAACGCGACCTTGTCGATGCACCCTACAGAGTCGAGACCCATGAACAAAGTCCTAGCTGAATCAGGCCAGCCGAGACATGCATCGAGTGGACGGCTTTGGTAAGGAAGGGGTCACCCCACTACCGTCTCTTCCTATGGCCACGTTCTCAGGAACAACTTTAGCAACTTGAATGTCAGACCCACCGTACCATTGATTCATCGGGGGTTGTCACTTTTTCTCAGGAACCAAACCCCACCTCCACCCCGCTCATGCTTAATGCCTTTTAGCCCTGACCGTGCGCGATTTTCTTTTTCCTCCTCACCAAGCGTGTCTTTCCTGCCCAACTCCGCCTGCTCCGATTCAAATTGAAAGAAATAGATGATTGTTTTTCGAACAATACAATACCCATGCACTCATTGTTTTTCATATGAACACGATCCAATAGACACAACTAGACATCCTTTATCCTAAAGATATACTGCAGACCTTGGAGAGGTAATCAAGGCAAAGAGCTATCCATGATTCCTATAGCAGCTTTACTTTTCCTTCTTTTTTCTTGTGTTTTGTTTAATGGCTAATCGATTTTGAATCAGAACAACAGCTCCATCCAAATGAAATAAAAGGAATCAGAAAAGGTCGCCAAAGGTTTATTACTATACGACTAACGAGTATATACGCTACATAATTCTCAGATAAGTGTCCCTCGGGTCGGCAAGGTTCAAGTCAGCACCATGAAAGATCCGTTGGCGGAAAGGGGTATGGAGCTGAGAATCGATATTAATCTGAAGAATGCGACCAAGTGTCCTTCCTTCGTTTCATGCCCTGAATTGGAGGGGGGGCCAAACGGAGACACTCTATGGGGGATGGAATGAGTTTGACATGGGCGCGCTGTTGTGGATGAATGAGAGTGGTGTTGGCAAAGAGGAGACGGACGAGGGTCCGGAGAAAAGCGCCAGGGAGGACGGGGATGGTGACATTGGAAGAAGAAGGTTGAGTGAAAGAAGAAGAATGGAAGGTGAAAAGAGGAATGGAAGGGTAAAGAAGACAGGCTCAACCTCAGTGCGCAATTGAAAAATGACAAACAGATTCAGGTACATAAATTAGGATGTATACTATTGATGCGGTGTTTTATTATGATGTACAGGGTAAGGATGCAAGTGTAAGGTGGTAGTGTCACAGGCCATGGCAGGCTGCTAATGCTTGAAGTGGGAATCCAATGGGTATGTAGGCAGACCGGCGGACGGTTACATGACGGTAGAGATGGAAGGCATGGTCTGGACAGCTTTGTGCAGGACAGAGTCAAGAGCTTGCTCGGTGGTCATCTTCTTGGTAGTCTGTGCGGCGGGACGCTGGGCATCGACCGAGGGGCGGGGAGTCTGAGCAGGAGAGGCAGCAGCAGAAGCAGACTGGTTCTTGGTGGACTTGAAGAGAGACATGATGGAGAATGTGTTTTGGTTTGAGAAGGAGGACTTGGAGGGAGGAAGGATTGTTTTGGTTGTGTTGTTGTTGTTGGTTATTGTGATGAAGAATAAAAAATAAGAGGGGAGGTTCTCGTTGCTTTTATACCCTCTTTCTCCACTTCTGGATGTCTAATTCTGGTGATGACGACCTGAATGTCGAATGCCGAGTTGCCGAGCCTCGAGCATGGACCATTTCTTTGCTTCCATAGCAAGCGGAGTCAAGAAGAGCAACAATAGGGGGTTTCAATCCTTGACATTGGCCAAAAAAAATAAGCGCTGATTTCGATGGCTTATTTGAAATACATCTGCCCTCGAGGTGGTGTATTTCAAAATAAGCAAAGGCGCATTTGATGGAGGGCGCATTTTAGCTATAAGCCATCAAATGTCAAGGTTTGAAACCCCCAAATGTCTGCTCAATTGCCCCTGTGAAAGATCCGAGGGAATTTTTATTCCCATCCATTTCGCTCATATTTTATCTCCTCAGTCAGTCAGCAATGACGATGGTTTGTTTACTCCCAAGAGAACAGCCGTTGACAAATAAGGATTCCATGCGATATGACAAAGAGGAGAGAGGGAAGGAAAAAACGACAGAGCGGTTCCTGGAATATTATGACATGAATGCTGTGGATGAAGAGGGTTGAAACCCGGCCCTGTTGTCGACTTTGTTATGCTTTGTGACAAATGCCTCCTGGCCCATGCTCAACTGTGTATATAAGCAGCATGATCCTCTCCTCATTTGCATTCTTCATCACAATAACCAACAACAACAACACAACCAAAACAATCCTTCCTCCCTCCAAGTCCTCCTTCTCAAACCAAAACACATTCTCCATCATGTCTCTCTTCAAGTCCACCAAGAACCAGTCTGCTTCTGCTGCTGCCTCTCCTGCTCAGACTCCCCGCCCCTCGGTCGATGCCCAGCGTCCCGCCGCACAGACTACCAAGAAGATGACCACCGAGCAAGCTCTTGACTCTGTCCTGCACAAAGCTGTCCAGACCATGCCTTCCATCTCTACCGTCATGTAACCGTCCGCCGGTCTGCCTACATACCCATTGGATTCCCACTTCAAGCATTAGCAGCCTGCCATGGCCTGTGACACTACCACCTTACACTTGCATCCTTACCCTGTACATCATAATAAAACACCGCATCAATAGTATACATCCTAATTTATGTACCTGAATCTGTTTGTCATTTTTCAATTGCGCACTGAGGTTGAGCCTGTCTTCTTTACCCTTCCATTCCTCTTTTCACCTTCCATTCTTCTTCTTTCACTCAACCTTCTTCTTCCAATGTCACCATCCCCGTCCTCCCTGGCGCTTTTCTCCGGACCCTCGTCCGTCTCCTCTTTGCCAACACCACTCTCATTCATCCACAACAGCGCGCCCATGTCAAACTCATTCCATCCCCCATAGAGTGTCTCCGTTTGGCCCCCCCTCCAATTCAGGGCATGAAACGAAGGAAGGACACTTGGTCGCATTCTTCAGATTAATATCGATTCTCAGCTCCATACCCCTTTCCGCCAACGGATCTTTCATGGTGCTGACTTGAACCTTGCCGACCCGAGGGACACTTATCTGAGAATTATGTAGCGTATATACTCGTTAGTCGTATAGTAATAAACCTTTGGCGACCTTTTCTGATTCCTTTTATTTCATTTGGATGGAGCTGTTGTTCTGATTCAAAATCGATTAGCCATTAAACAAAACACAAGAAAAAAGAAGGAAAAGTAAAGCTGCTATAGGAATCATGGATAGCTCTTTGCCTTGATTACCTCTCCAAGGTCTGCAGTATATCTTTAGGATAAAGGATGTCTAGTTGTGTCTATTGGATCGTGTTCATATGAAAAACAATGAGTGCATGGGTATTGTATTGTTCGAAAAACAATCATCTATTTCTTTCAATTTGAATCGGAGCAGGCGGAGTTGGGCAGGAAAGACACGCTTGGTGAGGAGGAAAAAGAAAATCGCGCACGGTCAGGGCTAAAAGGCATTAAGCATGAGCGGGGTGGAGGTGGGGTTTGGTTCCTGAGAAAAAGTGACAACCCCCGATGAATCAATGGTACGGTGGGTCTGACATTCAAGTTGCTAAAGTTGTTCCTGAGAACGTGGCCATAGGAAGAGACGGTAGTGGGGTGACCCCTTCCTTACCAAAGCCGTCCACTCGATGCATGTCTCGGCTGGCCTGATTCAGCTAGGACTTTGTTCATGGGTCTCGACTCTGTAGGGTGCATCGACAAGGTCGCGTTTACTTAGTGATGGCACATTCCATAGTTGAAATCGTCGACAAATAGCAAAGAAAAGAAAAGAAATGGATGATGCTTGAAAGGGCGTGCTTTTATTGCGAGTATGATACAGTGTATGAGTGAAAATTAAGATGATGTACAACCCCTGCTTGAGGCAATGGAGAGAGATGGAGAGAGGAAGCAAAATGTCCTCGTCAGAGCTAACTGACTACAAGAGGCTAAAGTTGGCGGGCATGGTCTGCACCGACTTGCGGAGAGCCATCTCGAGGGCCTGGTCGCGGGTCATCTTGACTTGGGTAGGACGCTGGGTATCGACAGAAGGACGGGGAGTCTGGGCTGGGGTCGATGCAGCAGACGAGGTCTTGTTCTTGTTGGACTTGAAGAGAGACATGGTTGGTGGTTGTGTGTTGGCTGGTGAGACGGGTCTTGAGTGGAGGTGCTTGGAGCTGGTCTTGTTGTTGGTGTGATCGTTGTGGGTGTTGGATGAAAAAGAGGGTGGTCGGCAGCCTTATATATGTGTCTCCTGGCCCTTTGCTATCTACTTTGCAGAAGTCCTCTCATGACTCCAACTGCCAAGGTAGAACCAGTACCATAGCCAAGAATGACAAAGTCCCTCTCTCTCTCTCTCTCTCTTTTTCTCCTTCATTTCCGCAGTTTATGTTCCCCATACCCGCAGCATACTTTAATTGCAAGAAAAGGTCGCCGTACCCTTTTGGCACAGTTGTTCATTTCCTCTCTTGGCAGCGTTGGAGACAACAGAGCAACAACGGTGCCAAGGTTACACTCCGCCCGCTGCCCTTTTTGCTCCACGGCCCCTGTCCATTCTCTTGCCTCTCTCAATGCATCCAATGGAGTCCATATTTGTACCTGTCCCACCTCTGCACTGCGTTCGTGTCAACAATCGTCATCAAAGGTTGAGGGTTGGTTGCGAAAATGTGAGCGTCGAATTTCTTTTCTTCTGTGCGGAGACAAAAAGTAAAATACAAAAGGAAGAACTGAGAAAAGCAACATGTCTAATTCGAGAATTCGAGCGGGAGGGGAAGAAGGTGACACTCCGCCCTTTGCAAAGGAAGCGAATGGAATGGTCCATGCTCAGTCTTCCTCGGCAGTCGGCACTTGGCAGTCGATTTTCTGAGTTGACGTCTCCTTCAAACGTGGTTGCCAAGATAGGAAGCGCTTGAAGACAAATATTGAGGGAATTCAGAAGGTATAAAAGCACAGCATTCCCCTCCCTCTTTTCTATTCCTCATCACAACAAAACCAAACACAACAACAACAACTCAAGCTACCCAAGCGACCAACCACCAACCAACCAACCCACCCTCAAGTCCTCTCCCACTCAAGCCAACAACACACACAACCAGCCATGTCCTTCTTCAAGTCCAACAAGAACAAGACCGCCTCTGCTGCCTCGACCCCAGCTCAGACTCCCCGTACTTCTATCGAGGCCCAGCGTCCTACCCAAGTCAAGATGACCCGCGACCAGGCCCTCGAGATGGCTCTCCGCAAGTCGGTGCAGACCATGCCCGCCAACTTCAACCGTATGTAAAGCAGCACCAACACCTGGTCCGCAAGGATGGTCTCCCTCAAGGCCTCTCATACCCCTACACTTTGCATTTTATTCATCACATCCCACCCTGCATTCTCAATCTTGTAATATAAAATAAACACTTGCATCTTCTTTCTGCTATATCTACCCTGTTTTCCCTTTCGTGTCCGCTGTAATGTATGATGCTCTGAGATTGGCAACTGAAGAAAGTTGTATAATGACAAGAGATGAACGGACGATTGATCAGTCCGATCCATCAACCAGGCACTGATCAGTCTGAGACATCAACATGTCAATCGGTCTCAGTGCTGTTCCTGACTTTTCTCTTGTGAAAAATCTGACGCGTGTTGTAGGGAGGAAGAACGAATTGAGCAAGCAACAGTCGTTTATCACTCCCCTTCCACATTACATGACATTACATGACACGATGTGCAACATTCACAACAAACATAACGGTGTAGAGTAGTATGCAATGGGTTTATTAAAGATGCAAGTGGGTGGTATTGTACAGTGAAGGATGGATGATATGCAAATGTGATGTGAGGTGGGTAGTCCCTAGTTTACAGAAGGCTAAAGTGGTGAGGCAACTTCTGTTGAGCGTTGTGCATGGCCAAACGGATGGCCTGCTCGCGAGTCATTGTGTTTCCTTGGATGACAGGGCGCTGTGCATCGATCGATGTACGAGGAGACTGGGCTGGAGAGGCAGCAGCAGAGACGGACTTGTTCTTGTTGGACTTGAAGAGCGACATGGTTGTGTTTGACTTGTGAGGAGTGGAGGTTGGACTTGAAAGGAGAGATGGAGTCTTGGTAGCTTGGTTCTTGCCTGGTTGTTGAGTTGGTTGTGATGAAAATGAAGAAAGAAAAGAGGAGAGCAGAGGGGTTTTATACTTGTTTGTTTTGTTGCCAATTGCTTTCTAATCGAGTGCCGTATTGTCGGCCGAGCATGGACCATTCTGGCTGCTTCTTCTTTTTGTGTCATTGTCATCATTTTTTGAAGCGGAGCCAAGGATCAAAATTAGAGTCATGGCCGTTGTTCTGCGGCAAAGAGTCAACGGATGCTCACCAATTATGACGCTTTTACTTGGGCCTGAGGCATTTTGACTTTGAAGTGTGAACAGAGAGAAATAAGATTTTTCCAGTGCGGCGGATGGGAAGAAAGAGCGGAGTGTAACTATCAACAACCCCCATGCTTGCCAAGAGTGGAAATGAACCGTGCAACTCACAACAAGCAGACATGCAGACAATGTTCTTCTTTGCGGACTTGGCTATGACGATGATGTCCCAATTGCACCTTTACCCTCCCTTCTCACTTGTATAAATACATCCTCTCTCCCATCTTTTTCATTCCTCATTCTTAACAACAACTCAAGCAACCCAAAACAACACCAAGCAACTCTCTCCTTCGAATCCTCCCTCTCAAGCCAACACACAATACTATGGCCATGTCCCTCTTCAAGTCCAACAAGAACCAGTCAGGCTCCGCTGCCACCTCCCCAGCGCAGACGCCTCGCTCTTCAGTCGATGGCCAGCGTCTTGTCCAAGTCAAGATGACCCGCGACCAGGCCCTCGAGATGGCCCTCCGCAAGTCTGTGCAGACCATGCCCGCCAATTTCAGCCTCATGTAAATCGGCTTCCTCTGTGGCTCTACTCCATCTTTAAGCACTAGCCTGCAATAAGCTTGTACCATCACCCCCCACACTTGCATCTCACTTATCTTCTGTACAACATAATAAACAAGCATTCTCCAATTTTCATCTTGCAGTGCACCCTGATCTGACGCATTCCATGTAACTGCGAACGAAAATGTTAGCAAAAAGTACCTTTTAATCTATTTGGATACGGTTGCGATCGCCGTCTGTGAGGAATAAACTATCCGTGTCCCACTCCTTCTGTCTCATTACCTCTACCAACCTCGGCCCAGTCTCTATAGCCTCCTCATGTGCCTGTCGAATAGCCATGTTCCACTGATCCTCCTTCGAAACCCCACTACCACTGCCCTGGTGCTGCTGCTCCATGATCGCTCTAGTCGCACAGGCATGGTAGAATCCCTGAACCAAATCCTTGCCCTTGGCCTTCTTGTCGAACCAAATCACCACCTTGTTCACCCTGATATCTGCCATCATATAATAGTGCTCTTTCTGGATCAGATTCACCTGCCTAAACGCCTGATCCAGCGCCTCCGTTCTTTTGTCACGTCCCGCAAACCGATGGATTGCCGGTTCAACCTCAATACCAACTTTGAAGGGCGACTGGTATGCCGATACAAAGACCTCCTTGTGCGCCACTTGCATGGGTGTTGGTACAAGTTCCTCCAACTTGTGCACCAACTCTGCGAGAGACAGTTTCTCTCTCTTCTGTTCTGGCTCCTTGTCAAAGACGAGTTCCTTTATGACACTGTAAAAGACTGTTTCGGCTCGGGGGATGTTGAGTGATGGTGTCGTGACATAGTGGCTGGATCGGTAGTTGGAGTAGATGTTGAAGATCGAGAACGGCAAGAAGGTCAGGCACATTGGTACCAATGGGAGCACAGTCGGGTCCTCTGAAATATGACTCATCAATGCTGCGATCACAACACCCAATCCTGTACCTAAATAATGGAGGGTTATAACAGGCGTGGGAAAAGTTGTTAGAAGCGGCTCACTTCACTCTCTTCCTAAGTCCCGATCAAGATCCAATCGTCATCCTGTGCACCTACCAACTAGCCCTGCTGCAGTTGTCTGCGATCCTGATTTTCCAGTAATGTCTCCCAAGCTAGGTTCACACAGAAACGACAAGAGAAGGTCAGCTCAGGGGTTAAGGTCATGGTTAGAATTCATAAAATTGTGACATAGGAAGTAAATTAACGTCCTTTGTGCACTTACTTGTCCCGGAGGGCAAAGGTCTTGTTCATCTGTGCCCGGGTCGCAGAGCTGGCCAACCAAGCCATGTTTTTACCTAAGGTAGCATTAAGTAAAGGTCATCACCTGGTGAGTTCTCCATGGCGACAGGCTCCCTCGCTTCGATCAAGGGTCAACAACCGTCGTCTTTCAGATCATCCGATAGGGTCACAAACAACGATTTGTGTTTTTGTTAGAGATGGCGTAAAGCTTACCGATGTTCGAGATCGAAGCGATCACAAGGAAAGATCCTGGCCAGAGCGGGGTCAGCAACTCTAACACATTGGCGCCCTGCATGGCAACGGTGGCCTGGAACCGGAACCGCTTTGGCTCGGAGTCAAACTTGTCGCTCACAAAGGACGCATAAATGACACCGCCCAGCTGTCCCAATCCATCCTTGATGATCCAATTGAGGGCTGCTGCCATGGGTATGGATCCTGCTCCGAGGCCCATTGCAAACAAGAGCGATTGGGTCGATATCACTATCGTGGTTGGGATGAGAGAAGAAAAAAAATGTGAGTCAAGGTCCGACCGATCCCTGTGTTCCCCAACGTTTGTTTGCATGGGATAAATGCTAGAAAATCGCCCCACGGTTGTCTGTATATTACCTGCTGTGACAGATCCTGCAACATTATGGACAAACTGCCACTTTGCAAACGGCCAGTAGTTGGGCGTGACCGATTCCGGGAACCCTTTGGGTAAGAACACCGCCAGCGCCGTCTGTGGCGAGAGCAAGTGCTTAGCCGCATCTATATCTGTCTCTGTCGCCGTCGTTGATGATTCTCCCGCTCCTGCTGCTGTCTTATCAGAGCCTCGTGATGCTGGCGTGGACTGGAAGGAACACGTTTTGGAGTCGTGGTCAGTGGAGAGGGTCAGAGTCTGCCACTTGGGCAGCCAGGTCCCCGCCCTTCGCTGACGGATGCTGAGAGCTTTGAGAGCTGACTGGTCATCGCCACCAGATGCAGACGGATTCTTGGTTGAAGTTGAGAGGGATCGAAGTGGCTTGCTGGACTTGGTCGGTATAGTTGAGAACCATGTTGTTGCAGCAGGAAGAGGTCTGTGGGTCCTGATTAGTCCATGAAGCCTTCGTTGTGCGGATGTTGATGTAGCAGAGGTACGGATGGCGTGCCATGAGGATGGCGAGTTGGCTGAGCGGAGGGAGGGGAGGAAGTTCATGATTCTGACCCCCTGTCGCGTTGGTTTATGAAGGGGGAGAAAAAGTAAAGGGGAGAAAGTAGAGTGTGGGAGAAAAGGAAGCGACGGGTCGGGAGGAAGAAGAACAGACAGACAGGGGACTGACAGTTCAAATCAAAAATGTCAAACGCGACGCTCTCATATGCTAAAAGACCAGGTGTTGTACATCCATCATACACTCCTCCCTCTGTTCTATTGTCTCTCTCTCTGTCTCCTACCACTTTTGAGTCTCGGACGATAGGGTTGACCACTTCCCTATCTGCTCCTTCTCCTTTGTTTTGATACGATCGCCTCCTTCAGAGCTGGGCCAGAAGTGAAAGGTGGTTTATTACTTGTGAGGTTTTCCTCCACCGCAATCGTTTTTTTATTAGTTTTTGTTCAGTGACACAGGTAAAGTTTCAGTGATGGTGCCTGAAATCAGATCAAGACCTGGTGTAGAGGCGAATGTACCAGGATAGGAATCAACCTTCTGTTGTTCGTCAATCGTTCTTTTGGGTAAAAAAATGAGAGGGGCACCATTACCTGTGAGCTGCATCGACTGTTAATTCGAATCATAGTGTCAGCTTGAGGAACGGGGCCTATGATTGCACACATCCGTTGAGGACATCTACACGTCGCAAACAAAGGGTAATGAATGAAAAGGTATCCTAGCGACTAGCAAACAACTAAAGGCAGCTTACGTCCTCACCTTTTCCCCTTCTCTCTTTTTCATTATTAATAGCATGGAATGCGAGGGGACTCCCGGCAAGTCCAATTCCTTGATCTCACGACAATCAGCTTCATAGAAACACCAGCCATATCTGCCCCTGTTCCGCCTGTATGAGTTTGACACACCCCGCGCGGCAACAACAAGATCCTTCTTTCCTATCGGCATAAAGTAAACTCATTCCTTCCAGGAGAAGATCAACTGTTGATCATGACGACTATGGCCAATAGTAAGTGGGCTCAGCCTTCAGCTTTCAGGAGACAGTGTATGCCTAAGGTGAAGGGGCAAGAGTGTGTTTCTTACTTACTATCAAGTGCAAACAAGTGTGTCCTACCCCTTCTTCTGGTTTGAGTGTCTGCCTCCTATTTTCATTTCCGTGCTCTTTTTTTTTCCGCCATGCAAAGTCGTGTGCTCATAATTATCCTTTGCCACTTGTTTGAATAAAAGGTACTATCCGTCGCTTTCTAGGATCAATCGAAATGCAATAAACGCGGAGAAAAGTTTTGGATTTTTTTATTTTCCTATGCATAGTAGCTTGTCTGCAAAGGAACAGGCTCGAGGAAGCTAAAAGGAACAAATTCTCCACGAAGGAAGAGGAAGTACATCCACCTCGCATGGATTTTTTTTTTTCGTGAGCGAATGAAAAGTATAACATACACAAAACTATGCTGATGGTTCTTCAACCCCGTCTTTTTGTCGACTCCTAGAACACACCCAGGCACATACGCAGGCACCGCGAGTTTATATTTCATAGATGCTCTTCTCACTTGGCGCATTTCACCCGCCATTCTAAATCGCTACTTCACCTGTTTCTCCATCAATTGAGCGAGATATAAAGAGACCCGTTTGATACCTTTATTTTTTCTTTCGTTTCTCAACCATCATCCATTCTTTACTTGCATTCTATCAACCACCTACTTTTCCCTCCCTCCCTTCCACCTGTCCTTTCTTCCCTCCTCGCATCTATCTACTTCATATCTACTCTTGCATCTACTCTTTACTTATCTTCCATTACATTATCCCATCCCATCACATTTCGCTTCACGCGCTCTCTCCCATCACTCATTCTTTCATTCACCTTTACACCTCGCTCAGCAGAACACACAGCGCACAATTTCATCATGAAGATCTCATCCACCATCATCCTCTCCGCCGTGGTAGCCATCGTGTGTGCACATCATCAAGAACCAAAGTCGGAATCCTCCTCCCAGAAAACTCAACTCTACAGCTCCGAACGGCTAGCAAAGCGCGGCCTCCCAGTCGTCGGCGATCTCCTCAGCGGTCTTCCTGTCGTAAACAGTATCGCTGGTGGCGGTGGTAGTTCCGGACTGTTGAAGAAGCGTGGCCTGCCTGTTATCGGCGATCTCCTTGGAGGCCTTCCTGTTGTCAATGAGGTCGCGGGCGGAAGTGGCGACTCTGCATTATTGAAACGCGGTCTCCCAGTTATCGGCGATCTCCTTGGCGGCCTTCCTGTTGTCAATGAGGTGGCGGGCGGAAGTGGCGACTCTGCATTATTGAAACGCGGTCTCCCAGTTATCGGCGATCTCCTTGGCGGCCTTCCTGTTGTCAATGAGGTGGCGGGCGGAAGTGGCGACTCTGCAATATTGAAACGCGGCCTCCCAGTTATCGGCGATCTCCTTGGCGGCCTTCCTGTTGTCAATGAGGTGGCGGGCGGAAGTGGCGACTCTGCATTATTGAAACGCGGCCTCCCAGTTATCGGCGATCTCCTTGGGGGCCTTCCTGTTGTCAATGAGGTCGCGGGCGGAAGTGGCGACTCTGCATTGTTGAAGCGCGGCGATGATGAGGATTGCGAGGAAGTAGGAGACGACGACAATGACCATCGTGGAGGTGGAAACGACCATCACGGCGGTGGCGGAAATGATCACCATGGCAGCGATAACAATCATCATGGTGGCAACCACCACCCCGGAAACAATCATCATGGAGGCAACCGGCACCCCGGAAACAGTCATCACGGCCCAAACAACCACCACGGCGGCGACCGTCACGGCAACGATCATCATGGCGGCAACACTCCTTGTGAATGCGGTAATGGTCATCGTGGCGGCCACCATCCTAACCACAACGGCCATCACGGAGGAGGACGTGTTCACCACGGAGGCGGCGGCGATGATGGTCTTATTAACATTGACCTCAATGCTATCATCAAGGCCAAGATCGGCATTATTGCCAAGGTCTACATCGGTGTCATTGTCGACTCTCTCATCGATGTTAAGGCCGACATTCTGGTCAAACTCTGCGCAAAGTTGAACATTAATCTTCTGGTTGATCTCGATATTTCTGCCAAGCTGAAAGGTAGCTCGTTGCGCCATTGATGTTTCATCCTCTCCCTTCGTTTCTGTTGTCCTTTTGTCTTTGATACTAATATACATATACTTTACCTTGTTATTTTTATAGCCATCGTTGATGCCAAGGTAGATGCTGCTGTCAAGGTCTGGGTCAACACTGATATCAAGACCAGGGTCGGTGACTCTGTCCGTGGCCACTGCTCTCGCTCGTGCTCGTCAGATGTCGATGCTGGTATCTTGGCTGACATCCTTGCGTCGATCAAGATTGACCTTGGACATCTCCTTTCTAGTCTGGACGCCAACATTTTAGCTGATATCCGTGTACGCCTCAACGCCCTGGGTATCAAGTTGAATGCCCATGTGAGCCTTGCTCTGGGGCTGGACCTTGGTGCTATTCTTGGTGACGTTGTTGGTGACTGCAAGCATGCTGGTTCTACCATCCTTGCTAATCTAAAGCTTGCCATTGGCGCTTGATGGTATCCATTTTCAACTACATATTACGCTCTAAATAAATAAGTGATTATCCGATGTGTATCCGTGGTGCGATCAACTTTCCAAATGCGGCGATGGAGGTCCGAGGTGATAAAAATAAAGGAGACGGGGTGGAAAATAAGAATTGCGATCCCGAGATCTACCCTGAGAAATGTCATGTGACAATTTCGAGCATTTGTTTACACCTCGGGGCACCAAGGACTAAAGCGAATACCCCCCTTCATCTCCATCTTTTTCCTCTTTTACTCTCTCCCCCTCACTCCTTCATCCCCTTCTCGCCTCTCACCACGCCCTCCTCTCTCGGTCCCCGGACAAACACACACTTTCTTTCATACTTTACTTCTCTCCACTCCCTTCTCTACCTCCCCTTCCGCCCTTTATATTAATATCCGATATGTCCTTCTCTCTCGCCAAACAGTCCGTCCTCGGCCTCACGCGCCCTGTCCTCAAGTACAGCGTCCCTTCGGTAAAATAAAAAACTCACACACTCACACTACACAACACACACTTACACCAACACACGCACACGACCTCCTTCCTTTCTTCCTCTCCTTCCTTCAACAACAACACTTTTCATGCAACCTCTCCTTCTCCGACAATTTTCCCCTTTACTCGATTACTCTGCTTCCGGAGCATATGAAAAAGCGAAACACGTATAACTACTAATCACGTTTCTTTCCGTCTCGGCTTGCGATTGACTATTTCGGGATTGCCGACTTTTCTACACAAATAGGCCCCTGTTGCCATTGCTCGTACCTTTGCCACCGAGGCTCCCGCCAAGAAGACAAAGACTTTCCAAATCTACCGCTGGGTATGTGAATCTGTTCATCTCCGAGAATTGGAAAAACAAAAAAATAGCGCGATTATGTGTGGTTCGGAATATACACGTATGGCGCTTGCTTCCCCTTGTGCTCTCTTTGACACAGTTCGGCCTTTTCAGTTTTGCGTCTGGGAGACACAGGGCAGACAGGAAAAACAAAATTGTCCGAGACCGAGTTCTGATACTAACAGAAATTCTTCGTCCACTCTTGCACGTACCCACGCTCACGTCAACACGCGTCTCTCCTTCCACTTCATCATATCAATTGGTACAAATACAACAACAATAGAACCCTGACCAACCCGCCGAGAAGCCCAAGCTGCAGTCATATGAGATTGACATGAACAACTGCGGCCCCATGGTCCTCGATGCCCTGATCAAGATCAAGAACGAGATCGACCCCACCCTCACCTTCCGTCGCTCTTGCCGTGAGGGTATCTGCGGTTCCTGCGCCATGAACATTGGTGGTTCCAACACCCTCGCCTGTATTTGCAAGATCGAGGTCGATAGCAAGCCCACCAAGATCTACCCCTTGCCCCACAGTAAGGGTCACTCTTGGATTGATTGAAATGATATCACGCATACTTGTTTCTGCTTTGCTTTCCATTGCCCGGTATCGCCAATTGGGAGCAAAAGGAGGGATCCAGAGAAAGAAAGGAGTCGAAGGGTTATTTATCAATGACATTAATATTAACGATATCGTCTCCTTGTTCAACTGAATAGCCTACGTTGTCAAGGATTTGGTTCCCGATTTGACCGAGTTCTACGCCCAGTACAAGTCGATTGAGCCCTTCTTGAAGCAAAAGACCCCTTTGCCCGAGCGCGAGAACTTGCAGACAATTGAGGATCGCAAGAAGTTGGATGGTCTCTACGAGTGCATTCTCTGCGCCTGCTGTTCTACATCTTGCCCCTCGTACTGGTGGAACTCGGATCAATACCTCGGACCTGCCGTCTTGATGCAGGCTTACCGCTGGATGATTGACAGCAGAGATCAGTTCGGACCTGAGCGTCGCCAGGCCCTTCAGAACCCCTTCTCCCTCTACCGTTGCCACACCATCATGAGTACGTTCTTCTTTCAAGGACTTTTTTTTCATGGGCTTCTTCATTTTCGTTCTTTGAGTCTTGAACACCATTACTGACGTCTTCGATTTCCTTCCTTCAACTTTTAGACTGCGCCAAGACCTGCCCCAAGGGACTTAACCCTGTAAGTTGACTGGACAAGTACAACGAGTGCATTGATATCTGACATGGTTGTTATATCGAATTGGTTCCTAATACCTTGTCGCGTTATGTTTTTCATTGAACTCATAGGGTCTTGCTATCGCCCAGATCAAGAAGGAGATGGCCTTGGAGTAAATTATTACCCTTTGGTTATTTTTCTTTGCTGTTTCACGAATTGTCACCCCTCTCACTCACAACACCCCCCTTCATGGTCGATTGCTGGAGCAAGGATCATTGCTTCCAGTCATTGACTTGACCTCGCATAATAAACGATTCCTTTTTTTTCATTTCAACTTTGGTTCTTCAGTATCAATTGAGGTTTTTGTGAGCAAAGCGGGGTAGGGTAGGATAGGGTAGGGTGCCGAAAATTGATGCGTCAAGACATTCACCGAGAGGCTTAGATCTCGATTCTGACCCTCGCGTTCCTGCTTTTTTTTCACACCTGCCTCCCACTGCCCCAGCCGTTCACAGGAAGAGGGACTTTCCTCCATTCACTCCCCTCCCTTTCGCCCATCACCTTACACCGCAACAACCAACAGGATTAGAACAAGGGATTATCCATGACATGACGGTTGTTCAAGGCTCCCAGTCGATTTTGGGATTCACGGGCGGGGTGTTGAGTTCGATGACGGCGTACTCGTTGGTTGCGGATTCTGTCCGTTCCGATTTGAGGAGAGTTGATCAGTCGCTTGTTCGGTGCAGGAGGGCGTTAGAGTACGGTCTGCCTCTTTTTATTCGCGACGAGGTAATACATTGCTACTGTGGGATGGTCACAGGGATGTTTTAATAGGAGTAGTAAGAAGCTGGAGGGGGGAAAGGGGGAATTGGATCTGGATCTGGATCTGGAGTATTCATAATGGATTGGAGCCTGTGGGAACCCTTTGTATCAGCGGTTGGGATCGAAAGGAACCGTTTCATGGTTCGAATTTTTCAGAAACAAAGAAAGAGTCTCCATAGCCTTTTTTTTCTGGTTGTCATCCAAAGGGCTTTGATAGCCAGGCCATACACCCAAAAACCACAACGCCATCGCATGGACAATTGCCATTGCCCATTTGCCGACAATATCAACGCGTCAATGTGTCAAGCTTAGAAGGGGGGGGATCATAAGGAAAGAAAAGAAGACAACCGGCAACGAGAAATTAACACCCAACCCGACCACATCCCCCACACCTCGCTCTTTTTTCTTCTGATCAATAGGAGTTTCTGCAAGTTATGAATGCGCTGGAAGTGACTGCAAGACGGCAGAAGCGGGAAAAGTCGCTCTGGAGGAAACTCAAGTTGGCAGGACAGGGTAACTGGAATGCCGGACTTGCAGGCGCCGTCTCTGCCTTTCATGAGTGGAAGCAATCATAGATCCACCCCCTCCTCACGCAACCCACGGCACACACAATACCTATCATCTGCCCCCCCCCCCCCCCCCCCCCCCCCCCCCACTTTCAACTCGAATCGTTTCCTTCCTCTCCACTTTTGACTTCCTTGCTTTTGATTCACTCACACAACATGGCACATACTACTTATAAAATGTACATTACCAACATTGGACACGTCCTTTTTGCTTCTTTCATGTGTTTTTTTGTCGTCTTTAATATCAATTGGGAACCAGGTGTCATGATCATGAAATAGGGCGTTTGTCATTAGAAGAGTCATTAAACGAATGATTTGTACAGAGAAAAGAAAGGTAGAAACAAATGAAACTGCTCGGGGGAAGTAATACGGTATCCTTCCCACCATCTAAACATTGACATGACATAAAAAGGTACGAAAAAAAAGAAGAAAAAAATGCTGGTTTGACATATGCAGAGTGTAAGAATAATCAAGAGTTTCATGCATGGATTGTTGGATCGATCCATGATGGTCGCGGGTAGGATAAGTGATACCACACTTCCCGCGTAGTGTCGGACGACAGTAATCCTTGTCCAACAGGTTCAATAGGACTAATGCCAAGTTAAAGCGCCTATTTTACTCGTCCAGTCCGTACCGTGCGTGGTTGCGGCACCATCCACTCACTGTCTCGTAGACAAGGAATGTAATACATGTTCCTGGCAAGACACGGATGACATTGGGCGCAACTCCCTTGTAGAATCCAAGCAGACCCTCCGCTCTATTGAAAACAACAAAATGAACATGTTAGTTGTCAACACTTCCTGTTTGTTTTGTCAATCGGTACACCAGACGAATTATGACGCCAAGTACCTCTTGATTTTGCGGATGCAGTCCATGACACCGGTGTACTCGACGCCAGTCTGAGGGTTGCGCATCATCTGGAGACGAGACCGCAACACCTGGTATGGGTATGTTGCAACAGTCGCGGTGACCTTGGAAGAGGCAGCCATGCACAAGTACTCGATCGTCGAAAGCGTCTCCCAGTCATGCTTCTTCTCCAACAGTCTCGATTCCCGCAACTTTGCAAACGTCTTTGAATCTATGCTCACACCCGTCGACTCGGAAGACTGAACAGCAGCAGCGGTGTCGGTAATAGGGACGTTGGCCTTGCCACGGACCTCCTCAAGGAACTGCTTCTCCCATCGCTTCTTCTTGACCTCCTGCCTCCAGTACTTGAGCTGTTCATAGGCCATAAACTGGATCGCTCCGTGGCTCACTCCAAAAAGCGCGGGGACAATTCCTCTATAAAGTCCCTGGATACCCTCGGTCCTGAAAAGCGACGTCAATCCGCCGATCAGACTCTGGTATGATCCTGGGGTTGCCTTTTTGGTGGTGCACATGCGAGTCTTGATGACCCAGAAAGGGTTGGTGACAACAGCCGTCATGGCTCCTCCGAGCATACTGGCCGTCATATGTTGAGTAGGTCCGAGACGTCCTGTGTTGGGGTCGACGGGCATGCTGGCCTTGATCCCGGCATAGAGGTAAAAGTACAGACCCCAAGAGACTGTGGCGCCTGCAAAGTTGGGTGTCAGTCCACGATAGAGTCCATGACGGAAACCTTCACTCCTGTAGATCTGTTGGAAGCTGCGAAGTGTTCCCCCAAGCTTTGGGGCTGCCTGTGATGCATTCACTATTGGGAGGCAATTGGAGGTGTGTGTAGGATGTTAGAGAAAACTGGGGTTCTTTGCTTTCGAGTGCGGGCAAAAACATCCCCAGAGAAAAAAAAAAAAGTACTTTCACAAAGAACCCTTCTTCCGCTTTCCAATCATTATCCCTCGCCTTTTTGTTTGTTTGTTGGTCGTATCCATACCTTGGAACCGCGTCTTGATGAGATCGAGAGGATGAAGGAAGATTGTCGAGACAGCACCGCCAGTGAACCCTGCCAATGCTTGGTCCTATTACAATATAATATACATCAGAACAGCGCAGTTAGTACGTTCGGCCTCGAAAAGATGATTTGTTTTGATTCCTTCTGTCGACTTGCTGCCCCTGGGATTTTTTTTCCGTTAGGGTTCGTTTTGTACCCTGATCAGTCATAGGTTTGTCACTCTCCCTCCTGATGATTCCGCTTTTTTTGCTTCTTCCGAGTTGCTGATGTCGTTGTTGTTGTCGCTGTTCAACCAAGAAAATGGAAACGCGTCCCTGTCGCCGGTCGCTGTTGCTATTGTTTTGACCGAACGACGGTTTGTGAATGGGGTTGTTGTCGAGTCATGAGGCCATTTGTTTGGTGTTTACCGTGGCTACGCTTCCTGTGTATGATTTCGGCATGGTCGAAGAGTCTTGTTGGTTATTGTCGTTGCTGTGTTCCTAGGTATGTGGTTCGATTCTTGTCTTTCTTGTCGTTGTTTTTTATTCAAAGAAAGAAAAAAAGAGAAGGGAGGAGAGGAGAGGAGAGAAGAAGGAAACAAGAAGAATGGAAAAGAGATAGAGGAATTGAAAAGGGGAAGGAAAGAGCCACAACAACCGAAGAGCAACGAAGGAGGTGAAGAACGAAGGGAGGGAACGGAAACAGTCAAAGGGGGCAATGGAAACACACGGAGACAAAAACGAAGAGACCGTGAGAGTTGAGAGGGGAAGAGAGTTGAGCGTGCAGCGGAGAAGCGAGAACAAAAGGAGAGGGGTTTGGAGCAGGAGAAGGAAGAGAGAGGGCGGGTGGACGATGCGGAGAAGGAAACACATCAAAAAATTACACATCACGCACACAGACAAATGCGCGGTGTAAAAACGAGGCATGCATCCTTGTTATGTTCTGTCAGAGTGTCCGAACAAAGGGGAGGCAACCAAGGGACACCAATACACACTCCTTGTCGTCTCTCTTCATATCCAGCACAGTCGCTATTCTTACTCTTCTTTTGATATCGTTTCGATGCGCTTCTTTGCTCAGTTGTAATGTGCTAAAGGGCTTTATGCTTACGTGGACGCCATGGCTCATAACTGACGAGTGAGAGAACAAGGAGGGTGTCTATCCATACCCCAGGAAACCAGTCAATGGCTCCATGGCTTATTGTCTTCTTCCGTGTTCACTGGTTATTGTTCGCAAGTCAAGAACTGGATGATCCAAACCTACGTCGGAAGAATCAGGGGCCAAGAAAAAAAAGAAAGTTAATCCCCATTTTCTAGGCAAAGCCAAAAGACGCCACCATTTTTGACATTTCTTTTTGATTTAGTGGCACTCATTGATTCTTTAGTTTGCTGCTCCTCACCCACTCTTCTTTGCTGCTGAAGGAAAAAAAAAAAAAAAAAAAAAAAAAAAGGCTCCTCATTACTGCTGAAACCAAAGCTTGAGCGCCCCATGCGTGTCACCTCCTGATTATCCGATTCCTGGAGACATGCATGCGATGTTTGGCACATTGCATATTTCCACCTGATACAAAGAAGTTCAGAAGTAGCAACTCTTTAGATATAGACTTTTGCCATCGTCCAACAGGTATGAACCCAATCCGCCTCTTCGTTTCTGCCTCATGTCCAACGAAAGCAATAGTAGTTTTGAATCATCCGTTTTTGCATCCAAAACAATGCTTAATGTTAAAAGACAACTCAAATGAAATGTTGTGCAAAGAGCTTTTGACAATGGAATCATTTCATTACCCATGTGGCAATCAGCACACCCCAATCCTCTTCTTGCTTGCTGTGCGGCGCGGTTGATTGCAAATGAGAAATGAAGAAGGATGAGCAGGATGCAAGACCTCAATGTCTCAACCAGTCTTTCAGAAGTATTCTGCTGTTTGCTTTGCGACTTGGATCGCCTAAATGTTTGCGTGTAATAGTAAGAAGGTACGACTACCCAGGTTTTTAGTTGGTCACGAGTCCAACCCTAGTTCCAACAGCTCACTCTCTACAGCCATGTGGCAAGAAAAAGGGGGTGGCGTAAACAAGGAGTGCCTGCCCTGGGCCTGGATCTGTATCGAGAACAGGGAGGTGGAGGCGGGTCGGACGGATCGGCGGCATTGGACCAGTACGACGACGATGCTGCTTAGTAGATAGTTGTTGTGACTTGTCGCTATTTTTATAGCTGGTGGTGTGCGCGCACATGCACGCGTGTCTCAACATTACAAGTGGGTAATCATTATTCAAGGCACTCATTTCGTCAAAGGCAAGTGTGTGAGGTCCAAGCACCTCATTATCTATTACCTTTGGCGCTTTGGCAAAAAAAGGTGATAAACAAAAACACCACGAGAGTTGTCGCATTGCATATGTATATGTATATGTATATGTATATGTATATGTATGAAAGAGCGACTTGACATCATTAGCAAGCAACTTGTGAGCTGGGCGCAACTTTTTTCATTGCATGCTCGTCCTTCATTCCTCCTTTGGTTTCGAATTCTTAATCTTGAGCACTGTCGCCCTATCTCTAGAAGATTGTTAATTCGATCGTAGTATGGGTAAACCCATCGCCTAGATAACCTTGCCCTTTAACAAAGGAGTTGTGCCGGCACCAGCAGCAAGTATAACCGCTGCCTTGGCAAGAGGAGGCGCATCAGAGCCAAAGAGAGATAAAGAGGTACAAAAGTAAGGGAAAAGGGGTATGCGGAAGATGAGCGCTTTTTTATTTTTTTATTTTTTGGCGCTCTCTCGCTCTCTGTCGCTCTTGCCTTCTTTTCCAACGGCTGGAAAAGGTAGAAGGAAGGTTGAGCTATGCTCATAATGGACTCCTCTCGCAGTAGAATGATGGTTCTCTGACCTCTCAAGCTTTATGGTTGTGGCGGCTCATTTTACATTTTCTATTTTATTTTTGTTGGCTTTTGAAAAACGCATAGAATGGCAGTGTGCCGGCTTGGATTAGAGCCTCGAAGAGGGGCGCATCGACTGCTCATAGGGGGTTTTGTGGGTTTTCCTCTCTCTCTGTTCATGAATTATCACCTTGCAGAGTATTTTGAGCAAATTTGAGCACAAAGAAAAACAAACGTGTCGTGCATATCGATCCGTCCGCCCATCCCGATACGAAATGAAAGTGAGGTGGTAATTGGAGGCTATTCAAGAAAAGGAAAAAGAAGAATGAAATAGCGCCTTTATGGAATGAACGAATGAAAGGGCGGCGACGGTTGAGAAAGTCGAAGGGAAAGCAGTAATGACAAGGATGGCATTTTCGTGTAATCTGCTCGCACACACAGAGACAGGCACACCCACAAAGTATTTATTTATTTCTGGACCCGATCTCTTGGGCGTCAAGCATCAAGGCGATAAGTTGTGGAAAATCGATGATGCTTCCTCCTCCATCTCATTTTTTTCCCTTTAACTTTAGCCTTTGTTTTGGGATTTCGTCCACCGCTCCGCTAAGTTAGTTCTTTGTTGTTTCTAGATCGCTTTGGGGGGCAAGGAGTGACGATGATGACGGTAAAGAGACCTTTGAAGAGGAAATTGCGTGGATTTGTACAAGTTTGTTGTGGGCGATGCATGTACTGTAGGACGGGACTAATTGCAATCCATGGAAGGACAGCACCAGTTGCTTGTTGTTGTGTGCTCAACAGTATTTGTTTTCATTTGAGTGTCCCTTCATGTTCATTCGTTCCTTTTTTTGTGTTTGTTCATGTTGTGTGTGTCTTAAGGTTCAGTCAGACTCGAAAAACAACAACGGCAAGATGAGGGAAGGGAGAAGCGAGAGAGAGAGAGAGAGAATGCAAGAGGAGGCAAGGAAAGAGTGAGGATGAGATGTTATGAGCGATAGATAGGGTTGAGTGTATCAGCGGTGCCGGTATCAGCTGAGGGCGCAGATGGCGATTAGAGGTGTGAGGGAGAAGGAGAGCCGTAATGGATACAGGCCATTGACAACAACAATAAAAGGGGACAGAAAGGTCAAGAGGAGAGAGCTACTTCGAGCAGGACAAACAAAGCAAAGGCAACAGGTATCCATAAAATTGTAATATCTGATGGCGGTTTCGAAGAAGTGATGGAAGTGTGCGAAAAATAAAAGACAAGGAATAACTTTAATTGACACAAATCAGCAACCACACGCAGCTCTTCCTCTCATCCCCATCATTGTCAGTTGTTTGCTCGAAAGAAAGGGAAAAAAAAAAAGAGAGACGAGAGTGTGTCTCGCTTGTCTTGGAGGAACTTGTTTGTTTTCCAACCCCACTTCTTTCCTCGCCCTTTTTCTTTCCTTTCCTTCTTTTCTCCATCCCTTCTCCTCCTCTTCTTCCTTCTTTCATCACTTTACTCATTCTTTATTATTCATTCTCTTCATTTATATTTACCCATTCATACACTTATTTGTTTTTGCCACCAGTACCACCACCTTCTTCTTACTCATCACTACACTACACTTTTCACTCTCTACTTGACTTCACTGCCCGCACTACTCTGCCTTAATCTCCCACATCAGAAACATCAACAAGAACAAGAACAAGCACAAGCACGAAACAAGCAACAACAAGCTCATCATCTATCATCTCTCATCTGCATAACTCCAATACACATACACACATCAGCAATAACGAAAGACCACAAAAAAAAGAGACCATAGAAAAAAACAGATCGCAATGTCCGCTGACTACTCGCCTCCAACCCAGGCCTCAACTACCTTTGCGCCCGCCCACGAGGTGATCCCCGAGGACTCTGCTGCCACAGGATCGCCCAACCCAGGACATATCTCCAGCCCACCTCCTGCCTCTCCCGCTGCCGTCAAGGCCGCCATGCAGGCCAGACGAAAGTCTCGTGGCCTTGGAGAGGGCCTCCGTCCCGACTTTGTCTTCCCCAAACCTACCGGTGCCGCCCCGTCTGCCTCGACCTCTGGCCACTCTACCGGTGTCGTCAATGGACTCCACAAGGACTTGAACAACCGTCTCTCCCTCAGTGCCGATCCTGCTACCGTTGTCACGGTCAGCGCGACCACCCTTGATAGCCACTCCAAGCTCGTCTCTGTTCGACCCCTTCAGGAGGACGACGCTCAGCTCCAACACCACCGTGCAGCATCTCTTTCCGCGAATGGCTCCCTTGCGCCACCAAAGAACTCACAGCAGCACCTCAGAACCCACTACCGCACCCACAGTCGAAACGGCTCCACGGTTACCGTGCAGGATCTGAAGCAGGCTATCGCTGCCGTCTCAATGGATCTCTTGGAGTTGCCACCCATCACCGCCGTCTCGACCGGCTCTACTACCTCGACCACCACGACTACGACCACGGCGACAGAGATGGGCGCCTCGGGAGCTACTTCAGTGACCTCATCAGGATCCTCAACAGGAGCCTCGTCCAACACCACCACCGTTGCAGAATCATCACTTGGAAAGGTCGCTACATCTACTGGTACGTCTCTGTCGTCCACCACTACCACCACCACTACCAAGTCAAAGCTTTCCACTTTCTCTGTTTCAGCAGATCCAGAACCCGAGATGTCCTTCACAGGAAATACCGCTCTCTCTTCTTTGCCCCCATTGTCGTCCTTCTCTTCGAGTCCTTCTTCCTTCACCCAACGGACTCTCGATTTCCTTCAAAACTCAACAACAACGACCACAGCCTCGCTACGAGGTCTAGGTTTAAACCTGGATTCACTCAAGCAATCCCCTCCGACTCTTACTCTGGACTCTGTCAAAGCTCCTTTGACCCCTCTTCGTGATTCCTTTTCTTCTTATGCCAACCCTCTCCCCTCCCCTTCCCTGCCCACCCGCCCAAACTCCTTCATCTTGCCAAGGACGGCTCGCGATCGTTTTTTCGTTTCTGTACCACCCTTCTTTGCCTACTCTATCCCTCATGATATCCCATCCCCTTATACCTCTCCACGACTCCTTCTCCCGGGTGCGGCTGGCCCGACCCCTCTCCCCGTGTCTCCATTTGCTCGCAAACGAAAGTATACTTATCATTACTCCACGACCCACTATCCTTCTCCCACCATCACAGTCAAGCTCCCAGGTCACGATTCGGCCGTCGCTCTTCCCCACAGCCTACTTGTCGGAGACGTGCCGGAAACGGACCTGAACGAACGTCCTGTTGAGCAGGACGATACATCGGCAGCAGTAACAACAACAACGGAGCAGGAGCAACTCAAGGAGGAGGAGGAGACTGAGAAGAAGGAGACAGAAAACACTTACAAGGCAGATGACGTTATTGCAGCAACTCCAGAGGCACCCAAGGCACCCAAGACAACACTTACAGCAGCCGAGAAGCGCATGTCATGGGCTTCGATGGTAACTTCAGATGAGGCATTGGCTGCCAAGGCACCTGCAGCTGTTGTCACACCCGCTGCATCTCAACCCTATCGACCCCCTGGAAGTCGTCTGAGATCTGCTGCAGCAGCGGCAGCAGCAGGCGGTCAGAGCGCAGTCAACGGTCCTCGTCCTTCGGAAGTCGCTTCCGCATCTGCACCATCACCTGCTGCATCTTCTATTCCTGCGTCTGTTCCCACCCCCCCTGCAACAGAACAGGCCTCAGCCGCCCCTGGTCGCGTGAGAAAGGCTGCCCCTCCTCCATTGAACCTTGCTGGCAATAGCAACAGCAACACCAACAACACCGATGCAGATGGAACTGACTCTCCTACTACACCCACCACACCCAGTCGTCGTCGCAGGTCGAGAAGCCGAAAGAACCAGAAGGACACGCAGTTGGACGGCGCTCAAACACAGGATCAGGACAAGGATCTGACTGACGATGCCGATTCCTCAGCAACCGGCGAGAAGCCGCAGCAACAAGATGAGAGCGCCAATGGCGCAGCCAATGGAAATGCAGATTCGACAGCGACAAGCGACCAACCCAAAAAGACAAGGACTCGTTCTCGCTCCCGATCCAGATCTCGATCGCGTAGCCGTGCTCATGCTGACAACAACTCGAGCCACGGATCTTCAAACGAGTCGGTCCCTCCTGTCCCTCAGACACCCTCGTGGGTTCCTGTGCACAACATGACCTTCGCCAGCGCAGCGCCTGCGCCTGCAACCTTGAGCGTCCAGATTCCCGCTATCGCACCTGCTAGCCCTGTTGGACCCGCCCACCCTGTCGCAGAGGTCCCTGTGAGCCCCATGAACGGATCGATGCCCTTGAGCCCGATGAACAGCCAGTTTGCCGAGGCAGAGTTCAAGCGTCGTGGACCCCGCCCTGCTCGTCTCTTGAGCACTCGTTCCAACCACAACTTGCATCTTCAGACACTGACGGAAGGAGGACAGGCTGCGTTCTCTCCTAGGAGTGCGACCAACACGAACCCTGATTACTTTTCGATGCGACCCCTCCAGCACCCACCACGTACTCCCATGACCCCTGGCGGCGAGTATGGTGATGATGATGACGACTACTATGGACGCTTGCAGATGGTGACGACCCCCATGATCCAGAATGGATTCTTTCCCAACTGGGCTAAAGGAGATGCCCAATTGGAGGAGTTGGAGCGCATCCGCACGTTCTTGTCCGCCAGACAGTACCCCGATGAAATGCCTCTTTCCGACGAATGGTAAGTTTTTCTTGTTACAATCATACGCCCATGAGAGAATTTTGTATCGAGTATTATGGTCAATGTGTTGACTAATTCATATTGTAAACTTCGATTGAATAGGACACTGTTCTTTTCGGATACATCTCGTGCCAAGGACAAAACGCAGGTTCAGGATGCATACTCGAGCGCGATTACACCCCTGTTTAGCTGTCACACTGTTCCCCAGTTTGCGACGTCATGGAAGTATGTCCGTGAGCGTGTTCGTCCTGCGGCCATGAAGGTGAACCAGAACTTGCACTGGTTCAAGAAGGGCATCAAGCCCATGTGGGAGGATCCTCGCAACAAGTATGGAGGCCGTCTCACACTTTGCCCTCCCCGGTCGTTGCTCGATACCGTCTGGGAGACTGTCTTGATTCTTATGGCGGGAGATGTTCTCGACTACCGCGGCGAGAGCACGGGTGCAGGTACATATCCTTTCGCTTTGTTTGTTTGTTTTTGCATGTTCTTGTTTCTTTTTTGAGGTGAGCTAAATGCTAACAACTTTCTATTGTATGTTTACTATGATGTTAATAGTATTTGCGCGCAGAGCTCGTGGAGATCGTGTGGAGGTGTGGATTGGAGCTGACGATTCGCCCGAGGCATTAGCACACATCCGTGGAGTGTTAGCTCAGGAGTTGGCAGCCAGTGGAGCAGACGAGCTTGTGCGCACGGCCAAGTACAAGAAGCACTTTGACGGCAGACGTGAGGAGAAGCAGAAGGCTGCTGCGGCTGCCAAAGAGGCCAATGCTGCTGCGGCTGCTGCCGCTGGCATCACCGGTGTTTCTACTCCTACTACTGGTGCTGCAGGTGGTTTGGCCACACCTGGACCTGGACCAGCAGAAAAGATTTCAACATCGACTACACCGACCATGTCGAGCAGCAGCACTTTCTCAGGTTTGTCGAGCCCACTCTTGTCCACTACCCCCCGGATGGGTTCATCTAGCACATTCAGCAGCAGCAATTTGAGCGAGTTCAAGACGTTTGAGGCGTTTACACAGCACCAACAGCAGCAGCAGGCCCTGAGAGAGCGTGAGCGTGAGGCGACCAAGGAGCAAGAACGGATTATGCAGTTGGGTAAGGAGCGGATGGAGAGGGAGAAGGCGGAGAGGGACCGGTTACGGGATGAGAAGGTGCGTGCTATGGCTGCTGCTGCGATGGCGGCTGCTGAGGCGAAGCATCAGGAGAGGTTGCAGCGAGAGCGTGAGGCTGCTGCCGCAGCTGGTGGACAGTCATAATTTTTTTTTTAGTAAGAACAACTCTAATTACAATAGAAAACAAGGAGGTTTGTTGTGATTCATATCCGGATTATTATTTTCATATCGCATCGTGTTTACTTTGTTTACTTGTGGGTGCATTGGGTTGTTTTTCTTCTTTGACGTGTAAGGTCGGCGTTTGTGTTCCTCTCCACATCTTGCACATGGTGAGCGATTGATTGGTTCTCCAAGATTTTGTTGTGAGGTGTGTGTGTGTTTATTGTTATCAGGATTTAGGAGGAATTGATCCATCGTGAGCCATCACCAAGGATATTTCATGAACAACTAACAGTTACATTAGAGCCACAAAAGATGAAAGAGTCAAAGAGTTGATCCCAATGGAACTTTCGAGTGTAGCAGGTACCGTTTGCAATAAAAAAAGGAGCTACAGTTACGACTGACCACATGATGACCACGGATTAGAGAAAAAAAGTCGAGGAGTGAAGAGGTAGCTCACAGAACTTTTGAGTAGGATGCAAGGCACCATTTCATAGATGAACTAGGGATTGGAGCCAGGATTTGTGAAGAGATATATCTGGCAGAGCATTCAAGCATAATTCAAGAGTACCATTTGCACGAATACAGCATAGAGCCGCAGTCGAGTGCTTGCGTGAATAACTAACGAAATGATGAACAAAAAGCACTTTGATGTTCGATGGAAGAGAAACAGTGAGTGGTCGTAGATAAGCGTAGAACGTTTTGTTTTAATGTGCATGTTTGTGTGTGTGTCGAGGTGTGGTTGGTTGGTGGTCGTGAAGCGAAGGGGAGTTATATTTCCTTTTGTGTTGGTCAATTGCTGTTTTGCTATGAGTCGATGCTTTTTTTTTGCTGTGAGTACGAAGTGCATGGATGGATGTACCGTTTCGATTCCCTTGATTTCTTTAGTGCGAATGAAAAATGAGTGACTCAAGCAGTTTTGATTATTTTTGCATGTGGGTTGCCAGTGCCACACAAAACAGGCACAGTCAGAGGTAAACTGAAAATTATTGGAGAGCAGAGCACCAGAGAGATAACACGGACTTTTCGCTTGCAAAGTAACTCTGTCGGAGAATAGAGAAACCGGTTGAAGACGAAGAGTTGGAGGAAAGTCAGTGGTACAATCTGGGCAAATGGATCAATTCTAGGGCCAAGGAGAGGGAGAGCATTCATGAAGCAGAGTGGAAGAATGTGTATTGTCGGTTGGAGGAGGAGGAGTGCCTGTTTGTTTGTTGATGTCGATCGAAAATGGGGCTATAGAAAATGAAAAGTGGAGTGAGCCCTAGTAAGAAAAAAATCTATGACTCGAGCTGGTTTTTTTTAATGTGGCACAGTGATAGATTAAAAAACAAAAAGTTCGGAGTCACCGAAAATCCTGTCCGGGGTGGGTTGGTTGGTTGCAGACTTACAGAGTCCGGGGGAGGGGTAATGGATGATGCTATTGTTCCAATACATCTCTCTCTCACCCTCTCACAGGAGTGCTGAAGGGAAAAAAGGAAAAAGGGAAAAAGGGAAGGAGGAGTTCCAACCTCAGTCGAACATTGGCTCATTTGCCTTGGATCCTTCCTTCCTTATCTGTTCTGGAGGTCTGATTCAGAGGGAAAATGTGACTGGGGTTCTTCCTTTCGTCCTTGTCATCGAACCATTTCTTCTGACTTGCACAATCTCCGATTGTCCGACACACTTGTGGACACAGGAGGCATACGAAGAAAGCGAAGATCCTTCAACTTCAGGTCCCGTCCGTTGCTCTTTGTCATCGCCCTTCAGGAAGCTACATAAATAGCCAGGGGGATGCCCACTTCTTTTCTCTTCTTTTTTTCTATCACTTCTACACTTTCATCTTCATCTTCAACTACAAAGCAAGCCTTAGCTTTAAGCTTTCATACCCCCTACGTCTTTCATCTTTCACTCACTCACATCGCTTGCATAACGCACACACCCCTCACTCCCCTATCTCCATCAACAAACAACAAACCACCCCCTCACCTACTTATAAAAACCCTTTCTTCCACAAAAAATGTCTCCTTCACAAGCACCCATCCAAACCGTCCCCATCTCCCGCCCCGCCTCACCCGTCCCTCTGATGTACTCCAAGGAACAAATCGAGCCCGAGTTCATGGAGGATCTCCGTGTCTCTGGATACTCTCCCCTCCTCCCTCCCCAGATCATCCAAGAAGAGCTCCCCATGGTACGTTTCCTCCTCATATCGTTTTTGCTGTTTGTTGCGAATCTCGGAAAAAAAAAAGAGAGAGAGGTGGTAGTCATAGTTTTCCGTTATCTTTAACACTAACCCTTACATCTCCTTTTCCTTCCCATTCATAATAATAGTCGGCGGTTTCAAGAAAGGTAGTCTCGCTCGCCCGCCAACAAGCAGCCAAGATCCTCCGCGGCGAGGACGACCGTCTCATCGTCATCGTCGGCCCCTGCTCCATCCACGACCCTCGCGCAGCTCTCGAATACGCCAAACTCCTCAAGCCCCTCGCCGACGAACTCTCGGGCGAGATCCTGGTCATCATGCGTGCCTACTTTGAGAAGCCCCGTACCACCGTCGGTTGGAAGGGACTCATTAACGACCCCGATATCGATGGCACCTTCCAAATCAACAAGGGACTTCGGATTGCCAGGGGTCTGTTGTGTCAGTTGACGGATATGGGTGTCCCCGTCGGATGCGAGTTATTGGATACGATCTCGCCTCAGTTCTTGGCGGATTTGATCTCGTGGGGTGCTATTGGTGCCCGGACGACCGAGTCGCAGTTGCACAGGGAGTTGGCCTCCGGAGTGAGCTTCCCTCTTGGGTTCAAGAACGGAACTGACGGGAATATTACTATTGCGGTGGATGCCATTCGTGCTGCTTCCAAGCCTCACCACTTCTTGGGCGTCACCAAGCAAGGTCTCGCAGCCATCACCAACACCAAGGGCAACGAACTCTGCCATTTGATCCTCCGCGGCGGAAACGGCGGTCCCAACTACGAGCAGGAACACATCTCCACCGTCCGCGCCGGCCTCGTCAAGGCAAAACTCCCCGAGGTCATCATGGTCGACTGCTCGCACGGAAATTCGAGCAAGAAGCACAGGAATCAGATCTCGGTCTCTGCAGACTTGGCCAACCAGGTCCGAAATGGAGACAAGTCGATTGTTGGATTGATGATTGAGAGTAATTTGGTCGAGGGTCGCCAGGATGTCGGACCTGAGGGCAAGGAGGCCTTGACTTATGGTCAGTCGATTACCGATGCCTGTGTGAACTGGGACGATACTGTGAACATGCTCAAGGATCTTGCTGAGGCTGTTCGCGTAAGACGCGGTTAAGCGCTTCTTCTCTCCCTTGTTCTTTCTCCATTTACACATTAGTTCTTCCTTCATAACAATAACCTGTATCATACCATTAAACTCATACAAACAACACCATTTGAACAAGAGAGTAATAATGCTCTGGGGAATATCTATTGTGGCAAAAAAAAACCAATGGCAATGTATCTTATCAATCCTTTCCCACCCTAAGTGTCCGCCGCAGCCTCATGATTGCTCCTGCAACTGCAACTCCTTCATCTGCTGTTCCAACTTCTTCTTTTCCTCAAAAGCGCGCATACAAGCCGCAACACCCTCGGCCCCACCCTTCGCAAAGGCCTCCTTCAACTCCTTCTTCCTCCTCGCATTCTCAACAATCGAGAAGGCAAAATACCGATCCCGGAATCCAAAATGTCCCTGGCTTTTAGGACCCGTCGTCGACTTGTTCATATTTCCAGTGGGCAGTCCCAACCCAGTCTCACCATCCCAATCGGCCACTTTCTCCATAGTGATCAAGCGACGAGACCATTGACCGAATGCCTGTTCACAGTTGGCGACCAGTTCCATGCATGGGTGGGTAGGGAGGTCGTCGATGGTGTAGTCTTCAGTGACAGTGGGCAGCCAGTAGACGAGGCGGCCGCCGCGGGTGAGGTTCTTGACGGCGAACATGAGTAGGTCAGCGACTACTTCTGACATCTCGTATGGCTTTGTTGGTGGCACATAATCTGGCAGTCTATTTTATGGATCGCACATGTGTAGATAAAAAAAAACCTGTTAACAATGGTTGTTCTCACTTCTGCAGATGTCTTGAAAACTGTCTCAACAAAGAAAAAGTTTGAGCAAAAAACTTTACGTGTGGGCAAAAACGCCTTCGTTGACGGCCATGCGAGGCTCGGTGGCCTGTTTAGTGACATCCTTGCGTCCAAGGGTCTTGGCACCAGCACGGACGCCATATGGAGCTATGATTCAATCATAAAGAACGCAGAGAAAACTGTGAGTATATTCGTCAAAACCCCTTATTCTACTCGTTATTAATAAAGGTGGACGACCCGTCAAAGAGGGGAAAACAAAACTTACGATCGGTGACAATGGCATCAAAGAGTCCGCCCTTGAACCGCCTCCAGGGCGCATGACACACATCAAACACAAGGGCATCCAAAACTCGGCCCTTCAAATCATACTGTTCACAGTTCGACTGAATACTGGCCTTGCCCTTTCCCCTGATCTGTCGTCCATCAATATCAGATCCAACCGTCATGGCTCCGAAATGAGCACAGGTCATGAGGAAACTTCCTGTGCCGACAAAGGGGTCGTAGACGAGTTTTCCGGGTCCGCAGAGGGCCTGGTTGGCCATGATGAGGGAGAGTTCTGCGTCCATGGTGGTGTTGCCGATGTATTTCCGCTTCTTGACGTTGAACTTGTCGATCAACTCGCGCTTTCCATGCCCCACCTACAACATATTCACATGATCAATAATGAAGGGTAAGTATCTATACAAGCAAAAGATAGATCCTTCAATGCCTCATGTCCTCCAATCGCCTCAGCCAACTTACCAAACGTCCCATGTAGAAGGTATGGGCAACATGGACATTAGGATCAATGCCATAATCGGCAATGAGCTGGAACTCCTCCTCGGGGTTCTTGAGATCGATCTTGCCCATGAATCCCGTGAACGCGAACCGGTTGATAATCGCAGGCTTGTCCTTCATCTCGATCGTACCTCCAAATGTCACCACCAAGAACTTGAACGACGTCTGCAAGTATTGTGGCTATTTTGGTTACAAAAAACAATGTTTCGCAGACATGGGTCAGTAAGTGTTGGTTTGGAGTGAAAGCGACCATTTTTGATCCCCGACTATCATGATCCCATTTGTCCTGATAATGATTCCATTGTAGTTTACCCAGCGCTCGGGGTGCTCCTTGACTCTCTCGATCAGTTCGTCCCATGAAGATCCCTGACCCCACAACTCAATGATAGTCCTACATCATCAGCAAAGAAGAAGGCCAAAAAAAAAAGGAAGAAGCGTCAGGAATAGTAACCCAAACAGATCCAACTTCCTGCGATAATCCTGTCAATGCCATCTTCGTTAGATGAAAACAGATGCCTGGGGCTTACTTGACGAGGATGGCGCGGTTCAAAAGCAAGGCAGCCTTCTCGGCGGACTCGATCTCGACAATCAAGAAGGGTGACTATGAATATTGAAAGGTGTGACATAATTTTCGTTTTAGTTGGTCAAGCATCGAATAGTGTTGTTCATGTCAATTGGTTCAACTGCTATGACCCCAGCATTTGCGCGTTCTGCGTAAATAATGGGCAAAAAATTCAAAGTTACCTCCAGACTGTAGGCGCTGGGCTCATAGGTCATCTGCACATTCTCGATGGTCGCCAAAGCCTCGAGTTCAGGCAGGCGGAACTAATTATTCGTAGGGTAGTTGAACGGTGTTGGGAGGAGAGGAGTAGTAAAGTCAGTCAACCAGGCGAGGCAAGGGGGGGGTTCACACCGACGCCATAAATGTCGGTCCTGTGCATAGATATATGCTGGGCGCTAACCTCCTCATGCTGCTGAGCAAACTGAATTAAGAAGAGCGGCATTGCTGGTTAATGAAGTAAAGCAAAAGTGAATGCAAAAGAAGACAAAAAAAAAAAGTAGGAATTGCCGGCCCTTTCAAAGTTGTGTGAGGTTGAGGCGGCGAAGTTCAATGTGGCTTATCCTTGTTTACACATATTTTTTTTTTCCCCCTTCTTCACTTTCATAAAGGGTCCATGCACACACTTGACTTTTGTCTTTAACTCTCAACAACCGCATCAACCCATCAACCCATCGCTCGTCTCGCCAAACCCACCGAACCAACAAAACTCACCAACACATCCCATAAAAACAGGAAACACAACATACTTTTAAAAAATGAGACTCATTACCCACAACATGCTCCAGTGCCACGTCAAGGGCTGCAACGCCAACAACTTCCCCCTCGAGCTCCAGGAGGTTGTCCTCGAGCAGGAGGAGGCCGAGATGAACGAGGACTTTTTGAGAAACATGCTCACAAAGATTGAATACGACGCCCTCGTCGCCACTTGCCTCAAGGTAAAAAAAAATAAAAAATACGAGCACACAGTTGAGGAAAAATAAAATGCAAGAAGTGGGGGGGGACCCAGTCAAATAATTAACATGGGTCTGCAAATCCTCATTTTGTTCATGTTAGCTCGATATCAACGATCTCCCCGCAGCGATCCCCGCCGACGCCGCATACAACGATGAATTCCTCCAGATCCTCCACCGTGTCATCCTTGAGGTAAAACGACAACTCTCAAGAACAAGGACATCCCAACAAGGAATTGCAGGATCGAGATAAGAAGAGACAAAGGAGCCCAAAAAAAATGCGGCAAAGCATCAGCATACACGGACATGTTGCAAAAGTGGCAATAGCAAGACTGGAAAGTGGAAAAGATCCGTAACTGAAATCAGCGGTCGCATTTCATCGGTTCACTAGCCAAAGAAATAGGGAAGACAGGGGTTGATCAGAGGAGGCGACCGACACCAGTGGCGAACAGTCCAGCAACAGGAAAGCTTTTTCTTTCATTGAAAATGGGAACAGCTCAAGAGCAAAACAGGAATGAACAAGGGCGTGCATGTCAAGCGAAGAACGGACACACCAATCAATAGCTAACGCCTCAATGTCATACCTCCAATTGACCTCATAGACCCACATCAAATCAGGAAAGATGGTTTGCCCAAACTGCCAACACAACTATATCATCCGCGACGGCATCCCCAACATGCTCCTGGCTGAGCATGAGGTCTAAACAACTTACAATGGGACAACAAAACAACTCTAGTAGAACAAATAGCGATAATCCCATTTTCGTCAACGGATCTTTTAATAACAAGCAAAGAACACGATCAAGGCTATTGCGATGTTTATTTTTGATGGAGACTCAAAGAAATTTATGAGGGAAGGGGGGATGGATGGCGAAAAAGCCTATGATTATTAAGTATGGAGTGTTATGATATGATATGCGTAAAAGATTTGGGTGTGTGCGTTTCATGATACTTGTTTGTGTTTCATATGTGCAGATACTTGTGTGTTGTCATGGAGTTGGAGTTCAGAAAGGAGAAAGGCGTTAACATGACAAAACCTAAATTGATGGCGTCTGTTCCTATCCCAGAAGTGAAAGAGTTTTTTCCTTCCTTAGGGCTCCATGAGAGGCTGCTGGTAGGGGTCGTAATGGTCGTGTGGATCTTTGCTTCGAACATGCAAAGTGTCGGTGTTGGGTGGTGGCAGTTGAGGTGGATGGCTCGGGAACCTTTCCGGGTAATAAGGCCCTTGACCAGAAATGGATCGGGGCATTGTTGCTGCCGCTGCAGCAGTCGTCACAGTCGAAGGCAAAGGAGTCGTGGACCTTGACAAGTGATGCTGTTGCTGCAGTTGGTGCTGGTGCTGTTGTTTATAGTGTCGTTGTTGTTGTCGTGCCCTATCGTGTTCACGCTCCTCGCGATCATAGTCGACAGAGTGATAACCTCCCGAGTAGGACCCCATAACGTCGTGTGGCGGCGGCGACGAAAAGTTAGGCTGGGGTGGCGGAGGCGATAGGAGTGTGAGGTCGTTGGTGGCAGAAGAGTCATTGATCTTGCGCCTGGTATATTTGCGTGGAGTGTAGGGTCGCGAGGGCGGTGAGGTTGGGACCTTGTGCGGCGAGGTCGATGAAGCTGCAGCCTCTTCCTGAGTCGACAAGAGGACATCGTGATTGCTGGCGTAGAGGCTGTTGTTAAACTTCTTTCTCCGTGATCCAGGTTTGCCGCCATCGTAGGATTTGAACCCTTGGCCAGACGAATCCGGAGAACCTCCCTCGACGTTACCTTCGTCGATGATCCACTTCAGAGGCATGTAACGTCTACATCGGTGTGCGTTGGGCATCTCCTGGATGTACTTGATCACACCGAGATTTGTCAATCCGTACATGTCTGGTCCTGAGGCATGCGTCTTTGCGTTGAATCCGAGCTCCATCAGTCCTTTCAGTGCAAGTTCCCATGCGCCACTTGACGATGAGTGTCGGAATACCTTCTCCGGCATGTCCTCCAGCGTGATTTGAAACTATATCAAGAGAACAAAGAGGCGTTAGCTTTATGAGCAAGAAATAAAGATTTGGTGGCAAACCCAGGTATGCCATGTTAAGTTCAACGTACGATGGGTTGCTCTCCGCCGTCCAAGATTTCGCTGATAAAGTAGGTCTTCTTGGATGTGTCAGACAAAGAAGTGTACTGCTTCTTGCTTCGGAAGCCAACCGGAAAGATGTATCTATGGTTGTGATATCCTCGTCCGTTCCAGACGATCCGGCCTAGAAGATTAAAATGTGTATGTAGACATTGTGTTAAAACCGACGTGATACCGGTTAAAAGTGCCACGGTACTAACAAGGCTTGTGAATTTCGTACCCATGTTCTCGATAATGACTTCGTTGGTGCCCTTTCCAACAATAATTGGGTAGTTCAGGGAGCCGTCAGGATTTGTCTTGAGAGGAACGACAAGACGCGGTCGACCACGATCAGCCCGTTTCTGTAAATGCAACAAAAGGATAAGGTGTACAAAGAGATTAGCCGTTGTTCTGTGCAACGAGAAAAGGTCAGAGCGAAAGGGTAAAAAAAGGTCCTTCCTATCATCCAATGAGAACTTGCCGTGGCTTTTCGTGTCTGTTTGGGAGCGCCCTCCGGTTTCTCCTTTTTCACAGTTGCGACCGCCGTTCCACTGTTGTTCGCCGTTCCTCTGTTGTTGTAAGATCGGGGTTGAGCGCCTTTTTGTTCGCAATGTTGGTCGTCCAAGTTGTCGCGAGTCGTTCCCCTGAATCCAGCCGTGCGATGAGGTTCGGGTGGTAGACTCCCTCCGTCATCCGTCGGGACATCTGCAAGCATGTGATGTAGAAAGTTAGAGAGAGGGTAAGAAAGAAAGAAGGGGAACTCTGAAAGTGAGAACTCTGGTCCTTTGTCCTTTTTGCCTCCTCGACTAGATATACGGTTGTGTTTTTGTGTTTGTTTGGGGTTTGTATTTATTTGATAAAGCTGAAATGCCGTTGAGAGTTGAGAGTTGAGAGTTGAATGCAAAGTTGGTGGCGCGCCGGCGATAGGATCCGGAGTTCTTTTGTGTGTTGATTATTTAACGCCCGATGGACTGAGTTTTGCTGGCGTGGTTACCTTTGCGACTGCTGTCGGTCGTCTTCCTGTACGTACGTCCACGGAATTGACTGTGATGGTTGTTGTGATGATGATGCTTCTCACCGCTGAGCCCCTCCTCGTTCATTTCCTCGTCCTCGTCATCGTCCAAATCGCTCAAATCCTCCATGCTCGTGTCACTGTCACTCGAGGGCCTAAATTATGTTAATCGATGACAAGTGTGTGCGAGCAAGTTAATATAACTTTGTTCAACGTACATAGCATGTGCTCTTGGCAAATAGCCAAATGCTGTTTGTATGTTGTTTGTATTGATCAGCGAGTGATCAATGACGATGGGTGATATAGTGATGGTCGGTTTGTTGATGAATCCAGTTTCTGTTAATGCCTATCAGTGTCAGGTTCATAGTGGATGATGGTGATAAGATTGATATCATACCCTGATCCTGTCATCTGCTGTATCTCGCTCAACAGGTCCAAGAGATGACTATAGAATAGAAAGCATAGTAAAGTATTACACGCGTCAGCCTGCATTCGGCTATGGATATATCGAGAAACAACAAAGCAGAAACATTCATATATGGATATAGAGAAAATATGCTCTGGGGCATACAACCAACGACAACAAGAACACAAAAGGGGTTTGTGTGAGTGTGTTTGTATGTGTGTTAGCCGAGAAAAAGTAAAAAGGGTGATGCCCAGCCGTTGGGATAAGTAAATGTAAACATGTGTGCGTCCGTTGTTTCTTCTATCGATCTGACCCCGAAGGGAGAGAGGCAAACGGAACAAGGGGGGATAGAACAACGCAAAGCACACAATGCGAGAAGAAAAGGAAAGACAAGGGAAGAAGGAAGGGGATGATGATGATGGCGGAATGATGATGATGCATATTAAACACAGAAAATGGTACTAAAAATACGTCTGAGAAGTAGGGATGTTGAGGGAACACAGATGTCTCTTACTTGTTTTCTTCTCGGAGTTTCCTGGTCTTGAGTCGTGCTGCCTGAAGGTCATTGGTGTATTGGCGTTGGGTCTAGAGACAAAATGGAGTAGTTGGTAGGGGCATGATATGAATATGATGTTGATTGAATGAGTGAATGAGGGAGAGATAGAGAGATATAGGTGAACCCTTAGAAAAAAAAAGGACTATTGTTGTCCCTCCGAGGAAGAATAAAAACGAAGAGTCGGATTGTCGAGGATAGAAAAGGGAAGGGGAGAGGAGGCTGAAAGGCGAAAGGGAAGGGGGGAATAGTCGAAGGGTGGGAGGGAAGGGAAGGGAAGGTTGACGTTTGTGTGTGTGTTGTTGAGGGCAAAGCAACAGGGAAGAAAAAGGAAACATTATAATACAAAATAATAACAAAGGGTAATTCTTTGATATTATGATTTCTATGATAAGGAAAATATGGCGGAAAGGTACAGTAGTTTACCGTTGAGACCCTGTCGAAGCGTTCGCGTAGTCTCAGGTACTTTTCTTTGAATGAGAGAGTGTCGTCCTTCATTGTCGTTGCTTGGTAATGGTGTGGGTGTGTGAAGAAGCGAGGGGTGAATGAATGCAGGTCGAAGGAGAGGAAGAGAGAATTAGGGGGCCGAGGGAGAGACAAGAATAAAAGGAGTTGTTTGTGGTGTAGCGGGTGGTGGAGTTGTTTGTTGAGGGTGAGGGAGTGGAGTGGAGTCGGGAAGTAGAAAAGAAAGAAAGAGAGAAAGTGGTGGGGTCGTCAGAAATAGAGAAAGGGAAGAGAGGGAGGGAAGGGAGGGAAGGGAGGGAATAAAGAGAGAAGAGGAAGAGAAGAAGAAGAAGAGAAAAGTAAAAAATTGAATGAAAAGAGAGGGAAAGAGTGGAAACGAACGAGACACAAAAGAAAAAAAAAAGAAAGAAAGAAAGACAGACGAGGGGTCCTCTGTCCTCCGCCTCGTTCGTTGTCTTGCTCGTTTGGCCAATGCCCAAGGGTACACACACAGTACGTTCGAGGGAGAGGAAGGGGCACTCGACAACTCTTTGCCCCGACTCTCTTTTCTCTCGTTCTATTTAATTACAACGGTAATCCATTCAATTCTAGAAGCTTTTCCTATTTCTTGCCTCATTGTTGTTGTTGTTGCTGTTGTTGTTATTGTTATTTCCCTTCCCTCTTCACACGCCCACAGACACGCATACTCACGTTGCATACACGCACTAGTCATCCCATTTTGTCTCTTGCCCTTCCCTTCCCTACCCCCTTTCTCTTTCCTGTTTGTTTCTCGTGGACACCACAAACAGACTTCGATGCAGGTCAAAATGAAAGCCCAAATGAACATCAATAAAAGCATAATGAGACTGCTTTTCTCTTTCTTTCTTTTTTTTTTTCTCTCTTCCACGCTGGAGGCACAAAGCCTTGTCTTTCTTGATCGCCCACCTCCCATCAGTCTCTCGTACATTACAACAAACTAATCTCCGTCGAACAGAACACATCACCAACATGACGACAAAGAACCCACTCCACATCCCCTCGGCATTCCAGGCTGACCAACCTGACATGACCCCCGAGGAAAAGGAGCAGCAGTACGTCCACTCGGTCTACCAGGCCATCGCCCCCCACTTCTCTGCCACGCGCTACAAGGTAATTCTAAATATTCTCATTGACTGAAAGAGAATAATTTTCCAGGAATAAAAAAAAGTAGTAGAAGAAATCCCGTCGTGCTCTGACGCACACGTACGGCACGAGGCCAGATCTATGGACTCGGGAAGAAAGGGAAGAAAGGGAAGAAAAGGGCAGGAAAAGTAAAATAAAAGAAAAGGGAAAAGAAAAGGGAAAAGAAAAGGGAAAAGAAAAGGGAAAAGAAAAGGGAAGGAAAGAAGGAAGGGATGATGATCCCAAAAAAGAAAAAGAGATCATACGGAAAACAATGCAAATGTACCCTTCGTTTGTTCTTTTGTCATTTTCCACTCCCTTCTTTCTGGTCCGTGTCGTCTTCTCCCCTCCTCCTCCCCTTCCACTGCTATGCCCCTTCCCCTCTTCCGTCTCTCGTCTTTATTGCTTACAGCATCTTTTCTCATGACGCTTTACTACCTTCATTCTTGCAATTGTTAATTGGATAGCCCTGGCCAGTGGTGGAAGAGTTCCTTATGACAATGCCTTTAGGATACGTCGGCGCAGATGTTGGCTGCGGTAACGGGAAATACATTGGTGTCAACGACAAACTCTTTATGGTTGGATCCGACAGGTAAAACAAATAGACATCTACAAACATTACCTTCTGCCATTGAAAGGGAAGCAAAACATTTGCTTGTCTCCATCTTTTGCTCCAATTTATTTACCATTGTATTTTCTGTTCTTTCCACCTGGTTGGAATTTTCAGGAGCTCGAATTTGATTAGCATTTGTGGCGAACGAGGTCATGAGGCCATGGTCTGCGACGGCCTTGCGCTGCCTTACCGATCACAGTTCTTTGTAAGTTTCGAACGTAGGCCTCGGCGTCCTTGTGGTGCATGTCAATTGCGCATTGACAGCAACTGCTGTTATGATTCTTTGCGTTGCACCAAAAAAAAACTAATCCCTTTTCCACACCCTTCCTTCCCATCTATTACTACTCTAAAACAACAACATTTTTAGGATTTCGCCATCTCGATTGCAGTTATCCACCACTTCATCTCGCCTGAGCGCAGAGTAGCAGCAATCGAGGAGATTCTTCGAATTGTGCGAGTCGGAGGACGCGTGCTCATCTTTGTTTGGGCTTTGGAACAGACCGGGAAACGCGATTTTGACAAGGAAACTCAGGATGTTTTTGTCCCCTGGGCTTTGGCCAAGAAACCTACTGAGTTGAGGAAGTCGTCGGAACCCAAGAAGCCCAAGGCGAATTCTAGGCCCCAAGGCGTTAAGAAAAAGGACAGGAAAAACAACAATGGTGATAATGTATCTGCAGGACAGGCGACGATGGAGCAGGATGAGGCAAAGGGCAATGAGGAAAATGCTGATGCTGGATCTGTCGTAACGGATGCGCTTAACAAACTGACCGTCCAGGAGGATCATACGGACAGCCAAGGCATCAGCAACATCAAGGAAAACAGCCTACAGGATCAAGGCTCTACTGCAGCCGACAGCCTTTCGTCATCATCAGCACACACGTCTACCGCCACTACCACCGCTGCAACTTCAACAACAACGTCAAATCGGCCCAACCCCGAGGATACACCGCCAACACCAGAAGCGGCGGCACCCGTCTATAACCGCTACTACCATCTGTTCCACAAGGGTGAGCTCGAGGATCTGGTCCTTCAAACCAACAAGGCTTCGATTGTCCAGCAGGGATACGACCGTGATAACTGGTGGTGTATTCTCGAAAAGACTCGTCATGAATAAAACCACAAGTTCATGAGTTCTCTTCTTTAGATCCATATCCTTGCGAAATCCTTTTATTTCGAAGAAGAAGCAGCAGCAGCCTTGTTGAGTTCAGCTAAGCTGGGCTGTTGAGTGGCAGGTGTGAAGGTAGCAAAGAGCAAGTAGGAGGTGTGTCCGCGCTGTTCGACGGGCAAACGGGTGACGGTTGCATTCCTGGGCTCGATGTATTCCCTGGGTTCGACAGAGTCGTCGGGAATGAACACGTCTGCGTGCGATCGAGAATTAGGTGTCCCCACAGTCGATGGCGTGCTGGATCCTTGCTGCGAGAGATCGCCATCATTCACGCGAGTCTTTTTCACCGTTGACTCTCCTTCCGTATCCTCCTGATCCTGATCGGTATTGTTGCCACTGTCTTGCTCCTGCTCCTGCTGAAGACGATTCTTGAATGACTCTCTCAGAACCCTTGGCATCGCTCTCTTCCGCTTCTTTTCCGATGCGCGTTCCATCTCCAGCGCCTCATCAAGCGTCGAAATTTGCAGGATCCGGACCTCGTTGAATCGGATCAGACACTCGTACATCTGGATATCGACAAACCCTTGTTCGGTCAAGGCGGTTACGGTTTTGGAGATCTGCTCGATACAGGGGCTGAAGGTACAGATCTTACCGACTTTGTCCTGGCGGAAGGCTTGTTTTGCGGACGCGACAGCTTCCCATGGTGCTGGCAAGTCCAAGAACACTATTTTGGTATCAATTGAGCAATCAAATGAAGCGTTAATATGACGCGTAATTATTGGATAACTAGATGGAACGGCTCTCTTTTCGTATGCAATTGAAACCTACCTGCGTCGGCTTTGTTGACCAATCCAAAGCCATTCTTGCAAACATCTCGACACTCAATCGTCACCAGCCCCTCCAACCCATGATCTTCAAACTCCTTCGTCGCCACCGCAACCCGCTCCTGATGATACTCGAACGTATACAAATGCCCCGTCGGCGCAATCGTCCTCGCAATCGAATGCGAAAACGACCCCGATCCCGTCCCGGATTCAATCATGACCTTGCCTGGTTTCAAATCCAAGTACGACATGATCAACGAAATATCAGCAATGTACAAGATTTGTGTCCGATGAGGGAGGATGAGGGTCCAGAGTTCCGGGGTAGGGTAGAGGAGGAAGAGAAATCCACGACCTGTGTTGGAACCGAGTTTTGTCCCGTATTGGAGACCAATCATGTCAGCGTGTTTATAGTTTCCGAATTTGCAACAAAATTCCTGGTCTTCCTGGATGCGGATCAGGATTAGGTTCTCCTTGCTCTATTAGGGTGATGGTATGGAGTATGTTGCTAGGGTAAGAAAAGCTGACCTTCATGTAAAAGGATTCGGAGAGGAGAGAGGATGGTGAAAGAGATGGCAAGGAGGTCTTACCAAGAAGAGCACAACGAGGTCGCCATTTTCGATGGTGTTGTTCTTCTTGTATGTCGCGAAGGTGTGTTTCGTTGCCAAACTCATTGTTGTCGAATGGGCGTTTCCTGTTGAGAGGTGAGAGAGAATGCCAAAAGTGATCAAACAAAAAGCAAAGGAAAAAAAAAATTGAGAGGATTAGAAAGTGGCTGAGCTCAAAAGAAAAGAGCAGGAGGGAGACCCTAATCACCATGCGCCACCAATTTTTTTCAATTGGGTTCCGGTATCAATAACTTTTAATAACTGATCACCATCACCTCTGGAGTGTCCAGTTGAAGCACTTGTTGATCCCCTTCTTTATCCTTGTTTACAACAGGAAACATGTTGCCACCCATCGTGCCCTCTTTAACAACACCAACACTTCGCCCAGTGCGTAAATTCTATCCATTCCCCCGCTTTCTTTCTCTCTCCTCCCTCCCTTCAAGTATGTCCCTCAGTCATGCAGCAATTTTTTTTTACCACCAGAGAGAGAGAAGATGTCAAACCCTGCCGGAGTGGGTCATGTCACACGGTCGGACAAGGCAGCGCAATTTTTTTTCCCCTTCTCCCTCAAGGTTCATTTCTCTCTTGTCCTCTTTCTTTTGTGTTCAACTTCTTCCTCGTCTTGTCTCCTCTTCCTCTTCCTCTGCTTCTTTTTCTTCTTTCCTTTCTCGTTTCTTCTCTTACTCATACCACACCTCTCGTCCCCCTCCCTGCACCCCTACATATTCATTTCACACGCCCTTCTCCTTTTTACTCTCACCGTTCTCCTTCTTCTCACAACCACCACCACTCCTTCATCTCTCCTTTTTAAGCCAACACCACCACTATCCTCAGCTATGTCGATAGAATCCACCTCTCCCTCTTCACAGATCGTCAACGAACGGCCCACCGACGTTCGAGAAACAACTTCAACTCCCACAGCAACGACAATACCCTCTTCCTCTTCTACTTCTTCCACTACCTTCAATGACGAACCGCTTCAGGACCTGTCCACGCTCGACTTGTCCTCAGCGTCGCCCTCCTTTTCGGAAGTCAACCAGTTTACGTCGTCACCGTCCCCTGCTACTGTCGTCGTCCACTCTTTAGTCACTTCAACATCATCATCCACTACTACTGCCACTACCAACAGTGTTATTCATACGACCTTACTCGCTAACCCAATTAACAGCAGACCAACATCACAACAGCCGTTGTCGACGACTTCATCAACAACGTCGTCGTCGACGACTTCATCAACAACGTCGTCGTCGACCACGCACTCTTCCAAAAACATCGACAAGAGCACTCCTCCGCCCATGTACTCCTCGACTGATACTTTTTTCACGACAACGACTGCGAGAATCGGCCAAGAACAGGAAGTACGAGAGCCAAGTGAGCAAAAAAACGACGACAGGGACGAAGCCACCTCCACAATCGCCATCGCATCATCGGACTGCTGTTCACCCTCATCGTCCACTTCCTCCTTCGTTTCTCAACCACATCTACAATACCAACAGCAAGTACAGTCGCCGCCTCAACAGCAGCAACAGCAACATCAGCAGCAGTATCAACTGAAAACACAACCAGTCGTCAACCTCCTAGATCTCCCAACAGAGATCCTCCAAGAGATCCTCTGCCGACTGACCGAACCCCGGAGCTTTGTACGATCCTGTAGGCAGATCTTGCAGCTCTCGAAATCACCCTCGCTGCGGGCGCGGTATCTCTGGCTTCGGCATGGGCCTGATCAAGTGCTGACCCGGAAATTGGTCGAGCTGCACAGGCTGACGGCGTCGATCTTGACGACTCCTGTGGCGTTGCTTTTGGTGGCCATGGGGGCCTCCTACCGCGATCCAGAAGAGTTCATGTAAGTTGTATAGAGAATCGAAGGGAAGAGGGGTGAAGGAGAGGGAGTGGGTTGGAGAGGGAGGAAGAGGTGGGTGCGTGAGTAAAGATATTATTTTGCTATTAGCAGATCAATCCTCTTTGCGCCCTTTGTTCCCCCGATTTGTGGATTTCACTCGTCCTCCTTTTTTCTTTCTTCGTCATTTATCGATTCCATCCACCCCTGTTTCCCAGCTTTCAACCCCACTCTGTAAAGGAAGTGGGATGGATGGCGAAAGAGGGACAAGGTGTACATTGTAACATTGTATATAATTACATGGGGGCGTGAGTCTTTTTTTTTTTTTTTTTGTGAAGGTTATTGTTATGAACCCAAAAAGAGACCACCTGTCCTGAGCTTGCGGAATAGTCAGTCAAGCAAGGGTGTGAGTGTAAGTGAGTGTAGGAGGAAGAGAAAGGGAGGGTGGGGGATGGCTCGATTTCTGTTGGGCGGAGATCAAGGAGGCGATAACGAAGAGACAACAACACCCTTGATTGCCTTTTGCGTCCATGATGACCACACATTCATAAATATATGCACTCTCTGGTCATTCGCTGTCGTTGTTTGTTTGTCTTTGTCTGTTTATTGTTTGGATTAGATGGACCATTAGACAATTGTTTTGCTGTTGTCTATCTATCCCCGTTAAACGTTTTGGCTAATGGGTTCATTCAGTTCAGTTCGTTAGTCAACAAACCTGTCCTTTGAACAAGGTTATCAGGCACAATCAGTTCATCCATCGCCCTCTTTCCAATCACGCTCCTTTCTCTTCGTACTTATCCGATGGATACTCCTCCCTTTCCGTCTTTGTCATCAGACTTTTGCATTGCTTGCCGACCATACTTCCCATACCCTATACCGAAGAAACAAACAACTACGCAGGCCCATACTCGTGGGTGTACCCTATTTGCTCACTCTTCCCTTATTTACACCAAGCTACTGCACGCTCGGTCGCTCTCACTCACGCTTGTCTCACTCTACTCATCCCACCTTCCATTCATATTCACACACTCTCCCATTCACGCCACTCGAAGATACGCACGCCATTTCGCAAAAAGAGACCAACTTGTTTTACTCTCATACCCTCCCACCTATGTTTCTCTTTTTTTCCTTCTTTGTTTCTTGAACTGACTTTTGACAACCTCCTGGCTCACGCTCACGCTCACGCCAATTTAGATTTCGATGGGCGTGCTCAAAGGGCCATGTCGACCTTGTCATGCAACTGTTGAAGAACGAGCCGGCTATCGATCTTGGATTCAGGTCTGATTGGTTCCTGCGTGAGGCTGCAAAGAATGGTCGACAAAGTAAGTCCTGTGGTGGCCGAGACAACATCGGCCACATCGACGACATAAAGTAATAACACACAACAAGGATGGACAACTATGCGATGGATACAAAGCAAGCAAAGGAGATATTCTTAGTCTGTCCACCCTCGACCAACCAACCAACCGAAGCATTGCGCACGTGGCGTAATAGGAGGGCTATTTTAATACCTTTTCTTTTTTTCTTTTCTTTGTGTACACATTTCTCACATCCTTGTGTCTTTTTCTTCTAAACATAGGTGTAGTGGCGACATTGTTGGCGCAACAGGATTACACACCTTCAGAGAGCGGGCTCAACAAAGCATTCGAAGCAGCATATGAACAATCATCTTGCGACACCGTCAAGGCCCTCCTGGACTATGCCGAATCTCGAGGAGCACTCTTAGAACAAGGATCAACACAATTTCACAGCGTCGTTCCATCCACCAGGAGAGCAAGACGGGTCCTGGCAGGCGGGTTGTCGATCCAGAAGGATGCTGATAAGGCTTTACGATATGCGGTTCGTGGGAATGATATCGAGATGGTTAGGTTGCTCATGGACTATGAGGCAGATGTGCATGCGTTTAATGAAGAGGCGGTCCTGGTCGCAGCTCAGAAGGGCCATGTGGAGATTTTGAGGTTGCTGATTCAGGCGGGTGCAGATATTGAGACTAAGGCTGGGGCGCCGTTGCGACAGGCTTCTGAAGGCGGGCATGCGGAAGCTGTTAAGGTTTTGTGTGAGAGTGGAGCTGATACCATGTGGGGCGGCTGTAGCGCACTCCGGAACGCAGCATCTCAAGGTACGGGGATGAGGGATTGCCACGCATGGGCAGGATATTTTTTGTATGCCGCTTATGTTTTCGGTTACAGTCATGTCATAACTAACATGGTGCCCTTTATTGCGCTCTATGCTAATAGGATTTGACCAAATCATCGCGACACTTCTGGACCACGGAGCAAACGTCAACATCCACGAAGGAACACCGCTCCAACTTGCATGCAAGCACGGACACGAGGCTGCAGTAAAAGTCCTCCTCCGCTATGGAGCCAACCACCGCCTTGACGACGGCGCAGCCTACAAACTAGCCCTCGAAGCCAACAATGAGACTATCAATGTGCTATTGATTCAGGCCGAGACGGCAATGCGGGCAAAGGAACGGGAACTGGAACGTATCTTGCAGCAGCAGGGGCCTATGTGGTTGGCACAACAGACCTGGTTCCCTGCCCACCATGCCCATACGCGGACGTTTTCGGAGCCCCATCACCATCATGTTAATGCAGCGTCGTTGGCGTCACTTGCGACTACTTTGGCTACTTCTCCGTTGATGATGACAGGAAATGGGGGTGTGTTTATTTCACAGTCTGGGGTTTCAGGAGAAGGGGCAGGAGTAGGAGGCGTGAATATGCCGATGGGTGGAGGTGTTGCTGGAACCGAGTTCCTTTCAAGGGGACACAAGAGGTATTATAGCCAGATGTCGAACCCGCTTTCGGTTGCTGATCTGTTCCGGTCGGGATCTGTGTGCGGACTCGTCGCACTGGATGACGAGATTCGCGCCCGACAGCGAAGTGAAAGTAATCGTCTCTAAGGAATCTCGTCCGTCCTTTTTACAGCCCATCTTAGCATTCACTCTAAACGTTCCTAAGGACACTTTTTTTTTGTATATAGTTTTTTTTAGCGAAATGTCCTTTCTGTTATGATTTTTTTTTCTTTTTCTTTAAACAATGTTTGTTGTCATTCTTGTTGGTCGTAGGATGCAAATACTTTTTCACGCCGGCGCGGAAAGCTGCCAATGCACACCATCGGAGGCAAAAAACGAAGGAGAACCAAACTCGTGAAGGATCTGGTCCCAATTTATGTTTGGCTATAGAAGGGAGGGCGCTTGTTGAAAATAGAAAAAAAAAAAAAAAAAGAAAGGAGGTGGTCGATATTTGGTGCCTAGGATCATGCCCCATCAAGGGGAAACGAAGTTTGAAAAAAGCGCACGAAGGGGGGATAAGGGAGCTCACGAACCAGGTCTGACCAAGAACGGCTCGAGTTTATGCAGAAAACCAAAAAGAAGAATTCAGGAGACACGACAGGATCAGCGACGAAAAAGGAGAGAGGTGGGGAAGGCAATACAGGCCAGGTACAAAGGAAGAATAAAAGAGAAAGAGAAGTGAAATAAAGTGCGCCTGAAGAGAAGCCAGTAAGCAGAAATGAATAAAATGCATTTTAATGGCAATGGCCAACCCATCCATTGCGGGGTCTGTTGTTGATTTGTTGTTGGAGATATCTGGGATAAACTTTTCTTACTCTGTTTGTTCGTGCGAGAGAACCGTGTTGGGTTGAGAGTGGAGATGAACCTGACGGATACGATTTTCTTCCTTCCTTCTCTCGTGGCCGTCTTCGTTCTTCCGCTCCCTTTTCTTTTTTTTTCTTTTCTTTTTTTTTTTCAACTTCTTTCACTTCGCTTCTTCCCTTCTGTTCATTGTTTTACTATCCCCCTTTTCGACCATCGTTTGCGGTTGTTACTGTTGGCGAATATTCTCTGACACAAGAAATCCCTGCCCTTTCCCTCCTTCGTAGCTTTCAACCCTCCCTATCTTTCCCCGTTCCTTCTTCCTGCTGTGTGCCACCCTCACCAGCGCCCTCAACCCCTTCTTCTTTGTTTGAACTGACAGGAACGAGCCTTCATCCTCCACCCATCACTCCTTCATCGGCATCATCAGCATTAACATTGTCATCGTATCTCGTGTAATATTGCATTTTATCCTTGCAGCTGTTTCTTTCCTTCTCTTTTTTTCTTCTTCCATTCTCGTCAAGTGCGACAGTGCCCTTCGCCCAACTCTACCATCGTTCGATCTATTAATCTTACTCAATACCCATAGTCAAGACACGATATCCCACCTACCTTCTTTAACCACTCTCTGCCTTGCATTCTCCAACGTATCACCTTTCTCTCTCCCTCCCCTCTCTTCCCTTCCCCTCTTTCTTATTCCCTTGCCCCGAATTTACACAAAAATCCACCGAACGCACGTTCTTTCCTCCTTCCTATCATTCCCTGTGCATGCACCGTCTTTTCGTTTACTCTGGGGTACCATCATCTTTTGAACTGAGAGAGCATCAAATACTTAAAGCAGAAGCAACAACAACGCGTACCGCTCTGCCATCCTCCCTCTGTTAACGTATTTATACGTTTATCTCTTTTCCTCATTCCTCTCTTGCTCAACTACCTCTTCCGGACCTCATCATTCATACACAAACCCAGCGATCATAAACACACACCATTCATCATCCCACACACGTTCCATCTATCGCCAACAACGATCACTCTTCAGTCCCACCTTTTCTTAATTCCTGTTGACGGATGAGGCACCATGGCAGATCAGGAGCAAGTCTCAGTAGTAGTTGTATCTATGTTGTGCTTTGTGCAATATGGGCCACGATGATGGTTTTACAATCATCGATCGTTGCTGTTGCCGCAATGGATGTCATGAACCTCCCTCCTTCTCATATCGACCTATGGTAAGCATCTTCATGTTTCAATGTTCAACGTTCAATTGATTCGGCAACATAGACAAACCTTCTTTTCCACCCACTGACAGCAGTGAAACAACAAACAATTTAGCCCAGACGCATACTTGTTTGAGTTTATGAGCGAACCAGGAACCGCCGCAGCCGCCGAGGAAGCAAACCAGTTCAAGGCTAAGATTGCGTCCATGAAGAGTGCACACATCCGACAGGAGTTTGGATTCCTCATCAACGGGATCTCCGCACAGGTGGCCGATCAAGATGAATTATTGGAGTTGATGACCCTTGGTATCCTCCAGACTGTTACACCATTGGTAACTTTCTTTATAAATGCGAATGCGGAAAATTTGATATTAAACGACAGCAACCTTGGCCCAACCTCCTTGTTTTCGTCAACTTTGGACATCCTTTCTTTTTATTATTATTTCATCTTCCTTCTCACACTCCTTCTCTCCTTCATTTTACACGCTTGCTTTACCGTTCTCTATCTAGACAATCGTTTCACCACCGGAGCAAGTTCAACCGAGGCAAAATGCACTTGTCACCAGCGCGTAAGTGGATCGATGTCTTTTTTGCCTTGTTGTATCATACCAACCCTTCCATCCCTGCCCTGTTCTGTCACACAAAAAAGGGGCGCATGTGTCTGATAACCGCTGTTCTTTTTGCATTTGCTAATAGGTTGAACATGACGGGGGTGATCAGGGTCCACGCGGAGCTGGGGTTGACCGGTCAGGGAGTCAAGGTCGGAGTCATTGGTAAGTAATGAAATTTTTGTTTTAGGCGAAGTAATATTTCAGGTTCGGGGGTAAAAGGGTAAACAACTGCTTGTTTCACCATGGTTCTGACTGACAAGCAATCCCCTCTTGTTTTTATCTTGTTGTTGTGTACAGATACTGGGATCGATTACACCGTAAGTTGCTAAGTGTCAATACAGGCATCCTTTGTTTACGTTTGCATGCACTGGCTGGAGCGCACCAACTAATGTTCTTTATTTCTGTGTTAAACTATCGATTGTAGCATCCAGCATTGGGCGGTTGTTTCGGACCTGGTTGCAGGGTTGCATATGGTTACGACTTTGTCGGGAATAACTATACCGGCAAGAATACACCCGTCTCATCCCCGGATCCTATGGACTGTGCGGGACATGGATCGCACGTTGCAGGAATCATCGGTGCCTCAGATGATATTGTCATGGGCGTTGCACCCAAAGGTACCGTTTGTGAACTGAACAGTAACAAATAATGAAGGCGTTTTCGGGTTGTCTTGCATACTAAACAATGACGCCGCACCCTTACTTTGTTGAAAATAATAGTGCTGTTGGGAGCGTATCGTGTGCTGGGATGCAACGGAAGCAGCAACGACGATGTGATCATTGCAGCACTGGAACGGGCTGCAAAGGACAAGATGGATGTCATCAACCTGTCGATTGGAGAACCCAATGGCTGGCCGGGGGGCCCGGTGTCGAAGGCTATCAGTCGGATGCAGGGCAAAGGGATCATGGTCGCTGTCTCGCATGGAAATGAGAATACTTTAGGGTTGTTCAGTACCAACTATGTTGCCATTGGACGTGGTGTCTTGTCGGTTGCCTCGTTTATTAATACCAGGGCCTTGCTCACCTCCTTTACTATTCCTCTGGCACCTGGGCGGTCCTTTAGTAAGTGAGAATGAGGAGGTTATGTCAAAGATATTTTCCTCAGTAACTGTTGCTAACAGGAAAGGTTCTGACGAGTGTGTGCTTGTTCTTTTGCCTGACATGTAGTATTTAAGAGACCGGATCATCTTGGACTGGACCGAACACTCCCGCTAGTGGCGCTACTAAACGGGACAGAACTCGGGACTGCATGTGACCCTATCAAAGGCGATCTATCAGGGAAGACCGTGCTGGTTCTTCGCGGCGGTTGTGTGTTTGCTATGAAGGTACATGATGCATATGACGCGACCTCATCTCCGAGCATGTTAGCTGAACTTCCCAATATCGAGTACAACAAGACGACTGACCACGATTTTTTTTTCTTTTTCGCGCTGCTGCCAAACAGGCACAGAACGCGTTAGCAAAGGGAGCAACAGGGATTTTGTTTGTCAACAACCTGCCCGAGTCCCTGAGTGCTGATATCAAGGACATAAAGATCTTGTCAGGAGCCATGTCGCAACGAGATGGGCAGCTCTTGCTTTCGTATCTGAAATCTATCCCCCCACCAGCGGGACGAGGAGGAAGTCTGACGGGAGAGACGATGGCATCGTTTAGCAAAAACTCGACGGCGTTTGTTAACCCTGCAGGCGGGACCATGTCTCTGTTCAGCTCTTATGGACTTGACAACGAGCTTCATATCAAACCTGTAAGGGCTATTTTTAGGCCATGGATGCATGGAAATCAATGTTTACTCTAGAATTGTGCTTTCTTTACTGACACTCTCCTTTTTTAACGTCAATAGGATATTGGCGCGCCAGGCGAAAACATCTACTCGACATGGTAAACGCTATTCACAACCTTGTCAGTACCTTGATTTTTTCTTCCGTCTCGTTACCAAGTGAAACTCATAACTGTTTATTGTTTCGTTTTTTTTTGTTTAGGCCGGTGGTGAACGGGGGTTACACGACACTTTCAGGAACCTCAATGGCGAGTCCGCATATTGCTGGAGCATTGGCACTAGCAATTGAACGCTTGCGAAACCTGGACGCAAATGGACTAGGAGATGAAGACGCGTCCTCCACGTCGCCAGCAACATCAACGCTTAATTTGACGGCGGCACATATTCAACAAATCTATGCGACATTCAAGAACACGGCAGAGCCGGCATATGTGTTCAGGAATCATATGAAGTACGATATGTTGACGGATCCGGCAACGAAGATCCCGGGGACGGATGCGAAGCAGGAGCCGGGGGCTTCTTCACCCGACGCGCGATATGAGCATGGAGATGGAGGAGAGGGTGGAGAAGGACGAGCGTATGTGGAGTCGGTGGCGAAGCAGGGATCAGGCATGGTGAATATTTATCGCGCGCTGACGAGTTTGGCGCACAAGGTGAAGCCCGAGTTAGCGCATATTGAGAGGGCGGGTGATGTCCCGCCTATCAGTTTGACGAATGTCTTTCCTGCGATGCTGGAGTTGAATGATACAGCGGCTGCAGAGTTGGAGTCCACTGGGAAGGGTGGAGGGAGAGGAGGGCAGACACGATATATCACCATCTCCAACTATGGGCCGAACCCCGTCCGGTATAAGTTATCACACATCTCAGCAGAGGGGCTTTTCGACCTGTCGATAGAGAACAAGGAGACCAAACTTCGGAACCTGGACATCTTTAATGTGACCAACCCAGCCGACAAGGATGTGGATTATGTGAAGTCCGCTGATGCCAAGGCGACAATTGAGTTTGCGGGTTTGGAGGGCGGCGTTAAGGTTCCTGGGGGTGGTGGGCAACGGCGGGTTGCGGTGACGATCTTTCCACCAACGGGGATCCCTGAAGACCAGCACTGGATTTACTCTGGGTATATTGTCGTCCGTGCTGTTTCAAGTTCCTCGTCGATTTCGACATCGTTGGTGACAAGGGCGTCTACAGATGTGATCTCAGGAGAGACAAGGGAAGGCGGAGAGACAAAGGAGGCAGATAGTAACCCGGCTGACGACTACTTTTCTTCCTCGACATCGCCCTCACCGCCACCACCCGACGTGATCCATGTATCATACGCCGGAGTTGTCGGAAAGATGAAGACCCTGCCCATCTTCCTTCGCCCGACCGAGAAGGAGCTGAAAGTCGACAACCAGACAGCACTGTGTCAAATGATGGGCAGCGGGGCCAACAGGACCGACTTTATTTACACCTTTAATGGGACCGACCTTCCAATCCTCACATTCTGTCTCCAGAACCCAACCAAGTACCTCGCCATGGATCTCATCAGCGCTCCTCCAGAAGGATCCGAGCAGATGGAACGAGACAACAATAATAATGACCCTGGTGGCGCAGTGGATCCGGAGGATTATCAGGTCATTGGCAGGGTAGCTTCTAATGATAATTTGAGCAGGAGCGTTCCGGTGTCGATTGTTACGGCGGTGCAGTGGGATGGGATGCTGGATCTGCTGGATGGGAATGGCAAGAACAAGAGTCAGGGATTTGTGTCTACGGGAGAGTCGAGGCCGTTGAGACACTCGCCTGGGTTGGATTTGGTGTATGGGATGAGGGCTCACCCTGAAGGGGAGGAGGGTGAGAGTTCGACATCGCAGTTGCAGTCGGCTAGGGACCAGACATCGTCATCGAGTGGTTTGGGTGGACGTGATGCTAGGCTATTGGAGCGTCGAAGCGCACTTGACCCTGTAGTCAAGCGGAAGGCACATATCGACGAGGACGTCGACGGCACCAGTGCCACCAATGGCGACGACGACGGCAACAAAGACAACGGCAAGAGCAGGAAGAAGAGCCGGAAGGAAGCTAGCAAAGTCGATGACGCCAATGAGGATGGTGACAACGAGACAGCGCAGGCCAGGAACGACCGCCTTCTACGCAACTACAAGAAGAAGGCAGAGTTGGCTGCTGCCGGTGCGGACCCGAAACAGATCCAGTTGGCGGTTCCGAATGGTCGCTATCGGTTACGGATCCGGGCGTTGAGGATGTTGGCGGATCCTGGGAAGGCGGAAGGGTATGACTATTGGATTACTAGGACGTTTACGATTCAGCGGATTGAGCCAGCGACTACGATATCCACTTCTCCACCGCCGCTAAAATAATAATAAAACGGTTGCTGGATATGTTCATTTTTGTGGAATCTTGATGGCGATACGCTCGACTCGTCTCCGCAACAACAACAGCAACAACAACACTCGGTGACAAAACATGATCGACTCGGATAGCCAACGGAGGGGAAGTGGGAGCAGTTCGCCATGATTTACGCAATGTCTTTCAAGAGCAGAAAGTGAAACATTGAACTTGAAACAATATGGAAACCTTCGCGAATGTACTGCTCGCAATAACCAACGGCCAACACACGTCCCTCTCTGTCAAGAGAACTCTGATCCTCCTCCTCCTAATCTTCGGCGGTCTGTCCAAGAAGATGTGGACACTGACATTGGATTTTATCGACAATCAGGATAACATCGATGAGCATGTGTAGTTTGAGAAAACTCCCGATGGCGAAGACAACGAGGATGCAGGAGACGGCCCCCGACATCGAGGTGGAGGAAAACGAACCACATATTCGCTTTCTTCAACCTTATGCTTGGCGCGGAGCACGTTTCGGTGACGTAATTTATGCGCCCATTTAGTCGCGTTTGCCACCAGTTTTGAAAAATAACACACCTTCGGTTGACTCTTTTACCTTCCTTCTCCCCTCCAACAACGACCACATCAGAACCACAAACCCATGCCAGGAAACAGGAACCGACGCAGGGGTCCAGCAATCACCGCCACCGAGACCAGTGACATTGTCTCTTCCACACGCTCTCGACGGTCGACTCTCTCCACCGCCGCTGCCGCTACCGCCACTGCCCATGCCATCGACAACAAAGTCGACACCGACAAGGACAACGATCTCCCTACTCCTCTCACTACCAACATTACCACTGAGAACATCACAAACGTCAGCAACTTGGCCTCGTCCTCATCCCACGCCCAACCATCATCCTTGACGTCAAATGCCTCAGCAGGATCATCCGCAACCACTCGGAGACGCGGGACGCGTCCTGGAATGAAAAGCAACAATGGGGGTGGGAGGATGGACAAGGACGGTGGTACAGCTGGAAGAGCAGGGTCAGATTTAGACTCAGAGGTTGAGATGCCTCGTCGAGAAACCTTTGGGACCAGCAACAGCAACAACTTTGTGAACCAGTCCCGGTTCACAGCTTCACCTGTCAAGGAAGTCGGGGGGGCTATGGACGTCCTGGACCTGCAGGACCCTTTGAGCAGCCCCAGCCCCCGGAAGGCAACATCCGCCATTACTGGAAACACCGAGCTTCTGGCCCTTCAGGACTATTTTTCCGACGCGTCACCGTTGCCAATCCGTGTTACCCGAGATGAGCCAGCTCAAGATAAGAAGAGGGAACAACAGGAGCAGCAGGTTGATGTTGACGATATGATTTCCAGGCTCTCGCTTTCGCCGCCTCCACCTCCGGACATGTTTGAGCTCATGGACGACGAGGATTACATTGATGGAGGAAGCAAGTCAGGAACGGGGTTTGCGCCTTGGTTGATGCACTTTGATTCAGAGGAGACTACTCCAGCGTTTAAACTTCGTACTGTCTTGGATCTCAGAGTCTCGGATCTCGAGACAAGTCATCATCAGTCTTCCGTCGGCGCAACCTCGCTCGCGAATGATTTCGGCGGACAGGATATGGAGGTGGATGAGGATAAGGAAGGCGATGATCCATTTGGGTTCTTCAAGGCCGAACGAAAGCTCAGCAGGAGATGGAGTTCACGTCCCAGCCACAGGCTTTCGGCCATCAACGAGCGGGTCTACCGACCTGATGCTGTCATGAACAACAGGAGGCCACTGCGTAGCCCGCTGAGTAACTTGCGTGCTGACAACAACAACGGCGCCGCCGCCGTCAGTGGCATCAACAGTGGTGGAAACGTGAGTCTGGGGAAGGTTGTTATGGAGCGCGCTGCAGCACGTAGGAGGGGTGGAGCCGGTCAGAGCAGCAGTGACAAAGGGAAGGTGGCAGTGCGTGGTTTCGATTCGGACAAGCAGGTCGACACGATGGCCATCAACGATTTAGTTGCGGAGCCCACTGTGGCTGAGGCTGCAGATATTGAGAAGGCGATCCGCCTCAGCTTGAACGACCTCGCAGGATTCGAGAAGACTGGCGATTCATCGTCGTCGGCGTCGGCGTCGGTGACAGCGAGACGAGAACTCGCAGATGTTGCTGTTGCTGTTGGAGGATCCCTATTCTCGGTCGATGATGTTGCCTCGCCAAAGGACAAGGAAGTTGTGAGATCCAATCGTCGTATCTCCCGAATGTATGGACGGTCTCAACCAGTGGCTAACCCGGTTGCGGAGGAAATTTCGTCGGTGACTGCAGAGGCTACAGCAGCAACAACTACATCTACAGCAGCGGCAACGACAAGCGGAGCTCGGAACGATATCCTGGAACTGGACGACCTCTTTTCCTCACCTCCATCCACGCCACCAAGGAAGCCTGCCGCAAACCGATCGTTGTCTGATAACTTCCGTCACTCGGCCGATTTGGATGACTTCTCACCCATTGTCCTCGAGACTACGCCGACCAAGAAGCCTGAAGCCGGAATGCCATTGACATTTGAGTCTGCACAGACCGGCCAAAGGACGAGGATTAGGCCCAGGAAGTTTATGGCCACCGAGCTCTTAGCGGCTATGCTTCCTCGACCCAGGAAGTCGTTGGCACGGACTGCTGCAGTTCCCCGGAGTTCAAGGCGGTCCAAGGGCGGCGACAATGTGTTTGAGGTTGAGAGCGACGTTTCTGCGGACGAGGAGGAAGAGGAAGAGGTTCTTGTGCGGCGCCGCACTACCAGAGCCTCAGGCAGCACTACCAGCGCAGCGAAGGCAGCCACGACAACAACAGTAACAGGAAAGAAGCTTGCTAACACCTCAACGAAAACAGCAAAAGCAGGAACATCAAATGCAACAAAAGCAACAGCAAATATTTCTAGTCAGAAACGACATGCACCAACATCGACGACAACAGCGGCACCAGCATCGAAACGCTCACGACCTCAGAAATCACTACCTGCTGCTGCTGCTGCTGCAGTTTCTTCATCAGGACCCAAGTCCAAGAAGGCGGTGGTGGTGGAGAAGGAGGAAGAGGACGGGAGTCATTGGACGAAGCAGCAGCGGGCGGCTCATGAGGAGCGGATCCGGTATTTTGCGCAGATCGATGACTTTGAGCTCGAAGTTGAGACCTGCTAGGGATTCTGTTTTTCGTTTGGTCCTCATGCCTTTTACTCTTTTCCGTTCCTTGTTCCCACCAATATCATAATCATTTCTCTGAAATAAAAACAATAAGCGTAATATCTAATTTTTTTTATTGCTCGCTTGGGTTGTGTCTTCAAGAAAAAGACGTGTTATTGTTTACCAGTAGGCGAGCTTGGCCTTGTTAAACATATCAGCATAGGCATTGGTGGTCGCACAATCAGATTTGTGCCACGTGTCCATGGCCTCTGGCATCCATTTCTCCAAATTCGTAATACGATTCTTGCTAGCGGGATGGGTGTTCAAGAACGCTAGCGAGAGACCCCTCTCGGTATCGGACATGCGTGTCCACATCCGTGTGCTCTCTCGTGGGTCAAAACATGCCTGTGCCATCAGCTGCAGTCCGATCTTGTCTGCCTCTGTCTCGCACTTTCTGCTGAACGGGAGCTATATAACCAAGCGCAAAAGCGGGGAATATAGTTAATTATCTCGTGCATCTGCACATTTTGTCTCGGATAATGGAATAAGGTAACAAAACAAGAATGAACAAAGAAGCGCGTACCATCATGCCGAGATCCATGACGATGCGTTGGACAGAATAAGAGGGGTCAAAGATGATCGAGAACATGACACCCAGGAAGAGGGCGACCTTTGTGAAGGAGAGTTTTTCGGCAGAGTGACGGGCCAATTGATGGGCAATCTCGTGGCCCAATACCGTCGCCAGTCCATTCTCGTTCTCTGCAATCGGGAGGATCCTGTTACAATGAAAAAAAATGCATATAATGCAGTAGCAAAAGGATCTGGTTTAGCGCACAAGATAGAAAACAGGGTGCATCTGGCGAGGTTCTGTCTAGGCGATCCAGATGGTCCTTCCTACAGACGCTGCCTGACTCACCCTGTGAAGACAAAGACTTTTCCTCCTGGTAAGACAAACGCGTTCTTCTCGTTACTGTTAATCACATGAAACTCCCAATCCAGATCTAGGCACACAATAAAATAGAGTGAAAAAAAAAAGTCAGCTTCGAGCACGCTCATGTCTCCCACACTCAAATGTTATCCGTCAAGTACACACTACAAACCCATATCGACGGAAGAACATACTTTCCATGCCCGCAGCCTTGATGATCCTTGAAGCGACGCGTTTCACGTAAAGCGTGTACGCGTGGTTGTCAGGCAGGATCTGGTTTTGATACTACAAAAGCAGCACAATGGAGTAAGACCGAGCCTCGTTAGCCAAACAAAAGGCAGAAAATGTCAAAATGGTCATCAGTATGGACCGTCCATGTACGAGAGGAAAAGTACCTGGTGCATGACTTGCTTATAGGCCTCCTTGGCCATAGACTCCTCCTGCTTCAGCGATACATCCATAAACCGAGTACGCCCCGTCATCGGCACCCTACAAATCCCAATAGTACCAATAAGAGCCATGTCAGAAAAACAAAGAATGCGCCATATAGATCCTCACAAAATTTACCTAAAAAAACACATAACAACGAAGTAATGCTTACGTTTCAAGATGCGCTACGTAATATCCTCCAGCTCCGACGGTGACAACACCTCCAACGACTTGGTACCGCCGATCATAAAAAATAGGCACCCTCCCTCTACCACGGCCACTGCCGCCACTACCAGAGTTCTGTCCGAACCGCTTGTATTGTGGTGACGACCGCGTCAAGATCTTGCTGAGGGGGTTATTGGTATCTGAAGATGGCCTTTGAGGTTGAGGGATAAGGTCGCCCCAGCCAGACGACGGCTTGTTGCGTCCGGGGAGTGTTGAGTGGAACCCGCGCGAACAAGCAGTGGCAGTAACTGATGCCGTCTTTGTCGTTGTTGATGTTGAATGTGTCGAATGTACAGTAGTTCCCGTGACGGACGACCTCATTGCTCCGCTGCGTAAGGCTCTTGCGAGGGTGAATCCTGCTCTTGCAAATATGTTGGCTGTCATGGTGAGAAGGAAGTGTTGATGTTGTTGGCGTAAAGAAAAGAAAGGGGGGAAAGCTTTTTATGCTTGCCCGGAAAAGGGAAATCGTGTTAGGTGACCGCACATTTTTATTTTTTTGTGGCAACTTGCATTAGAATGGTAGGGGAAGAAGGAACAAGCGAAGATGGGAAGAAGGGGAAAGTACTACTACTACTACAAGGAAAAGCAACAACAAAGCAAGGGAAATGAAAGGAAAAAAAGGGAATGAAAGAAGAGAAAGAGAAAGGTAACGAAGAAAAAAGCAGACGTAGGGTGGCAAGAAAGTAAACGTGATACAATGAATGGGGTGGAGAAAGTGGGGAGGTGTGCAAGTAGCGTGCGCTGGTCATGTGGGATACATTTTATCGTTCCAGACGAATCAATCGAAACTTTCGCTGCAGACTGCGAAAGTACCGCTTCGCATCCGACTGCATGTCCTGCGCCTCTTGAACAATCTTGCCTCCCGTGGGTGTCGCTTTGAAATCATCCACCAGACGTTGCAGATCGCGATTAACTTGGCGTGCCAACTCCGAGTGAAGAAGCGCGTCCAATTGTTCTTCCGCCTTCAAAACCGCTCTCTCTGTCGCCCGCTTAATTTCGTCCGCACGCATCGTCTTTGCCAGATCCTTGACGGTCTCCGTGTCGAGAATAGCTTCGAGACTGGCCTCCGCCACGGAAAGAACGTCGTCAGCCACGCGCAAGATCTTGTCGGCCGTGACACTGTCAAATTGTTCCTCAACGGTCTTCTTGAATGCCCGTACCTGCTCCTCCATCGAAATCTTGGCCTGTCTCCGAGCCTTCTCCTCTTTGCACCGGAGCAGTGGAATTCGTTCGCCCAGATCATGCACCTTGGAGGCCATCCTCGCTTGAAACACCTTGGCATTAGATCGAGCCCGGCTGAGAGACGAATCGGAACGGCTGTTGGTCTTGATGTTGACGCTGGGCAGGCGACCTTTCAGCTCAATCAACATGCTGACCATCCTGTCCGCCGACTGCCTGTAATAAACTGCAACCGCGTGTGCCACGGCCTTGGCCCGTGCGACGACTGGCTGGAAGGGATCCCAGTAAACAGCGATCTGAGACTTGTTGGAGAATCGACTTGAGACAGTACCTGACATCTGCTGCCACCGCTCCTTCCAGTAGGCAAGGTAGTTGTCCTCATCGTCCTCCTCTTGCATGGAAGAGACTTTGTCACTATGAGTGCCAATGAAAGTCGCCGGGGACAGACAAGCAAGAGGTTTCCGGTCGCTCTTGCCTCGTGTTGTAAAGATCTCGGGTGGTGACAATGGGACTCGGGTACCGTTCGCAAACCAAATGTGGACATAGTACCCAGTGTCATGACAAAGCCAAGGCGAAGAGTTCTTCTTGTGGCGCTTCTGGAGCGATGCAACGTAGATCTGACATGAACCTCCGTCTGGGCAGACAACAAAGGGGTCCGCAAAGAGGTACAGAGGCTGAGCGGGTGCATCCTGAAGGCTCCAGAGGCTGTTGTCTTTTAGAACACGGACGTGGAATCCAGGCGATCGGCGGACATGCGTTTCCTGCCGAAGCCTTGAAGAGTAAACATCGAGGTTCACCACCGCCAAGCGGTGATTGTCCGCATATGTAACTCCGGTCGCAGAGAGAGCAACATGGGCTGGCTGTAGCGAACGGTAGTAGCACTCCACGGCCAGGAATCCTCCCACAAGGACGAGTGAGACAAGACCGGCTAGTCGGGTAAAAGTCACCAAGGTCCTGATGAAGTTGCGCTCTGGGGATGGTGCTTCCTTTGATGGCTGTGGGAGATGGTTAACTTGACTCTTGATGGGTGAATGGTCCTGGGGAGCGGCTTTGATGTAGCCCGATGGTTCGTTATCGCCGTTAGAAGAACCTTGGTTTGTGACAGGGGCAATCAGCTTGTGGTCGTGGTCGACAGTATGAATGCCTGGGGGTGAGCTAAGGATGGCCAACACTGTGCTTGATGTAGTGTGGACGGTTCTTAACGTGCGGGGTGGGGGAGGGGTGTAGGTATCGAGCTCATTCTCGCTCTCGCTGGTGTCACTGTTTACGGTGCTGATAGTGCTGCCGTATGAGCTGTTGTTGTGGGTGTGGATCTTGGTGCCATCGTCCCCCTGGCCTTCATCGCCGATAATGCGCTGCTCTTGGAGCTTATGGTTGTTGCTGTTGTTGTCGCTGGGCTCAGAAGATGAGAGCTGTTGGTGGTGGTGGTGGTGGTACTGTTGACCGGAGATGGTCTCCAGGCTCGAGTCTAAAGTCGCTGGAATGTCATGTGCTGAGGGGTCGTGCGAATCAAGTTGCTCCATTTCATTTGCGTTCGCAGTCCCAATTACACTCACAGCACTCACAGGAGTAAGCGTTGCAGTCGACGAGGCCGCGGCCAGTGTTTCCTGAACACTGCTGCTGCTGTCCACGACTGGCAAAGTCGCCTGTCTGCCCCTGTCCCCGTCCCTATCGCACTCCTGCGACAGAGTCATCGACGGGTAGACAAAGTTCATGTCATTTGTGAGAGGGTCATGGTCCGAGTGAAGCGACAGAGCGCTGTGAGGGCGAGTCAGAGCATCCAGATCCGAGTGGCCGACGAATTGGAAGCCGTCTCGTTCGCCGAGGAGCCCGTTGCCTTCATCGTCGTCGCCATCCTCATCGGTGTCATCGTCGCTGTCGTGGAGTCGGGAGGATTGGACGTCCTCGTTGTCGGAAGGGTGTGAGACGAGCTCCGAGTCTGAGGAAGGGTGCAGCTCGTCCGTTTCAGACTCTTCATAAGGGTCCTCCGAGTCGTCCGAAATGTAACTCGGGGAAGATGGGAAGTTGTGGGAGTAGTGGTCGGGGTTATTCATGTTTGTCAGCAGCCTGAGAGATGCCGAGGAGGAGGAGAAAGATTTGAAAGGGATATGATTAGGGTATGAACGAAAGGAAGAGCAGAAAGGCGAGGGAATGAAGATGACGAAGGAAAGGAGTTTAAGAAGGGGTGCCTCGTTTGATGGTTTGATGGTTTGATGGTTTGATGTGTAAAAGGACCGTGTGACTGTTGCTCATTTACGAAGGCGAAGCATGCCTGCCATACTTCAGTTCACTCATTCATTCCTCCTGTTGTGTGGTATGCCTGCAATTCCCGCAGCTCTTTTAGTGTTTGTCCCACATTAGGAAAAGGAAGTAAAAACAAAAGGAGGACAAATGACCTTCGACCTGTCAAAACACGCTCCTCTCCCCGCCCCCCGATGGCTCAGAGTTTATCGAGGAAGGAGAAGGGGCAAGATATCGACAAAGTGAACGAATAAACCCACGATGATGTGCTCGTCTCTCTTTTACGTATACCAGCAATTGCGCTTCTTAGTGGAGACGCAAAATAAAGGGGACCAAAGGGGTCGAAAAAAAAAGAACAAGGGCAATGGGCAAAGGGCAAAGGCCGTCGTCCAGAGGCTACGTATCCCAAAAAGCATATTTTTTGGTTGCGTTTTGCCAAGAGCTTCTGCTCTTAGTTGTCGTCCACTTCATCGCCACCGATTTTTATTCGCCTCAAGGCTGGGTTTTGGACAACAAAGTGCTGCTCGCTCATGGCCGCTGTTGTGGGTGTAGATGTGTGTTGCTCTTTGATGTGCGACTCATAGTCTCCTCTCTTTTTGGTGTATGGGAGGTGAATGAAGAAAGGATAGAGAGAATAGCCTAAAAAGAGAGACATCATCCTGTTGCTCGCTGTCTGTCCGGCGCATTTCTTTGTGGGAAGCGCTTTCCATGGGCGTAAAGGTCGCATGTCCACATGTAGGAGGAGAAGGAAAATGAGTTTTTTTATCTTTTTTTTACCTTTTGTCGAGACCAAGAATGTGCAAAAAGATCGCGTCTTCGAGGTATAGACAGAAGTAGAATCGAGAGTCGAGGGAGTGAGTGAGTGAGAGAGAGGAAGGCTGAAGGTGGAGTGAAGAAAAGAAGAGAGGAGCAACGAACAGGAAGACGGAAGAAAGCCAAGAAAAACGTGAGGCCAGAGGAGGACACCCTACCCCTGAAGAAGTGAGAGAGAGAGAGAGAGAGCAGATAGCGAACCCTTTTTAATTGAACGGTGACCTCTCTAATTGAATAATGATGTGTGCGCCATTGATCTCGTACGTTTGGGGCAAATTGAGGATAGAACGATAGAACGAGACGCGGTCAAAGAGCTAAACGACGCGTCGGAAACCACAATACAACATCCACCATACTCGTGGAAAATAAGTGGATAGAAGGTTACAGACTGACCCTGACCTCAGTCCAGCGGTCTTTCTCGTCAACAACCAAACACAGTTGTAAAACATCATGAGAAAGTCTAGGGGGGAAACAAGGAAGGATGGAGAGCATCTTCAGGCAAGGGAGGTAAGAAGGGAGCACCAGGCAGAAAGGGGACGGCTGAAGGTATGAAAAGGGATCCCCGCCAAGGGAGGGCGTGCATACTTTGCAACGTGCTCTCAAAGAAAGGGGTAGTCTTACAGAAGGAGACAAGATCAGAACAGGAACGAGAACGACGGACGACCTTTATGCAAGGAATGGCAAAGACACATCCCTTAGCAGCCATTAGCAAACGACAGGGCGATTCAACCAGCAACGGATCATGAAGTCCTGTTTGTTATTACTCTCTTTGTTTTACATTGTTGACTGTACTCCTCCCTTCCTTGTTCCTCCTCTTTCTCTTACTCCCGCCTACAATGCGCCCCCCTCTTCTCGGAGATCAGAAAAAGACAGAGTAAGTCGGGGCACCACCTTAGATATTCAACATAGCAGGATGCAATGCATGCCATCCACATCATCCATCTATATTTTGACCAGCGTCGAGACTTTTTCCGTTTGATCCAACACACCAAAGGACCATCAAAGGCACCCGTTGTGGCCTAACAGGCGACAGTTATTCGCTATGTCCCAACTCTGACCCTTTCTCTACTCTCCCTTCTCTCTCCTTTTTTGTCGTCGTTTTCCTCCTCTTGGATTTCCCTTTTTTCTTTTCTGTTATTATTTTTCGTCCTCCTTCCTTCCTTCTTTCTTTTCTCTTCCTCCCTTCTTTCTCTTCTCCTCTTTATCTTTTTTCCCTTCGTTCCCTACTCTTGTTTCTCTCCTGACTTACCCTTGCCCCCATTCTCTTTCCTCATTTCACGTCCCATTCCTCGCACTCGCTCTCATTCCTACTCTTCACCTCTTCCCATTCAGATTCACATTCATTCCAATTTCCTGAATTTTTCTCACCTTCCCTCCCACCTCGCTCTACTCGTCGTTTACATAGAGCGAAGATATAATAATGATCCAGGACCTCGACGACCCTCACTTCCCCTCCATCCTAGAAATTTCTTCAGTTGGTGTGGAAACGATTACCACCACTACCTCAAGAACAATTACTCCAACTACGTCCACAGTATCACCAACATCCTCATCCTTAGTCCCGCCAACTCCAACCTCAACAAAATGCCCTACCCTGACCTGTGCTCCCAGCTCCGTGACATGCCCGCCTTGCAAAGACGGCTTTGTGTGTTCCCTGGATGTTATCGTTTCACCCTGTCAATGCCCAATAGCCAGCTGTGTCAAGCCTGGCTTTGATACAGGGACGGGCGATGGCTCCTCGGGATCCAAGGATCCCAGCAATTCAAACGCCAAATCGATTGTTGCCCCAGTTGTTGGAGGTGTCGTTGGTTTCGTTGCGATAGCTCTGCTCATCCTTTTGATCTTTCGACAACGACGCCAACGGAGGACAGCCAACAATGGAGGGCTATTGGGCACAGAGAGACATCTGGAAGAGGCCCCCGATCCGTTCAAGTCCCAAACCAAGCGAATGCAGGTTAGTGGCAGTGGCAAGAGTTGGTGCGAGGTATGTTTAGTGTTGTGTGCCCCGACTCTTTGTTCATTTAGATTGTGCGATTTGATGATAGTTTGGAAAATTGCCGCCTAGAGTTATTAGGCTTGCGCGAGTCAAAAAAAAAGGAACCATTTCCATCTCCATCCCATCCTCAACTACACCTCATACACACCCGTTCCTTGAACACCTCTTTCAGTTTTTTTGTGCTCATCCCTCAAATTGCAGGTGGCTCTCAACATTCGAACTCCCTCCGTCTTTGAATCATCTCAAAGGATGGCAAAGAATGGGTGCCCTGACCATGCTCCATGATCTTAGCGGTGTATGTGTATGCACGGTGTGTGTGCAGCGGTGTGTGTTTGTGTGTCTACATTTCACTTCTTTTTCGCAAATGGGCAGTTCAGGATGAGCGCCTGCCCCTCGGTTCCTCTTTTTTCTAATTGCCATTAAGCACTCGGCGTTGGTTGGCTGTCCCCCTGCCCCTCTTACTCCACTACTGACTGCATGCACGTTGTCGGAGGGGGCCCCTTTGTGTGAGGATTTAATTAACAATTTAATCTAATTCGTTCGGGTAACTGTGTTTCCCTTCCCTCCCCAACCCTATTTCATGTCTTTGCATTTCCCTCTGGATCCCTTGGGCAAATTTCAAGGCGGATCCCCATACAAGCAGCCACAATCATCACATCTCTGTTCCTGAACATAATTCACTCACACGCACAAAATCATTATCTCATCCTCTTTTTGTTCTATTAGTCAGCGGCCGATGCATCCAGCCGGAAGGATGTAATCCGCATCGCCTACATCCCAAGAATTGCAAGCGAGGATTCCACCCAGCTCCCTGAACTGGCTGCCCTCGGTGGAGGTAAAATCCTTATGGTTTAGTTTTCGTGAGTGCAGCTGATACACTGAATGAAATTGACCGTCGTGTTCCCTTTGTCTAAATCAAATAACCAGGTCCCCAAGCGTCATTTATGGCCTCGTTCAATGATGCCCACAGCAAACACTCGTCAATCGCATCCAGCCTGTCAACAGGAACCCTGGACGAGGCTGTCGTCATGGCCATCGGTAACAAGGCGACTCCGCAACTCTTACGACTTCATACCATCAAGTCTAGCAACAGCGACATGATCCAACGATCCAACACTCTCCACTCCTCCAACTCGATCAAAAGGACGAAATCGCAACGGAGGGTCGCCGAAGCAAACAAGTCTGCAAAACTTCAGGGGCAAGGCAACAACAACAACAATCCAGGTGGAGAGGGGAGTCAACCCAATGACGCCCTTGAGCAACTCCAAGCGCAACCGGAGCCAGAGCAACAGTATACACCTGCCGTGATGGTCACAGGTCCCTCTGCTCGGTCGTCTGCACAATCAACAGTGTCCAACCAGCAGGCACCCAGTCTACCTAGCATGGTTCTGGAACCCCGACCACTTCACTCAAGCTACCATACCGACCAGTCCTCTATACCATCACCAGCCACTCCAGCGACACCTCCTCCTCAAACTTCGGGCGCACAGACAACAACAACCATCCAGCATTCCGCATCGGCTCCCACTGCCCTTGCATCACTCCTGGCCTCAACTTCAACAACCTTTCCCACAATACCCTCATCCGTCTCTGCACCACCCTCCGCACCACCCTCTGCGATGCATGCTTACCCTTCGCTAGTGCAGCCCTCACCAATGTCTCCGCCAGGTGGCGGCCCAAGTCACCTATCCCAATCCCCTGCTGCCCCAACACGGAATTCGACATTCTCTACATTGTCCGATGGTCGGTCTACAACAACAAGGGGCGAAGGTGAAGAGATCATGATCTTCTGGGACGGACATCGTGGCTCGAAGACCTCTAACTTATAGAGCCACCATTCTCATATCTTCCCCCTCTCCTGTCGTCTCAGTATCCACTCTCCACTACTTTGCATTTCATTTCACTCATTCCGCACCATTGACCCTTTGCAATAAAATCAGAAAGAAGAACAAAGGGACTTGCTTGCACAAGTACACTCTCACTCGTCATTCATGCAGTGATTGAGTTTGAGATAAAATATAACTGACGCAACACTTTGACGCAACGCTATGATCAGCGGTTCATTTTGATATTCAATTGAGCATAGGAGACACGACAAAAATGTTGGTAGAAACCTTGAGAGAAAACTTAATTGAAGCCTTATGGCAAATTGTAGCAAATCAAAGCATTTGACAGATGACAGCAAAGAGGTGACAGAGCCTTTACTGGATAGGTGAAAAAAAAATGGGAAAAGGCGCGCTTGCTGCCGCAGAAGCATGCATTGTTGCGCTATATTTTTTTTCTCTCCCAGCTGTCGATTTGCGCTGCCACTGTTACAGGGCAACGGAGAAGGGAAAGAAGGAATGGATCCGTTTGTTCGGATTGGATTCACAGGGTAAAAAAAAGTTCATTTAGATAATAAGAGCAAGGGAGAGTGAGAGTCGTTCCATATAGCTAACTTGCCATACCATCCCATCCTGCGATCCTGTTACTGAAATGCGACGTTGTTGGTGAACGACTGAAATGTTGTTGTTGGCATTTAATGAAGGTCCTCAAGATCGATTGGAACAGAAGGGTGAAGAAGCGACTAAAGGCTGAATAAAAGCGGACAACCAAGTTCAGAGTTTGCAATTTTCATACGTGAAGAAAGAGAAAGTAAAAAAAATACTTCCAATCCAATTGTGGCAACTATCGTTGTTTTATTTTCTCTCAACCGAGGAGAGGATGGGCACAACATGATCAAGAAAAAAATTGTTGACAACCCTCATTCCCACGTCAATTGCTTTCTCTCTCTCTCCTCCTTTACTTTTTTTATCCCTTTGCATGTTCTCCTTCCATGTCCTGTTGCTAACGTCCTCTCCTTCGCTCTCACCCTCCTCTTTGTTTTGCACGCTTCATTCGTCGTGTTGGACAATATCATCCCTTAACCTCCTGAATTCGCAACGACCTCCCCCAATTCCCTCGCCATGCCCTTGCTCCCTTCAATTTTCATTGCCACCACATCTCCATCCTCTTCACCCTTACTTCAGCCAACCTCCCGTACCTGTTTGTTGCATGGGATCGCCCATGTTGGCGAAACGACTCTCTACATCCAAGGAGACCTTGATTCCAACAGGAAGGCCGTCACCCAGTTTGTCGCATTGAACCTACCCCCCCCCCCACCCCACCCTCTTCTGAGATACCTCCTCGCCGCCACGGTTCAGCCCCCAGTCCAACAATCTCCCCCCCTCTTCCCAACTTCCAGCTATCATTCAATGGTAGCAGCCAAGGATCATCGAAACCTGTACGCCTGGGACGCATTGCAACCACACCTGTGTTGGTGGACCTACAGCATCGGTGATAAGTTCTGGGGCCACTCCTTTGTCCCTCTCAATGCCACATAACAGCCCGGGATCCGTTTGGAGTCGACTTGACGCTGGGCGACATTTGTCTCTCGGCCGGGATCGACAAGGGACCCCAGATGATGAAGAATACCCTTGGAATCAGTGGGGTCACCCTCACGCCCATGTCGATGAATCTTATGTTCGCTCCTGTTATCCATGAGTCGTTTGTCTGGCATACCTATCGGAACCATTTTCTGCATTACGGTGGGAGAACGATAGTCAGGAATACTTCCAATCCGTACCTTAACGAGCTCCTTCCCATGAGTGAGTGGGTGCCTTCGGTGCCTTCGGTGCGTTTTTTCATTTTTGTTTGGGTTTCGCACGTCTCAATGTGTTTGTTCGTGCATGGAAACTTAAATTGACATGAATGAATCAGCCAACTTACCGTGTTGTCCCATTCTTTTTTTTTTCTTTGATAGAAAACTACTGGGACATCCCCTTGAGATGCGGGTGGCCTTTGCATGGTGCCTGGTAAGTGTGACTCTCCACGGCATGGTTTTTCACAACGTCTTGTTGCATTAAACCCTTTCCATGGCTGGCACGCCTCTACTTTTTTCATGTTACTAGCATACGGCGACCAAAGTATGATTGTGTTTGGTGGCACAGGACTGGACGGGATCGCAAAGGCCGACATTCATATCCTCGACCTCCCTTCCAGCACATGGACTACCGGAAGACCTGCCGATGCAAGCCAAGCTCGGACCAACATGGCGTGTACTGTCTCTGGAGACAGCTTCATTGCCTGAGGAGATAAGGAATTCTCTATACTTTGCATGGTGGAGACTAGGGTGTACAGATATTTGAAATTTTTTATTAACATCTCTTTTTTTTACCTTCTATGGCAGGTGAGAGCAATAATGTCAACAAAGACGCCATGCCGATAATTAACCACCTCAGAAACAGCGAATGGACAACACATTTCAAACGGTACACGGGAGCAGACGTGTTAGGACCCCTCAAACCCCGCCAAGTCTAGTGCCGTGCCAAACATTGCCAAGCTAACAACAAATATCGGAGCCATCGGAGATGGAACGGCAGGAGTAGTAGTGGTGGTTGCGATAATAGGATTCCTCTTCTACAGGAGGCGCATTACCAGCAGAAAAGAAATGCACAACGATGGAAATGAGAGTGCAATCGCTCTCAATCTCCCGAACCCACAAAATCCAGATGGAGATCCCATGGCAGAACTCCTTGGCGTGTTATTACCGTCGTCGTCGGCATCACCAACGAATTCTCTGCGGGTGTATTATAACCGCGAGAACTTTTTTAGACGACTTGCCGCGTCGCCCCTCGCCGGACCTCACTCTTTAATGAGAGAGCCACAAGGAGAACAGCAACTTCGATTAACAAGTGGCAACGAAGACGATTAACAAGTGGCAACGAAGACGATTAACAAGTGGCAACGAAGACGATTAACAAGTGGCGACGAAGACGATTTCGCGCGGACGAACAGTGGACCTCATGAGCAACGCCTATCATCCCTCACCTCACTGCATTCCCCGCATTTGGTGAATCGCGCCACTACCGCCGCTCTATAGGATTTTCCAAGTGTCAACGATGACAACGACAACAGTGACGAGTACGAGGGCGACAAAAGTGAACAACGACAACCATCACCACCAAATCCATGGAGTCCACAAACGGAAGTCATAGATGGACAGGACAGACCACCTCGGCCTCCTCAATGGCAACAATCTTTACCTCCGGTTGTTTTCCTGGATCAGAGCCAATATCTAGAAAGGAGTCATGGAACTAGCATGGACGATGGAAGCTATCATCGCAGAAAAGAGGTCCTGGACAGACGGAAATTAGTCCAAGACACGTTGGTTGCGCAAAAGTGAGCAAATCTTCCAGCTCCCCCTTCACCTTCCTCAGATCCTCACAAGTTAAGAAAGATAAATCGTAGCTAACTTTATTTTAAAGTACTAAGTTTCATTGGCAAAGTTCGTTTTCTTACTTTGTTACTTTTGTGGTGCTTGATATTTTTAAGGTATGCTGTCTGTCTGTACGCTGAACAACGATGTTTCTAACTATTTTCTTTTCTTTGGTATGAATGCGACCCCAAAAAAATCAAACGTGTCTTAAAACACATGTTTATTAGTTCGTCGCGTCTCTGCTCGGAAGCGTTAATCAATTAGTCGTCTTCTGGCGATCCCAGAAAAATGTCTCGCATTTCTACTCCTTGCCCGCTTCTATGCATCTCCCTTGCATTTAAAAAATATTTCTCCTTGGAGTACAGTAAAGCAACCCGTGGTTGTTGTTCTGACTGACTGTTTATTACCATGCGCATGGAAGGGCTCTAACGAAATAAAAGGGTAAAGTGTTAAAAAGACTACACACATGAAAAATAACGCATGTTTATGCATGTTGGTATGTGGCACTGTGGCAATACAGGGCTGGGCAATTCCGATCGGCCACATTTCTAACACCAACCGTCGCTTGCATTTTAAGGTATTCCTCCTTGGAATAAAATCACTGACTGTCCATTGGGACAAAAAAATATAAAGTTTTTTTTGAAGCCGAAGTTGATGCAGCGTGAAGTGGTTTCTTCCACCAACCCCTAAGTAGAGTCTCTTCCAAGTAGAACATAACAAAAAGAGAGCCTGAGAAAGCGACGTTTCCCCTTCTTTCGTGCAGGTAAGCAGACACCACGAAAAGACAATGACAAACAATAGTAGGATAGGAGCAGTGTGATGGATATTAAATATGAACCTTTTGTCCTTCTTTCGTGCAGGCATAACGGGTTCACCAGCGTTTTCTTTTATCACCAGCGACAACAACAACAGCGACAATAACAGTGACAGAACTATCAACAGCGACAAACCACATATATCCCTTTCTCATTTTATTTCATCACCACTCCAACCAGCCATAACTACGACTACAACACAAAAAAGAAAAAAAAATACTAAGAAAAAGAGACGGCCACAACCACCAACAACACGGCAACGTGTCCAAGTCAACCACCGACGAAAAGACTTAATCCCTTGGAAGCGACACCGGGGTCCTTAGAAGGGAGGAAGACCAGCAAGCGGGCTCCCATCTCCTGTCAACTCTCCCCCTGCTCTCTCTTCAAACCCTTCCCACAAACGACACTGAACAATAGTTTTTTTGATTGAATACACTTTATTTCAAAAAAACGGATAAATAAAACAAAAAGAACATAAGCATGCCTGTATGCACGTCGATATATGGCAGTGCAGGGCTGGGCCATGTCAATCGGCCATCGACCGCCGTGCGGCGTGTGTGGAGTTTACAATAAGATTTGGGATGTCCATTCCTTACATACAGGTTTGTTACCTTCTTTCTTCAATGGGCATACATACAACAAACAAAAACAGAGAGCATGAGTTATTGATTTTTCTCCACCCTTTCTTTTATCCTTTTGCTTTCCATTTCTCCTTTCTTTCTCCTTTGCCAACTCCACCTTTTGTGTTGAGTAGGCACCTCCCTCGTTCCTTTCACTTCCTTCCTTCGCCCATTCACACTCTCCTTTCCTTCCCTAGTTTTATCATCTCTCAGTCCGTCATGAGACTACATGATTCTTACCCCGTCAAACACCGAAACTGTAGTACCATACGGTCTCACTCTTCCATCATGCGCCCACTTTCCTTGACGTTTGTCGCAGGCACAGCCATCTTCGCCACCTTAGCCTCCGCACAAACACCTGTAGGTGTCACCTGCATGGCTTACGCCAACCTCGACGAGAAAACTCTGTACATCCAAGGCGGAATCGGATTCAAGAGCAATGCCAGGTACCAAACCTCCTCCTTCTTCGCCCTGGACCTGACAGTTTCAACCTGGCCGACCTCCAATCCACCGTGGCTATGGCCTCCCATGCTTTTGAACACCAACGGTCCAAATTCCAGTTGTCACTCGATGGTTGTGGACAAGGATCGTGAGAATATGTTTATCTGGGACCCGTATCAGAAAAACGCTTGGTGGACTTACAACATAGTAGTCAAATACTGGAGCAATTACACGATGCCTCTCCCTAACACTCAACAGGCCGGTATCCGCAACGGTGTTGATTTGAATACGGGAAACGTTTATATCCCGGCTGGGAGTAGTAATGGGACCAAAATGGTTATGAACGTGCCGGGATCGTCAGCCACTCCTGTGACCGACATGCCCACGAGCCTCATGCCCATTCCTATTATCCAAGAGTCATTTGTCTGGTCAACTTACCGGAACTCGTTTCTGCACTATGGTGGAAAGTCGATCGATGGCAAGACTGCGAATCCACATCTGAACGAGTTCAGCTCTACGTATTCGTGGGCGGCTGTGGTAAGTTATGATGCTCTGCTGTATGTTTTTTTCTTCTGGGATCAGGGACTGTTAATCTGACCAGTGGACCTTAATTTTAACGCGCCATTATCTTTGACTCCTAATAGACCACAACAGGATCATCGCCCGGAGATGTTAGCGGCCACTGCATGGTCCCAGGTAAGGACGACAGCATATTTTTCCGAGCACCTTTTTGCATTGTTGCTATTGCGTTCATACATGCTTACGACCTTTTTCTGCTCGGACCTCTCTACTAAGTACATGGCACTTTTGTACCTTTCTTTGTCTTATTTTAGCGTACGACGGGACGAAAATGATTGTGTTCGGTGGCGCAGGACTGGATGGGGTCGCAAAGGGAGACATCTATGTTCTGGACGTCCCGACGCGTATATGGGCAGTCGGCAAGCCAGCTGATGTATCCCAGGCCCGCACCAACATGGCGTGTTCTGTGTCTGGCGACAGTTTCATTGCCTGGGGAGGTACTTATCCATACTGGTTTTTTTGTTGGAAAGAACATACCGCAACGTGCATTTGTTTTAACTCTATGCTGACGTCGGTTCAACTTTATTGTTTTTTGTAGGTGAGAGTGCGTCGGGAATCAAGGATGCAACGCCAATCGTATTCGACATGAAGAACAACGTGTGGACGACCGTGTTCAACCGCGTCATCACAGCAACCGTGACCTCAGGACCCGCCTCAACTACTCCAGGGACACCACCACCAACCCCAACAACCAACAGTCCCGTCATATCACCCCAGCAAAGTCCGACAACCAACACTGCCGTTATTGGAGGCGGGATTGCAGGAGTGGTCGTCGTGATTGCGCTTATTGGATTCGTTTTCTACAGACGGCGACATAGGCACACGAGGTCGACAGGCAACAGCAAGGACGATGATGCCATTGGTTTGAGTCCGCGTGAACCAAGGGAACCTGAAGGCCATTTTCCCAAGACAGAGCCAGCTCCACCAAAGTCTCCGTCGCCACTGAGACTTCGACCAAGGTTTGACAACTACGATTTCACTGGAGTTCATGCAGCAGCGGGACTACCCTCTTATCAGTATCCGACCTCGCCATCATTATCCATCGGACCCTATGCTGCGTTGAGAAGCCCAGAGATTGGAAATGCATACGTTCCTACAAGCCCATACATGGCAGAATGGGCCGGCGATAACGATCTTGGTCCACCACATGACGTTAGCACCAACAGCAGCAACAATGACGTTTATGGCAGCGGGAACAATGGTCACCACAAATTCCCATTAAGCCCACATAATCCACAGACTCTATCTGGCGGAGAAGAGTTTAGGCCCTCGTTGCGATCGGGGGATCCCAGACCTCGAGGTCCTCAAGGACAACAACAACAGGCTCCAGCTCCCAGTCGCCGAGATCGTAGTCAGAGCAATAACAACAGCAGCCACTATGTAGTAGACCAGAGCCAGTACCAGGACCGGAGCAAGGAGCTTGTGAGAATGATGGACAGCATCCGGGCAGAGCAAGAGGAATTGGAAAGAGCTCGGTTAGAGCACGAAGCCTTGATGCAGAACTACCGGCGTGGTGATTCTCATTCTCAGTCGTATTACCAGCCTCCACTTCCGCCTAAATAAAAATACAGTGGAATGGCATCTTCATATACATACTGCCGATTGATTGGTGTGTCCTATGGCTTGAGCTTTACAGCAATTTCATCAGAGCAATATCCATGCAAGACGACAGCTCTTCAGCTTTGTTGTTTTCGGCGGTGTTGACGCCCTTGCAGGGGTGACATAAATGTACCATCGTGGTCCGTGATTGAAAAAAGTAAGTTTACACTGCCACTTTCAGCCTTTTAAAGATGGCTGCTGATGCATTTCCTGCACCTAAGCATGAGAAAAGCAATGACACCAGGAGCGATATTTTTTGCAAGGATTGTTGAACATTGCATGTGTGAGCAAATATAACTGTCGACTCTTATGCTTATAGTCGACGTAAAGGCTATGTCGGACCGGCAAACGGTTCGCTGTAACCTATCTTTTGACATGGTTCTAGCCCCTTTACTTTTTGCATTTTTTTTCTTCAACTGGGTTGTCGGTGCTTAAAATAAGAACCTGTTGATCTAGCCTTTTATTGACGATACAACCGACCATACGGGTTACACTCAGTACGTTCCCATGAACAAGTCGAACCTGATGGAGTCCTCCTTCGAAGAAAGAGGAATAGTGTATTGGCAACAAAAAAAAAATGGGTCTAAAGAGGTTTTAGTTCCACCGTCCAAACTCTTGCACGTTCCCCTCTTTCCCGACGCTCCCGGCATGGCCTGAAAAAAAAACAAAAGATTCTTTGCCAAGAGAGGTACTGTGTTACTATATTTACATACTCCATGGCCCAGAACAGTCTTGTAAATCAATGAAGAAAAATCAATTGGTAAACCTCTCTCCCACACCATGTTACGCTGTAACCTTATCAGCCTTTTTCTCAGCCCTTTTGTCTCATTGCATGCGTGTTGCGGCTATTTTTTATTCCATGTACGGTTCTAGATGCTCTTCGTGTTCGCTCTGTTAACACTCCCGCTACTGCCCCTGCTCGTTTCCAGTTGACCATATTGATTTTTTTTTTTTTTTTTTTTTTTGGGGGGGGGGAGGAATGATCTGTAAGAAGGGGACGAAAAGAAGGGAGAATCTGATGTTGAGAAAGGAATGAAGGGAGATCCTCTATTCATGCAATGGTCGGAGTCTTGAACACCAAGAAAGAAAAAAGAAGATGAAAAGTCGACGATACAAATAAGAACGGGGACACATGCAGAGACAAGGACAGGGACCAATTTATGAAGTACAGATTTCTATTCACTTCCACTCTTATACTTCTCCGTCTCGTCATTTTTGTTGTTTGTTCGTTTCGCAGACAGACAAGTTTCTGATAAAGTTATTCTGTGCTCACAACAGCTGAAGAGGAGAGGAAAGAAAAGAGTGCGGCAGAGCGAGAGAGAAAAAAAAAATGCGCGAAATAGAGTAGGTGAGAAAACAAGCAATTGAGGGACAGGAACAGGAGGACAGGAAAGCCAGAAGTCAGTGAGAAAAAGTGATCTGAGTTTGAGCAATTGTTGGCAAACAAGACAGAACAGCCCGACAGAGAGAAAGATAGAGTTGTGGTGTATCGTGTCTGTTTATCCATTATTTATTCACAATAATGTGGGCTCACATCTCCACTTGTTCACCTTCATGTTATCGTTGGCATGCTGCTGCCCTCCCCTGCTTCTTCCCCTCTTCCTTTCCTTATTTCTTCTTGCAGAGTCGGCCGTCGACTGTTTTTTTATTCTCTCTCTTCACTTTTCGCCCCTCTTCCCTTTTTTCCATAGTCCCCCCTCACTCACTACTTCACTTCTCGTCCTTTCTCCTCGATTCGATACCTCCCTCTCCTCACCCTAATACCTAATTTCAAGATGAGGGGACACAACAGTCCACCGGGCGAACAACGCCCAGATACCACCCGGTTCTTTCCTCTTTCTTCCATACGACTTCTTTTAATTGCCGTCGCTACCACAGCCATCCTCTCAACCCCAGCACTTGCACAACCCCCTGTGCCAGTCTGCTGCATGGCTACCGCAATCTCGGACGGCAGCTATCTATACATTCAAGGAGGATTCACATCGGTCGCAACCCTCAGGACTGCGGTGCCACAGTTCTTTGCCCTGGATCTTGCAGTCGAAACCTGGTCAACTTCAACTCCACCGTGGACATGGCCTTTAAATGTTGGAGATGTGACGCCTCCTGCGTCCAATGGGCACTCGATGGCACTATCAAAGGATCGTGGAAACCTCTTTATCTGGGACCCTTTCCAGCCAGCCGCATGGTGGACCTACAACATCGGAGCACGATACTGGAGTAGTTACAACATCCCCCTTAACGTCACTATACAGTCCGGCATCCGGAACGGAGTCGATATGAGTACAGGAAACGTCTTTATCCCAGGAGGAGCCGACAATGGAACACAGATGATCATGAACACCCCCGGAAGTTCTGCGGTCCCTCTAACGCCCATGCCGACGACCATTTTACCAGGGCCTGTTGTTCATGCGTCGTTTGTCTGGTCGACCTATCGGAACTCGTTCCTGCATTACGGCGGGCAGTCGATCGCCGGCAACATTGCCAACCCAAATCTTATCGAGTTCATTCCCACGACAGGATGGCAGGCTCTGGTATGTATGGCCATTTTTGTCATCGTCTTGGTATCCGTCAAATCAGGAGAACGAGAACGAGAAAGAGAACGAGAGAACCCCAATATCTAACTTTGCTATGCACTGACTCGATTAGACCACGACTGGACCTTCCCCTGGGGATGTTAGCGGTCACTGCATGGTGTCAGGCAAGCTGCACCACATAAAAGCTTACTGCTGTAACATTTCTCTCTTTGTTACAATCCAACATATCTGACACCGTGTCGCCTATATTTCTCCACCTAATAGCATACGGCGGGACGAAAATGATTGTTTTCGGAGGCGCAGGACTGAATGGGGTCACTAATGCCGATATTCATATTCTCGATTTGCCGACACGCGAATGGACTCTCGGAATGTCTGCTAATGCTACCCAGGCTCGGCGCAATATGGCATGCGCAACTTCTGGAGACAGCTTTATTGCCTGGGGAGGTAATTTTTCTACCTTTTCTGTATCTATAGGGCGAAAACAACAGGAAACGCGTTATTAACGCCCTTTTTTTTCCTCTCATATTTGTAGGTGAAAGTACTCTCGCGATCAAAGATGTCACGCCGATTGTCTATGATATGAGGAACAACCAATGGACAACCCAGTTCAGACGCAACACCACATTACCAGTGCCCGCAGGGCCATACACGCCCATCAGCACCGTAACTCCACCGACCTCACCTAAGTCAACAACAAACATCGCCGCAATAGTAGGTGGAGTCGCGGCAGTACTAATCGCTGCCATCGTTGGATTCTTCCTATACAGGGAACGCAGGCAGACAAATGCGAACAGCAATAACAGCAACAGCAACAGCAAGGACAACAATGGTGTAGGCCTCAGTCTCCGGGAGCCACAAAGCACCAATGGAGATCGCATTACAGGACATCCATTATCACACCCACCATCACTGAAGCCTCGGCCGACGGACAACCGCGAGGCGTACTTTAGTCGCTTGGAATTATCTCCTCCAACATCGCCCCTATCTGGACCCCAAGGTTTTTTGAGAGATCCACATGGACAGGCACGGTTCGGTGTTATAAACACAGACAAATCGGAATGGGTCGACGACAACGATGGACATGATGGTTTTGACGCTCTTAACCTTTCTCAACGACCTCCGATATCGGCTCGGATACCACACCTGAGCAACAGGACTACGGCGATGTCAGAGCCATACCAGAGTTGGCCATTAAGTGACAGCGTCGACATCGACATCAACAAATCCATTCCACAACAACAGCAACAACAGCAACAGCAACTACAGAATTCTCGTAATCCACAGACACCAGGATCGGACGAACATTATCATGGGCGGACTACAACACAGCTCACCGGACCACGTGGCCCACAATGGCGCTCTCAAACCAATGGCTCTGCTCAGGATGTGAGTGCTCGGACTCAGTTTGTGGACAGGAACCAGTACCTCGATCGGAGTCAGGAACTTGCGAGGATGATGGACGCTATTCATGCTGAGCAGGAGGAACTGGAGAGGAGTCGGTTAGAACATGAGGCACTGATGAAGGACTATCAGGATCCTCGCTCCTCACCAGGTCCATGAATGTAAATAAATGATAAAATCAATGTCATAAATACATAAGCAAAGGGCGATGTAGCCAACCATGCATTGCATAATATTTCCTTTGGACTAAGCAAGGGTGTCAGAGTTCCACTCTGGATACACATCACTATGGGCCACCGCCTATGGTCCACTGGGTACATGACCAGGTCATGTCATGCTGACTAATCCTACTTCGAACTCTAGGGTAGGTCAAGATGTCTAGCTGACTAGGGTCACAAGCCTAGTCCACGGGAACCACGATTAGTAAGCTGGTCCCCATAACACACATAAATACAGATAGTCATTGCTAGTTTAGTTCTTTACTTCATAACTCACTCTTTTATTAAACACTCGAAAAACACAACACCGTTATATTGTCCCTTTAACGATAGACCTATATACTATGTGGAAGGACGAGTAGATGAGAAAGAGAATGTTGTTATTGGCGAAATAAGAACATATATGCGAGGGCCAGAATGTACTGCCATTACACTAGTTGCTGGCTCGCAAAAAGGAATGTTTCGTTCTAGGAATGCATCTCCTAATGGTTATCGTAAATTCCGCAATGTGGGAATTGTGGAAGTTGACAACGTCTCTATTGCCTGGCCAAAACGAGCTTTTACCAAGAATAGTACCCCACTGGCAGAACTCATCGAATGTGATGAAGGTGCCATAGACACAAATGTTTTGCATTTGAAATCTGTTCATGTTTCGATGTATACTGTAGCCGACAAAATTCTAAAGCCTGGTACAGAGTATACCATTGTGGCAGCCGGTTTCAGAGAATTTCGTCGTGCTCATAGTTGGCATTTTATTAAAGAGTGTGGTGTAAAGGTGCGCGCAGGAAAATCTTTGGCAAAGATCTGGGGAGCATGGCGCGTAGATCACATTGAAGGTCCACAGAGAATTGGTAGTGTTACTGGTGTGCCGTTCATGACGTTTTGTGCAGTAAGAAAGGTTCGTTCTCGTGGCATGGATGATATGAAGTGCGAGCTCGTTGAAGAAAGTTTTAAAAAATTGGGATAGAAATATATAAAACTATCTTTCTACAGACTGGCTGCATCATCATCGTCCTCGTTTGACATTTGTTCATCATCATCTGAGGAGGCCGTTCAAATTATCATATGATATTTGTTACATCTCTGCAGATCTTGGCGATATCCACAGCGACCATTAGAGGAGAGTGTAAAACAACCACTGCAACATTCTTTATGTAAATATCCTACTAAACACCAACTTATTCTCCAAACAACAAAGTCTTCTTATTTTTCGCACAGCAATCTTTTGAATGTGTTCATCCACTATTAAACTGTACCCCTCAAAAATTCGGAAGAGTAGTTCATATATGTGATCATATAAGGTACTTGTACTCTCAAGTTTCTCAACTGTATCTTTGTCATGAAATACAAAAGGGAGATTACATTTTAAAAAATCTTGTGCTGTCTGTTGCTATTTTATCCTATGTTCTATTGCCGACTCTGAAGAGCTATATCAGCTGTGAAAGTCTACACTGCATTCCTTGGGCTTTGGATATTTTTTATATGCCTTTTTATATCCTTCGCACATGGAGGAGCCGCTGAGATAACATCCAATCCTAAAAAGTTCTCTTGCATCCTTTGCAATTCAAGGCCATTTCCAGTTTATTTTGTACTGTAACGGTCTGTGTTAACTCTGGAACAAGTTGCCTCTGTCGTGGATAATCCACTCCTTCTTCCATCCATGCGCGATGATGTGGCAGCTCTTCGATATCCAATGCATTAACAAAGTTGCGAACATTTAGCAAGAGAAGACAAAGGCGGAATGCAAGATTAAACTCCCCTTTGGATCCAGTTCGCACAATCTCATTATTAAACTTGGCAAACGTTTTCATGAGATCACCAAAGTTTGCCTCTGATGTAGATCGAAATCCACCGAATATAGTATTAAAATTGGATTCCTCTTCATGAAGTGACTGTAGCTGTTTCTTGCGGATGGGGAAACAGAAGTTACACTCCTCCAACTTTTCTTTTTCCACAATACCGCCAATGTATTGTGTATATCCTCCATCACGGGCAATGCAGTCCATGCTCTCGATCTTCTTGTCAATGCCCATCTCTTGTAGCATTTTCCCATCGTTGTTATCACGACATGATGCTGAATTGGATACAAAGAGAACCATCCCATTTGCATCGATAGCAACTTGTGTTCTCAAACCTGATTTCTTTAGCTTATAAGAGTACATTGTTAGTTTATCTTCCCCATATGTTGTTCGAGAATCATGACCGTCCAACATAAGAGTTACATGCTTGAATAGTCGAGGATTTTCCAATTGGTTGTTCGAATACGGATTTCCAAAGAAGAGAACATGGATGCAAAAACAGCGTTTAATCTCCTTCTCGAATAATGCACGCTCAACCTTGACGAATGTGCTGTATATTACATGGAATGTGGACCTTGCCATGTACTGTGCCATGGAATCCATAATTTCTCCAGCCACAAAAAAGTATAGAAATACAACTCCTTCTGTGTAGCATTATATGGTCCAAGGAAATAGTGCTTGCTCCAGATTGTGGACAGAAAGAAAAACACTGCGATGGATCCAAGTCGCTTCATCAACACATCTTTCGTATCCTGTATGCGCAATATTTGTTTCAACTCTGAACGATGAAACGTCTTAATTGGCCAAGGTTCACCAAGGAATCCCCATTCGTTCTCCAGCAGATCGTCAAACAATCGCGCAAAGCTTCTGAGACGCCCATTGAGGTCGACGGAGTGAAAGGATCCAGCAGACACGTGGCTGGTGGTAGAAGGGGGAGCGACCGCAGGTCGCATGGTTCTTGTGAAAGGTGGGAGAGTGTTGCCAGTCAGAACACGGTCATGCCCAGAATGCCGATATTGGTCGCCGCGTCTGTGTCCCTTCCTCTCTTGGGTAACCACTCAAAAAGGAAACGCAGTTTGGGTTGGCACATTCGACGAGACCGTCAACCTTTAGCGACTTGAACTCCCCGTTGACCCATCGGTGTGCTCGTGCTAGTCTCGCCAAACAAAAGCAGAATGGGCAAACCTTTGAGGTGCGATGTTCTCCCGTCATGAGGACTGGACAGTGTTGTTGATGTTGCTCTATCAGTCTCTTGCCTCCGTACTTCAACGATCCCTTGATCCTGCTGTTGGTCCCTATTCCCTCGGTTCCCACAAAAAATATCGGGAGAACTCGGTTCTTGGATAGGGGACAAACAACTGGATACTGTAGGGCAGAAGACGACCATTCGGGGGAATGAAACGATCCGCATTGAGTCAACTAACGGTAAGCCTAGATCAGGGACTTCAAACTCTTCACCAGAAGATGTCGACAAGGGTGTACTAGAAGCTGTCATATATAAACGAGATCAAAGCGCATGTTAGAATGTACAAGTCAGGTGAAGGGGCACATGAAAAAAGTCTAAAGGTTCATGTTGAAGATTTACCAGGGGTGATATCCTTCACTTGTGTTCGTTCCATGGCGCTAAGAACTGCCCAAGCCCTTTTCTGCTGTAGTTCCAAATGGTGCCGATCCTTGGTTCGAGCCGGGGCTTGCTCAAATTCTCTTAAAACTTGCCTTTGAGATCTCCTGACTGTTTGCGCCTGCTCGATCTCCTCTGCCGTCTGTCCTCTGTGAGCTCCAGCCGATCGAAAAAATATGGGCTGTCGTCAAGAACATGATCGCCTACTCTACAACAGGACGGATAACAGCCCTCGAGTTGAAGCACATGTTGCATGGATATTTCAGCGGACTCGAGCGACATATTTTTCAGTCAGTGTGGGAGACCAGCATTAACATTGGTCGTCAATATCTGCTTATGGCCGACCCTGATGCGCCCATTGCTGAACACGCCAACAGACCCGTCTGTGAGCCCTTGGAGGTGGATGATTCGGTGGCAACGATGGCACTCGCCCTGCAGGTGCTAATGGGTGCAATTGAAGAGAGAGACGTCGATGAGGAGGAGGACGACGACGGGAAGGAATAAACAAAGATGCAATTGAAACGAATGAACCAATCATGCTCTCCAAAATGGCCAAAAAGGTCAAAAAGGCACTAGTGTGGTGATGTGAACGGGAATCGTTCTCTCACTTAGTCTCGAATCCATCCCTTCACTTTACGTGAGTTGGAATCTCATTCCAACATCTTCACGAAGTGAAGGTCTGGGTTTTTTCGATGGGTACCCGGCAGACCTGATTTTTTCGTCCTCATATGGCAGGTTGTTAAGGGTTTAGACATTGCCCTCAGCGCATCAAATAAAATCCTCACCCTGAACCCTTAACAACCTGCCATATGAGGACGAAAAAATCAGGTCTGCCGGGTACCCATCGAAAAATCCCAGACCTTCACTTCGTGAAGATGTTGGAATGAGATTCCAACTCACGTAAAGTGAAGGGATGGATTCGAGACTACTCTCACTCATGATTTTGTTCGAATTAAGAACATGCGGGTTAAGGGGTACTTAGCTAGTAATAAAAACGAAGGATGGAGCAATTTGGCTCCTGCTTTTTCTGATTTATTTTACCGACTTTTGACTTTTGTTCTTCATATTGAACTGGAAGTCCACGGCAATACTCAGGTATACCATTGCCTTCTAGACGTGGATGCGCCTACGCGCATCTCCGCCAACAACAAGTCAGGATTCCGTTCAGGTCCTTTTCCTTTCGCCACGTTCTGCACCGCCAAGAGATGCATACCAACCATCCAGAGCACACCCTGTCCACGAGTCCGCAAGACCTCCGCTGTTGCAGCCCAACACCCGACCACAAGCCGACAGATCGTCTAACGGTGTAACAGTTCAGAACGGATCGATTTGCGGATCAAATTCCCATCGGCAGCAACAACATACGGGGTCTACCTCACTGTCAGCACTCCTCTTCTCGCCATCACCACGATCAGCCCTACAATATGCGGACTCCTTGGAACTCTCCCAGTTGTTCCTCAGAGAACTCAGTCCTTTATGCTCTCGGTGCCATTTGGCTAATATAGATCCCCACTTTTATTACCCTTTGGTCCCCTTTTCGTATCATTATCTGTAGAATTGAGAACATCCGCTTACTTTGCACTACCTTCGCGCTTCTCCCTCGCTCTATTTGGAACCACGAGATCTTTCTGGTTCTATTTTGGTAAGCGCCCTGAATCCTTATTTCAGTGCGCAAGTGCCTTGTTCCATTGTTAATAGTAATAGTTCCTCTTATTCATTAATGGATCTTCCATCTTTTGTTCTGTAGACTTATTCGTTCACCCGTCGTTTCCTTACCTTACATCTCGGGCCTTTTCCTTGCGTACCTTTCTGGGCCCCAAGTCCACCTGATCCTCACCAGGTACGGACTTAGATCCCTCTTTTCAATGGTTATGCGCTTGTAGTTTGCAGTATCATAGTGGTTAGTTCTTGTTAGTTAACAGATAGTATTCATCGGAGACCTTTCAAGTCCAAATTGTAATATGGTATATGTTACATCTCTGCAGATCTTGACAATATCTACAGCGACCATTAGAGGAGAGTGTATGTATAATATCCACCATGTAAAACAACCACTGTAACATCCCTTGCATGACTATCCTACTAAACACCAACCTATTCTCCAAACAACAAAGTCTTCTTATTTTTCGCACACCAATCTCTTGAATGTGTCCATCTACTATTAAACTGTACCCCTCACTGCGAGATTAAGGGTAGTACTTCTTGTATGTGATCATCTAAAGCACTTGTACCCTCAGCTGTATCTTTGTCGTGAAATACAGGGGAGAGATTACATTTTAAAAAAACATGTGCTATCTATTGCTATTTTATTTCATGTTCTATTGCCGACTGTAAAGAGATACATCAGCTATGGAAGTCAACACTGTATTCCTTGGGCTTTGAATATTTTGTATATGCCTTGTTATATCCTTTGCACATGGAGAGGCCGCATCGTTATAGACCCACATCACGACACTGGCCAGATCGATTTGTTTGGTATACTCAAATCTGAACAGGACTTTATAAATATAACTTTTAATGTCAGGAACCGCTTTGTAAAGGTCCGTGTAACATTGTAACATCTAGGCCCAAGCAAAAGAAAAAAAGGCGAGGGTGTTTTGAACGTTCCCAGCCCTTGCATTTTTTCCGAGAAACAAAGGACACAAGGTGTCTTTTTTAGGACTGAACTTGAACGGATCAGACGGACACTTGAGGAAAACAAAAAAAAAAAAAAAGTAAAAGGAAGAGCGTATGGACTTCACCTCAATGTTCTCATCTTTCGCCACTCCTTGACTTTTCTCATTTACCGTTTGCCTTCCTTCTCTCACTCTCTATACTCTCTTTCCCACATCTTCGTTCAGGATGAAGAAAAGAAATTTCCCCTATGGCCTTGGATATCGCCCCCAGAGGAGGCAACGATCCTCACCCTCACACCTCCATATACGCCTCCTACCTTTACTTCTCGTCGCCATCATATCATCCAATCTCTCCACTCCAGTACTGGCAAAAAGCCCAGTCCCAGTATGCTGCATGGCCTTTGCCAGCGTCGACGAACGCATGTTTTATATCCAAGGAGGACTCACCGAGATCGGCAGCAACCAAACACCCCTCAACCAATTCATCGCCCTAGACCTGACTGTCGATTCCTGGCTGACCTCAACCCCTCCGTGGATATGGCCCCAAAGTCTCGGCAACACCATGCCTCCAATGTCCAGCGGGCACTCGATGGCTGTTTCAATTGAACGTACTACCCTCTATATGTGGGATCCATTCCAGGCAGGCTTCCATTGGACCTACGGCATTGAATCCAACATATGGAACTTGTATGGGAATCAGCTCTACGGGACCAAGCAAAGCGGGATCAAGAGTGGGGTCGACATGAGTACAGGAATCCTGTATGTCCCTTCTGGAAATAAGAATGGGACGGAGATGATTATTGTCACCCCTGGAAGTCTTTCACTTTCGACCCTGCCCATGCCAACGGCGCTTATGCCTGTGCCTGTTGTCCACGAGTCGTTCCTGTGGTCGACTTATCGGAATAGTTTTTTGCATTATGGTGGGAAGTCTATAACGGGGAACACTGGGAACCCTTACCTCAATGAGTACATTCCCAGCAGCAGTAGGTGGGGAGCTCTGGTACGTCTTGTTTCTTATTTTTCATAGAATTTCTACCCATGATACATGAAGATGTTGGTCCAGTCCAGTCAACTTATCATTTAGATCTTGATGGCCTTATATTAACCAGACCACGTCGGGTCCCTCTCCTGGGGATGTCAGCGGTCATTGCATGGTCACAGGCAAGTAAAACTCGCCCAATAATTACCACGACATTATGTTATATTCTCATTTGCTGACATGTTAGCCCTCTTTTTGGCATCCATTAGCATACGGTGGATCGAAAGTGATTGTCTTTGGCGGTGCAGCACTGAATGGGATCGCAAAATCCGACATCCATACCCTCGATGTCCGGACTCTCGAATGGACCACTGGAAAACCCGCCGACGCAAATCAGGCTCGTCAACACATGGCATGCGCTGTTTCTGGCGACAGCTTCGTCGCCTGGGGAGGTAATAAACTTGGTTACGGATGTTTAGAAGGACGAGTTGACATGGTCGAACACGCTTCCTTTGACACGCGCGTTTCATTTCATTTGTCGTCTTTATAGGAGAGAGCGCCTCGGTGATCAAGAATACAACTCCAATCGTCTACGATATGAAGAACGATCAATGGACGACTCAGTTCAACCGCTTCATCAATGTTGCATCGACCACCACAGGACCCACTAACGTAAATTCTCCACCAAGCTCAAGGCCCACCTCCCAGCCGGATTCGCCAACAAATATTGCCGCCATTGCTGGTGGAATTGGTGGTGCTGTGGTAGCGGTGTTTGCAATTGCTGGATTCCTTTTGTACAGGCGTCGACGGAGGCGAAGGGCAAGAACGAGGGACGGCAGGCATCAGGACAAGGGTGAGGATGAGGAAGGCATTAGCCTTGCCCATCGCCAAAACCCGCCTTCAAACAACAATGACGATATCGAGGCGGAGCGTTTCGCAGCATCACCTCCACCACCACTGAACCCTCGTCCTGCTGAGGATCAACACGCGGTATCCCATGCCATGCCGAGAAACCCCCAGGGACAGCAATATACACCATGAGCAATGGCAGCATCGGCACACCTCAATCAACTCGGAATCCACAGAGCTGGAGCCCATACAAGGAGAGGAGTCAAGAGCTGACGAGGATGATTGCAAGTCTTCAAGAGGAGCAGGAGGAATTGGAAAAGGTCTCGGTCAGGAAATGAGAGTGCTTTTATACGGGACCAATATGGTCCTTCTGCCTCCGTTTCATTCATAGCATCTAAATACTCTTGCAAAGATATATAAATAATAATCACAAAAAAAATTGTAAGTAGGATGTGAGCACACCGATGACGCCTGAGCCATGTTGTCTCCAGTCAAAAACAGTTGTATTTTCATCCAACATGTGTCGTCCTCCAGGACCAACGCCCATTATGGAATCAACCAAGGAAAAAAAAAAGAATTCGAGGCGTTGCTTTCGCACGGCGGCGCTGTCATTCCATCCATTTCTCTTGTACCGAGCCGGTCATGCAGGAAGTACTGCAGGGAAAAGAAAAAAGATCGCTTGCTGAGAGGTCTAAGCCCAAAGACAGATGGAAAGGCAAAGACAGAGAAGAGGAAGGGGAGAAATGGATAACAGGCGCATGCACATGTGTCTTCGCCACCGACGTTAGACCCTCGCCGCTAATATTTCGACGCGCCTGACGGATGGGCCTTGTACTTTTTTGAAAAAAAATTTGTTCGTGCGACTGATAGGGCAAAACGTCACAGGCCCTTAATGAGCCACGGAGAAATGATCGCGTCAAGCTCTTCCACTTGCAGCATGGAAACACACACGCTATGATCGCCACTTCTTCAATGCTCCTCGAGGCGACAGACTGCCGAGATCAATTGACCCGCGCTGTGCCAGGTGCAGGTTAAAGGATCATGTCTTGACGCGCGGTCCACACGCCATGATTGATGTTGTTTCTTTTCAACATGCACCGCCACACCCTTCGGTGCAACAGCACTGTAAACAAACACAAGGGTTATTTTTGGGATTTGTTTGTTTACACACACATTCATTCTTAACTTTTCAAAGAAAAAATATATATTCATCCGGGGCGTCCAACAGAGCGGGAACAGCGGGGGATCAAAAAAGTCTAACGGAATGAGGAGAAATGAATAAGTACAGCCGAGAGATGACGGACATCGCTGCAAATCCATGGCGTTTTTTCACTCATTTGATGGGCTCTCTCTTCTTCCCCTGTGATGATAAACCTTTTACGAGGCAACCCAAAAGTCAAGAAAGAAAAGAACAACACACTATGTGTGTGCGAGAGAGAGAGAGAGAGAGAGAGTGAGCAACGGATGCAAGAGAGAATAAAGAGAGCCTGGTCTTCGCCACTCTGTCGACTCTCTCTTATCATCATCTGTCTTTTCTTTTCTCTTTTGTCTTCCGCTTGCACCCTCTTTCTACTTCTTCGCCTCTTTCCTTCTTCCTCCACCCACACTCACTGACACTCTTTCCCTGCACCTTATTACCGCCCCTCGATCCACTCACGACTCCACTTCTTCGTTACCCCTTCCCACTCTTCACTCCTCTCAACGAAAAATCACCTGTCCAATGAGGCGACACGGATCGCGCCATGGTAGTGACGCCTGGGACTCCACACGGTCGTCCTATACTCCTCCCTCTATCTCCAATCTCCTCCCTCTAATTTTCGTCGCCGCCGCGGTCATCCTCTCCACAACCCCCACTGCCTTCGTCTCTGCACAGTCTCCCCAGTCAACCTGTTGCATGTCCTATGCTAGCCTCGACGAGAAAACACTCTACATCCAGGGCGGATTCACCACCGTCGGCACTCAAAGAACTCAGGTCAATCAATTCGCTGCCCTCGATCTGACAGTACCGTCCTGGCCAACCTCCAGCCCACCATGGATGATTCCCCCATATAAGTCGGGTATCGCCCCCAACTCTAGTTGGCACTCGATGGCAGTGTCAAAGGACCATGCAAATCTCTTTCTCTGGGACCCATTCAACACCGGCTGGTCGACTTTTAATATTGCAGACAGGACGTGGACCAACTTCACTCTCCCTGTTGACGCCACTCGACAGCTTGCAATCCGGAGCGCTGTTGATTACAACACAGGATATGTCTATGCCCCTACAGGGACCAGCAACGGAACTCAGATGGCCATGAACGCCCTATTCTCTGCTGCTTATACCACCTCAGCGATGCCGACGGACCTCATGCCGGTCCCTATCAATCACGAGACGTTTGTCTGGTCTACGGTCAGAGGCACATTTCTTCACTACGGCGGGAAAACGATGTTTGGGAACAATGCCAACCCCTATCTTAACGAGTACAGCCCCACGAATGGATGGTCTCGTGTGGTATATTGCCTCTCTTATTTTTTATTTCAATCAATGTATAAAATAAACAAGAACGACAAAAAGACGCAGCCCTAACTTGTCACATACCTTAATTGCGCCTTCTTTCGAATAGACCACGTCGGGTCCATCCCCTGGTGATTTGAGTGGGCACTGCATGGTCCCAGGCAAGTACAGCTATCGCATTCATCTCTCAGTCGAAAATTTTATATTCTTACTAACCTTGAATTACTTTTTTTGCCCAACTTTTTTTATTAATTTAGCATATGGAGGCACTAAAATGGTGCTTTTTGGAGGGACAGACGTAACGGAGAACTCGAGTTCTGCGATCTACATCCTTGATGTCAAGACTGCCCAATGGACTGCCGGTAAGGTTGCCAACGTCAACCAGGCCCGCTGCAACATGGCATGCGCTGTCGCCGGAGATAGCTTCATCGCTTGGGGAGGTACCGATTGCAATTTTATTTTTTTCGTTCAGCATGTCTTACTCCCTCTGCGATGGGTCAACAAACCCTTAACCATCGTCACCTTTCTCTCACATAGGTGACAATAAGCGTGTGAACATGGATGCGGCACCAATTGTATATAATCTCGTCAGCAACGAATGGAGCACTCAGTTCAACCTGGTATCACCTGTCGGTCCATCACCACCGACTCCTTCAGGACCCAACTATGCAGCGATCGGAGGCGGTGTCGCCGGTGCCATTGCTCTTCTCGGACTCGTTGCATTCCTTGTCAAGCGGCACAAGCGTAACAAGAGGAAGAAGGGACAGCCAGCTCTGGGTCATGAGTATCAGGAGACAAGAAAGTCCAGCGAGGATTCAGTCACACCCTTTACTGGAGCACCTAAACCTCCAAAGTCCGAGCCCGTTTCTCAGGCATACTCTAAGTCTCAACAACAACTCCACCATTACCAACAGGAGCAAGAATACAATCACCGTCAGCAGTATCAATACCAGCCAACACTAGAACCTCGTCCAATGTTAAGATACGAATCTCGCCCTCAAACCGAATACCATTCTCAGCACCAAAATTACTACTCTAGCCATGTCCCCGCATTTTCACCATACACCCCTGCACCACCACCACTACAACCACGCCCTACCCAGCAACAGGATTATGTTCCCATGTCACCTATTGAATTTGTCGCCACCACTGCAAACGTCACACCAGAGGAGAGCGTGAGTGTCTACAGCCCCACCAGCACATTTGGCCACAGCAGTAGCGGGGGATATACCCGTGATGTCAATATGTTCTCTCCTACCGCCAGCATCTTTGCACAAAACGGGGGTTATTCGCGGGATGTGAAACCAATCTCACCCACCAACGAATACGCTCCAGCAACCTCGGCTCAGTTCAGGACCTCGAAGGATCCTCATATCTACATGGGGATGACGTACACATCGATCCCTGGAAACCCGCAGTTCATCCCCGCACCACCACCAGCAGAACCAACTACAACGATAGGAACGCCACGTCAGAACCCACAACTCCACCCAGAACCTGGACCCTCAGACGAGAACTCCAAACTCAACATCGTCTAACACAGCAGCCACAATATGATGGGGCTGTGATCCCACCTGTGACGAAAAACAGTACCAGTTGTAGATGTGGCAGGAAATGCGACGGCGGAACAAAGGTCGTACCAGGGTCTGGAGGAGGAGATTGAGCGTGTAAGGACAGAGCACGAGAACTATGCGCATCTTCGGTTTGGAGCGTCAGTCTATGCTTGAACAGCTGCAACAGCAAAACAAGTAGACCTAGCTCATTTTCCTAATTAAAATATAAGAGAGTCTGTGCGCCTTGCAACTTCATATCAGGTTTTCAAAAAATAAGTGACGTGTTCCTGTTATTAGACTGACACGGTTTAGGTTGTTGATGGGCTGGAAAAGGCAAAAAGAACGAAGCGTCGAGAATGAGGGTGATCGCAAAAGTCCGAGGAAAATGCTTGCCTCGTCAATCCTAAGCCATTTGGACCCTGCGTTGGTGTTGTTGTTGCTGTTGTTTTCTTGAAGAAGTTAACATGCACAGCCACTAACGCTTCCCCACTCTTGTCACCTATCCACCATCTATAGCTCCGGATAAACTGAGCAAAAGAAATGAATGCCCATAGTACCATTCCTTGAACGTTATCAGGGTTGCTATAGTTCTCGTGAAAGTAGGGATGAGGATAAGGCAATGAGGAGGAGGTGAATGACAGGACCATCTACTTGTCTCGTCGTAGCTCCTAGCGTTGTTTTATGGCCCATCTTTCCCTTGATGGTCCCTTTAATAAAAATCAAGCGAGAGGGAGGGAGAGCCCAAGTGGCCAAAGAGACAGAATCAAAAAGAAAGGAGGAGGATGAGCCAGACCACCCTTTCGCCTCTTGTTGTGTTGATTAATACCTTGTAGATGTCCCCGCCTCCTCGAGCATGTATTTGATTTCCCTCTCGACCCTCGCAGGAGAAAATATAACATTTGAGTCGTTCATGAATAAAGGGGCTCGAACAGCCATCTTTTTATCCGCATTTTTAATAGTTGTGTCGAGGAGGGAAGGATGGATGGACGGAAGGGAGTTCTGGGGAAAACGACTAAGAAAACAAGGGGACACCTTGCCTTGGAGGTTATTTTGTGGTGCCTGAGAGAGCAAGCAGACTGAACCTGGAGTCTGGCACATAAAAAGCGCGGAGGTGGGTTTCTGGCAATCCTCTTTTTTTTTACCTCTTTTTGTCAGACATTTTTTCTGTCGCACAAGAAAAAAGAATACAACAATCTCTTCCCTTCACTTCAATCCCTTTGGTTTGTAAACATGTCAAAACCAACCACTTCTCTCGATCCCTCTCGGCACTCAGACGAAAAATCAACCTTCCAGCACGGTCATCACCACCACCATGACAACAACAGTAACAGTACTTTGACGAACAGGGATTCTGACATCGCTTACACGGGCGACTACGATGAAGCAACAAAGAAAGAAAAGGAGGAGAGTATCGACATTGAGCTTGCGTCTCTCAGCAGCGACTCTTTAGCAAGGGCAGCAACTACGAGCGATGATGAGTTTATCGATGGCCCGGTATACGGTTGGGTGGTTGTCTCTGCTTGCTTTGTGTACCAGATGGTGTCCATGGGTCTTTGCAACTCCTTCGGTGTCTTCCAGGTATGAAACCCTGTCCCCTCTTCTAATCCTCCTTCTCCCTTGTCCCCTTGTTTTTGAAATACCATCAACGTTTGCCATGCTATTTGCTATACTGTTTCATCTCATACATCCCTTTTCCTTGGGTGAATGACCTGTCCCCCCTACTAGAATTACTACCTCACAGAGACGTTCAAGGACAAGGCAACAGTATTCCAGATTACATGGATTGGCACTCTAGCAATTACACTTCTGGATGCCCTCGGCCCATTCACAGGAGCGATTTGTGACTACTTCGGGCACCGAACGACAACCCTCATCGGTGCTTCAGTGATGACTCTATCACTAGTCTTGGCCGCTTTCTCGACTCAGGTCTGGCAGCTCTATCTGACACAGGGACTACTCTATGGCGCTGGGACCAGTATGACGTACTTTGCGTCTATGACCTTACCTTCTCAATGGTTCACCAAGAACCGTGGATTGGTGACTGGTATTGCTATCAGTGGTGGAGGAATCGGAGGACTCTGGATCTCACCGATAGTCAGCAAGCTGTTGGACATCAAGGGGTTTAGGTTTACCATGCTAGTGATTGCCGCAACTCACTTGGTTCTCTTGATCCCTGCGGGGCTGTTGTATAGAGGACGTCGGGAGACGGGACATGAGAAAGCTCAGAGAATCAAACGGTTCGGATGCTGTGAGGGTGAATATGTGGAAGCAGAGAGCAAATGGGGTTTCGTGGATTTTTCTATCCTAAAGGACCTTCGATTCTGTCTTTTGGTTATCTCGTGTGCTTTTGTCATCAGTGGATACTTTTCTCCGTTCTTCTTTATCACTTGTAAGTTTGCTTCTCGCATGTTTGTTGCAGCCTCGGAGCTTAGTGAAGGAACTCACGACTCTAATTTTCACTATTCCTATAGCTTACGCGATCCAACACGGTGTTAATCAGTCGACGGCCGCACTCATGGTCGGTCTTATGAACGGGTCCGCAGCCATCGGCAGAATAGTCATGGGCTTCATTCTCGACCGCATCGGACCCATCAACGCCCTCTGCATCTCAACCTCCGCCACAACTTTAACACTCTTCTTCCTCTGGATGTTCGCAAATACATCCACAACAATGATCATCTTCTCCATCGCATACGGATTCTGTGGCGGCGCGCACGTCTCGTCCGCCATCTCTGCATCCTCGGCGATCGCAGGGGGACTGGACCGATTGGGATCGGTGACGGGTATCATGTATGCGGTGATGACAATTGGATCGACGGTTGGATCGCCAGTCTCAGGGGCGATTTTGGACACAGTGGGGCACCATACGGATTATACAGGGGTGATTATCTGGTCGGGGAGTGTGATGCTCATTGCGAGTTTGGTTCAGTTTTGGATGAGGTTTGCCACCAGTCGAGATCTATTTGCCAAATTCTAGGAAGCGTTGCCAGTGTTGTCCTCTCCGTTTTGTTTGTTGTACATTATCCTAGAAGCAATCACCACATTACAAATACCAAACCATAGTCTGTTTTCCTCGTTCATTGTACTTTTCTTTATTAAAAGACACGTTATCTAGTATCTCGCTCCTCATGCCCTTTTTGGTGCTCGTCTACTCGTGTACTTTTCTCGTTATCCATTTCTTCTCTCTTCCTTGTTCCGAACTCGTTGGGTCGGGTGGGTTGGTCATGTTTATGGGCGTTGGTTGGTGAGCGAAGATGCCTTCTTCCATGGCGGCTCGAGCGTTGGATGTGTATAGAGAGGACCTTTTTTTTCCTTGATGCATTGCGAAGCGAACTGACCCTTCTTTTTTTTGGATAGACGCAAAAAAAAACCACAATTACTTTGCAGAGGTATTTCAAGGACACGGTGGCAGGCTCACGGATCGGCACTCTAGCAATGCCACTTTTGGACGCCATCGGGCCATTCACAAGATCGATCTGCAACCACTTGGGACATCGCACAGCAAACGCTCATCGGCGTCTCCATCATTACCCTTGCGCTTGTCCTAACCACCTTCTCAACTCAGCCTGGCAACTCTACCTGACGCAAAGAGTTTTCTACGGCGCAGGCATGAATCTGACCTACTTTGCGTCCATGACCTTGCAGGCTCTGTGGTTTGCTAAGAACCGTGGTCTAGTTACTAGAATATCCATAGGAGGTGGAGGTATTGGAGGAATTTGGATCTCGCCCATTGTCAGCCACTTGTTGAACAGCAGGGGTTCATCTCCACAATCATAGTATCTCTATTTGTATTCTCTCTATGAATGTTCCCAATAACATCGATCACAATGATTATCTTATCGGTCGCCCACGGGTTATGCGGCGGCGCCCACGCATCTCCGGCGGCGACTTCCATGGCTGCAACTGCGGGGATCAAGCGATTTGGGTCTGTGACCGGTATGATGTATGCTTTCATGAGGATCGGAGCGACCTTGGAATCACCTATCTCAGGAGCCATCTTTGGGCTCTATTGGGCGTCACACAGGGTCATTGTCTGGTAGGGGAGTGTGATGTGTGATGCTCATTGCAAGTCTTATCCAGTTGTGTATCAAGTTCATTAGCAATCGATTCATCCTAGCTATAGTGTAAATAACGTCAATGTGGCTGTGTGCCTACACACAAATAAGGATGGCATGTTCTTCTTTTGCTGTTGAATGCTTACCATGTGCACCTTATGGGATGAGAGCGGGACAGAAATGGCTTTGTTTGTTTAACTCCAAAAGCGGAGTCCAGTCCAGACCACCTCCTCGCCCTGTTCTCTTCGTTTATGCAATCGTTGTCCACCGGCAAATTTTGGCTCCACCTGTTTTGTTGTTTGTTTTTGTATTGTCTCTTGCCATCTTTTTTTTTCACCCTCTGCGCCCTGGACCTTGTTTTTCTTCTCAATAGAGTTCGATCAAAGCTCCACCTTTCTTTTTCTGATCTTTTCTACTTTTCATCCTTCACCTTCCTCCCCTTTCGTCCTCATCCTCATTCCCACTTTTCTATCTTCCCTTCACAACTCTTCGCTCCTCACTCTCTCGCACTCCTCACTTTCCCCACCTTCGACCTATTCCTTCCACACGTCTGACCCCAAGATGCGGTTGTACTCTCCCTTCACAACCATCAACACCAGTAAAATACCTGTCCTTCCAATCAATGCACCAACCCAACGCTCCAACACCCTTCGCCTCACCTCCACTGCAATCCTCGCAGGTCTTCTTCCCTCCATTATCTCGGCCCAAATACCTCTCCTAACGTCCAGCATGGGGTATGCGACCGTTAACGAGAGCACGTTCTATGTCCATGGAGGATTCACCTATCGTGCTCAGGGTACAGGGTCCGCAAGCGTTCTCACCAACCAAATGTTCGACTTGGATCTGACTGTCCCCTGGACCAACACCAGACCAGCGTGGCGCAACGTCAGCCCTTCCGACTCGCCCAATATTACCTGGCATTCCTTGTCGGTCACCAACGATCAAGCACAACTCTTCCTGTGGGACTCGCCTAGCGGAGGCGCTTTTTCAACCTTCGACATCCAAACCGCCTCATGGACCCCAAGTTATCCTGTCTCGAATGGCTACAAGGCGAACGGACTCCGGAGTGCAGTGAATCAAGTTACCGGTATGGTCATTGTCCCTAGTGCACTTACTGAGGGAACGGAAACGTTTGAGACAGCTCCTCCGATCACGGCAACATTGTCCTACACAACCTCAACTATGCCTGCCGAGATTGCTGGTCTTACCCATTACACCTTTGTCTGGTCGACTCTACGTTCTGCGATGCTGCTCTATGGTGGACATTCTAATACCACTCGGCCTAACCCTGTACTTCGCCAGTTCAATAATAGTCAATGGAGTAGTGTGGTAAAAAGCCTTTTCTTTTGTTTTGTTCTGGTGCTGCAATTACATGATTTTCAGCAGATACACGAAAAAGTCGATTCTGATTGTACATTCACTCCGCGGGGGGATCTCGTTTTCTTTCATCTTTTTCTTCACAGACAACTTCAGGCCCTTCGCCAGGGGATGTGAGCAGCCACTGTATGATACCAGGTATGTTGGAATGAGAAGCACAGCCCAAGAGCAATAGGAAAAAAAAAAGGAGACGGTACACCAATGAAAGAAATCTATTTTTTCTTAGCAAATCTCACTCCTTGATTTAAACTCCTTGCACGATTTCTTTTCTTTACGAAACGAATACATACATCCACAGCATACAACGGAGCCAGAATGGTGGTCTTTGGAGGATGTGACATCGGAGTGAACTCAAAATCTGACATCTTCATCCTGGACGTCCAGACGATGACCTGGACTCAAGGAACATCTGCGTCCGAAAATGATGCACGCTGCAACATGGCCTGCACTGTCAGGGGCGACTACTTCATCGTCTGGGGAGGTAAGCTTGACCATTTCACCCTTAGTTTCGCTAATCTACGCGAAAACTCTCACCCACTCTGTCTCTTTTCTCGCTTCTCTCTTCCGTTTTTTGTTCGTGTGTCTTTGTTGACGAGCTTTTTTTTTTTTGTGTTCCGTATATGTGCAAAAAATAGGCAACAATAACTATACTGTACTGCTGAATAATGCACCATTGATCTACAACATCAGGGAAGACAAGTGGGTCACCCAGTTCTCGCCAATCTTACCAACTGACGGGCCACCAACACCAAGATCATCGACAACGTCTGGTTCAACCCCAGGACCTACAAACTCAACATCGAACACCACCACCCCTTCAGGCCCCAACACAGCAGCGATAGGCGGAGGAGTAGCGGGCGGTATGGTCGTTTTGGGACTTTTAGCGTTCCTCTTTTACCGGAGACGCAAGCAGGTCATCTCCAAGATTGAATATAAATCGGATTCCTCCGAGACGCCATTGGACGGCTCTGCTCATCATGCTCCTCCTTCTGCCACCCGACACGACATCGAGTCTCCACCTTATCCACCCAACCAATCTTTGTCCGCTTTATCTCCACGCCCACTGCAACCACGTCCTGTAAGCAACCAACACGACTACATTGGCATGAAATCCATCGTCCAGGCCGAACCTTTCGCATCCTCTGCCAACCACTCCGGCCAAAGGAATTCCTTCCTCCTCCGCAGCCCACAGGGGGAGAATGTTTATGCTGACAATGACGGTATTAACGGCAAAGAACCGTTTGCCTATGGTAACGATATCGACAAGGATAACAACCATCGCAATCCCCCGTTATTCGGACCTCGGAACCCTCAAGAGTACATGCCGGTAGCAACAAAGAAACCTCAAGACCCTCAATACCAACCTATGAGCCCGACTTCAGTCGCCCGGGAGTTATGGGCTTACCCTCAGCGGCCTAATGAACCTCAGGGCGACGGAACGAATGTCGCGGTCGTTAGCAGCGGCGCTGGTGGAGGAGATGGTGGTGATGGTATGGATGGGCTGGATTTGAGGCAGCAGATTGCATATATCCAGGCACAGAACCAGGATATCGAGCGTATGAGGATAGAGCAACAGCAGATGTTGCGTAAACTACAGGACCGACTCGATGGGCAAGGAAAGAGCGCCTAATGTTAACTATGTAAACAATTAAAAGCCCTTTTTGCACTCGCCGCACGTACTATACATAGGACGTGTCTCTATTTTATTATGTATTAATTACAGGTATTAAGTGTAATATGCTGATGTACGCGCAGCTTCTCGTATCCGTGTGTTTGCATTTGAGCTCTCACCCCTTTTCTACACCTTTCCCCATGGCTTGGGGTTCATCATGAACTTGAGGATGACGATCAAGACGATGCCGACAACCATGACAAGACCAGCCCAGAGCTGCAGTGGACGGTAGTTCACCCCTTGACTGATATCCAATAATGCGCCTCCGACAGGTGAGCCGATCAAAGTTCCTAGTGCAATGCCTCCATACACGATTCCTGTCATACTCGCCAAATTGCTGATACCTATTAGCAAAAAAACCCCCCTGCCGAGTGAGTAATGTGGGTAGCCAAAGATAAAAAAACGACTAGCACATTACAAAGGCAAAGGTATCGAGTCAGATTACGTACCACAGAGACGAGCGGCGACGGTAGGGACGATGGCGACATAGGAACCAGAGAAAAAGCCGTAGAGGATACAGAAAATGGTCATCATGGCGATGGAGGTGCCGGCAAGCATCCATACGATAAGGATACTCAGCGAGGCGAAAAGGGTCGAGATGAGGAGCGTGTTGATGTCGCCGATGTAGTCACTCGCCAGACCCATTGTCACTCGTCCCAGTGCACTCGATCCGTTCAGGATACCGATCAGCAATGAGGCTGTCGATACTGACGCTCCGTTCTTTTGCGCATAGGCTAGAGGCAAAAAAAAAAAAAAGAAGAGGGGGAAAGGTGTCCATTAGGAAAAGAGGTCCAATGGTCGTACAAAGAGTACCCACCACGATATAAATAAGCGTTCTTACTTGGGAAGAAGTAGTAGGGATTAAAGTACCCATTAGCAACAAAGAAAGAAGCGCTAACAAGGATCAAAAACCGAACTTCCTTCAGCACTGAGAAATCTATGATCTGTCGCTTCGGCTTCGGGACCCTCGCCGCAGTATCCTTCAACTCCTGAAGCTCCTTCTCGCTGGTCGCAGCCAATTCCCGAGCCGATTGCCCTTGCTTCAGTCGTTTCGCGCGATCCTTTCCAGACTCGACGCGGCCCCTGAAGAGTACTGACGCAGGGATGATGATGACGAGGTGGACGATCGCCATGGTCCGGACTGTCCAGCGATATCCGATCTTTGTGAAGAGTGCGGTGGTGACGGGCGAGATGATGAGTCCTCCGAAGCCTCCTCCTGCAACGGCGATTCCGGTTGCGAATCCACGACGCCTATAAACAAACAAGCACGCTCGTTAGCAAGGAAGGAAGGCGGACAATAAATCCTCATGCTTGTGCCAACCCATAGCAAAAAAAAAAAAAAAAAAAAAAGCCGAATCGGACAATTTACTTTTTGAACCACTGTGAGGGCAAACTCAGGGACGGGAAGAAAGCCAAGCTGGCACCTAATCCGTATATAATACCCTGAAAGATGTACAGTTGCCAGACCTTTGTCGAGAAGGACGTGGCGATCAAGGATGCGCCCATGATGAGGGCACCGACAAAGGCACTGATCCGGTATCCAAAGTGGTCAGCAATTTGTCCTGTGATAGGTCCTGACAAGTCCATGCCGACCACGTTTAGTGTACCGACCCATGAAAGTTCGAATGTTGACGAGGTGTTATATTCGTGGGTGATATATTGATCCTAAAGTAAGGGCGTGTAAAGGTTGACCGTAAGAGAAATGAAAAGAGAGACTAATTGAATTTTTGTCCATAGATCAACAACTTACCTGGTAGACACCGTATCCGTTGACTGTACCGACGACGATGGCCTGGACAAAGAAGGCGGCCGCAACAACGACCCACCCATAAGGTTGCTCATTATCAACATCGTTATGTCCATCAAATGGCGCCTCGACATCCAGTTTACTAAGACCTTGCTCGCCCATAATTGTTCTCTCATCCGCCATTTGCTCCTCGACCTCTGGTGCGTTAACTTTGGCTGGAATGACAAGAGTGGCCGCTAGGGGTACCAAAGTATCTGGATCTGCTAACTTTTCATCCCGTACTGGATCGTGATATGCTTGAGGGTGCATATTTGATTTTGTTCTGTGGTTGGGAGGAAGGAGGGCGTCGATCTTTTATGATATGAGCGAGTTGATCCAACAGCAGGGTACATGCACAGAGTGAAAGGTAAGGATGAAAAGCACTAGCAGAGAAGGAAGAGAGAGGAAAAAGAAAACGAACGAAAAGTCAGTTAAATACACGGACGAGCAGGATAGTTGATACTTCTCCTTTGATACAAGGTTAAAATAGCTGTTCGTCGTCGGAGAATAGGAATGGTGACTCTTCTATGACTTTGGTTTATTTCTTGCTCCATTGCTACAGAGGGTTGTTTGATGGGTCATACATACACACACACACCACATAGACTTAGGAGTGAGAAGCGCTGACAAAACAACCTAAGAAAAGGATGCAGAACAACCTAAGAAAAGAATGCAGAAGTAAGTTTATTCATGTTCCTTGACCCAACAAACGAACCGCCCTCACGAGCGCCAAAAAGTGAGCCAGGCACGAAGGTGATTGGTTGCAAGGGGAAAAGGATTTGCCCTTTGGCCTAATCTTATCCCTCTGACTTGACAAAAGCATAATTATACTTTTGGCGTTGATAACTTGCTGCGCTGTGAAGAATTTTTTTTTTTTCGTACACAATTTTATTTCTCTACAAACAGCATAGAGAAGTTATTTGGAAGTAAAAGGGGACTACAGACCAAACTCTTCAGTGCACCATCCACCAGTCGCAGTCCGGTCCAGAACCTGGCTCTGCGCAACAATTGTCGCTGCTCTTCACAGCTTAAACGGAAGAAAATAAGACTAGATACGAATGAAGGGGATTCTTCCCATCCTCTCCATCATTGACAACTTCCTCCTTCCTAACAAACTCTCCAACAACCGCTCGTCAGCAGCGTGTGGGTCCTTGGTCGCTCCAGGGCACCTTCCTTCACAATGTGTGGCTAGCGAAGCGCCACACGGGCAGAAACCACCATGCGTGATGTAACCGTATCCTTGACTCCAGTCACCTCGGGGGCCTGTGTACTTGGATGTCTTGTTCTTGGTAGAGATACCCTGGGTCTGCTCCCACGCGATCGTCGCGGAGCACCGAGGTTTCCAGATCAGCTCCGAGGCCTGCGCCTCCAGGTAGCCAACAAACTTGTGAAGGACTGTCTTGGCTATGGACGTTGGGGTCCGGAAGACCGCGGACCATTCAGTCAACATGCTCGAGGGGGTGATGCCGCGGAGGAGATCCGACACGTTCCACATTGGTTTCTCGTCTCGATCGGGAGCAGGACTACCGCTGTGCACGGCTCGAGCTCCACCGATGGAGGAAAATCCTCGTACATGATCCGCATCCGAAGGGGGCCACCAGTGTATGGGTACTGGCCTCGGTACCTGACGGCCGTTGTCCACCGCGCGTTTGTATTCCCGCTTCCTGGCTGCGTTGTAGCTGTTTGTTGCCTGCACACCCCACTCGTTAATCTTGCCCATAGCCTCCTTTCAGATCCCAGTGGTGGTCTCGGCTGCCAAGGGGCACTTCCAGACATGATCGGTATCCTCCTTCTCGACCTCGCATCGTCGGCACACGCATGTTGGGTACAGGTTGGGCTTGCGAGCCTGCATGGAGTTCAGAGTGGGCAGCATTCCATGCAGCTTTTTGATGTGATGTGTTCGTTGGTGGGAATCCTTGCTGTTGCTGTAAAAAGTGAAGACTGCACGCCTGCCATGGACATACGCCAAGGTCGAGTTCCATTCCGCGTCCTCGATGTCAGGGATCGCCCTCTTGACCCGTCTCTGTGATGCCCAGGCTTGATGGTGATGGATTGTTGATTGTTGTTTGAGGAGCTGACGTAAATCGATTTCAACAAGCCCGCCGTAACAATGTGCAAAGGCCGTGATATCCGTCTGTTGAGTGAGATCCACCATCAAGGGCACCGAAGCACTCTGTGCTGCCACCTTCGCCGCCTGATCCGCAAGCTCGTTTCCATGGACGTTGCTGTGTCCTTTGATCCACATCACGTCGACCCTGCCTGGCCGAGATTCCACAACCTGCCAAAGCACCGCCCAGATACCCGCATATGTACTCCTGAATCGCTTCCTCGGTAAGGTGTCCCGACGATTCTTCACCAGATGACTGTACTGTTCCACCACTGACTGATTGTCCAGTTTGACCACAATGTCCTGTTCCGGAGGTGCTGACAAGACTGCGGCTAATAAACCCATGAGCTCGGCCTTGGCCGAGGACGCGTGACCATCTGTTCGTCCTTGTACCGTCAGAGGGTTGTCCTGAGTGAGATCCACCACTCCAAAGGCCAGTGATACTTCCGGTGTTCCTGAGTTCAGAAGAGATCCGTCAGAGTACAGAACGCGAGGGGTGGAGTTGTCGACGTGTGTTTCCTGAACCACGCGCATGGACGCCGCCTCTGCTGGAGACAGGCAAAGGGGGCCGATCTGTGTGGTCGGGGGTCCTGATACAGGCGGTGGTTGGACTTGATGGCGTTCTTGCAAAGGAAAGCTAGCATTTGTGTCGAAGGCTGTTTTGCGTTGTGGTTTCTCCTTGGGGCGGGATAGGGTCTCTTTTAGGCGAGCGACGACCAAGCGGTGTTGTTGACGGAGTGCTTCCTTTTCCTTTTGCTGCTGCAGTTTCTTAGCTTGGAAGGATTCCCGCTGTTGTTCCTGTAGTCGATAGTCTTCTGCTTTCCTGGTCAGTCTGATCTCCAGGTCCGTGCGAAGAGAGGCAAGGCGATGAGCACGGTATTCGTTGACGGCCTCGGTGGCCCGGCGCCGTATCCCAAGGGCGACGGTCTTGCGGCGACTAGAAATTGACTTGATGCGTGCGACTGTGTTGGCGGCCTGAGTATCGGTCATCAGAAGAATGGCAGCCAGCTCTTGTGGTTTTCTGGCAAGTTGACTCCGGTATCGGCTTCTGAGCCCTTCATACTTTGTATTGTCTGTCGATTGTTTTTTCCTGGTGCCGCTGTTGATGCGAAGGATCTCGGCATCGTATTCGGCCGCGGGATGCGCTGAGAAAGGCATGAGTAGAAGGCAATGAACGCCCCTTACTGTAACGAGTGAATTCTCAGGTGATCTGGAGGTGGTCTTCAGGACAAGCCACAGACATGTCAAGGCCCTCGACTCCTCGGTTAGTTCTTCCGAGCAAACAAAAAAAGAACAACATAAGAAGGGCGCGGAATATCTCTTATTTTTCTCTGTCTCGCTCTCCTTGTACTCGTCTCTCAACTTTCTAGTCCTTGACTGTGTGTGGCGAAGGAGGTGATCGTTCGAACATAGACTTCTTTGGTGGAAAGGGCGCTTGATGATGAATGATCAAAGTCTAAAGGTCTTGATTTTTGATGGGACCCTGACCTTTTTTTTCATTGTTTGTCTCACAGCCTCGTGGTTGTTATTCGCCACCTCCTTGAGTAGTGGTGCACATGAATGGTCGAAGTAGAAGGGAACGTATCAGTTCCTTTTCGTCTCTCCCTAAAATTGAAAATCGAGCAAGAGGCAAGACAGGGGGACGTGGGGCGCGTGCGTGAGGGATTAAATCAGTATGGCAAAACGGGTCAACATCGACTATTGATCAATTGGCGGGGAAAAGTGGGCGTGTGTGTGTGGGTGGATGGAGAAGGTTCTGTTGGAAGAGGATGGGTGATCCAGGGATTTCTGGAAAGGGAAGGAGAAGGAAGCGATGAACAAATTTAAGGGCCGTGGTGATACGCATAGTCGACTGTACCTTACTCCACCTTCATATGCAACAATAATCAATGATAATAAGGATTACACGACAGGTGGTCTGAGTAACAGACAGGGACGACCAGGAGGGTCGGTGCCTGAGGGGGGAGAGGAGAGAAGAGAAGCAATGGAAGAAATAACAAAGGGAGGGATAAACTTCGTCATTCTTCAGCCCAACCTTGTCCTTTTACCCATGAACAACTGTAACCAGGGGTCACACAACCTAGAATGGTTCCATAGTAGAGGTCGACTCTGGGCTCACATCCCTCTACACTCTGTGCTAATGAGACAAGCAAGTCCCAAGTGGAAACGGATACTTCTTTTTAGATGGCAAGACCAAAGATAAAAAAAAAAGTCCGCGAGACCCACAGCGCTCACTGTCGACTTTGTCTGGAGAAGTCGAAAATGTTTATAAAGAGGGAGGAGAAGGAGCGAAAGGTCGAACATCAATTCCTCTTCTCTCTATCACCCTCACAGGTCTCTGCTTACACCCGCACCACTCTTTTTTTTTTTTTTTTTCTCCTCGCTTTTTCAACAACAACCCTTTGCAACAATGTCTGCCCGCGATAACGCCAACGATATCAACATGGAGACCCTCAGCCCCGCTGTCACCAGCCAGCCCCTTCGCCAACATGGAATGCAAAAGTCATTCGCCGCAGGTAACATTCGAATGCACAATGCAAGGACAAGGACAGGAACCACCACCATCTTCTTCCTTCTCTCTCTGTGCTTACTACATAAATTTAGTGTTTCCTTCCCACTCCTTAACCTGCTTTTCACAACACACATCCCACAATAGAGTTCTCACCTGACGACGAGAACCACGGCGTCTACGGCAGTCTCATGAACACGGCCGGAAACATCGTCGGCGCCTTCGGAACCGTCCCCTGCTGCATCTGCTGCCCTAACCCTTACAAGTCCATCGCCCAAGGCTCTGTCGGTCTCATTACTCGCTTTGGCAAATTCTACAAGATTGTCGACCCCGGTCTGACAAAGATTAACCCTGTCACTGAGAAGTTGACAAAGGTCGATATCAAGATCCAGATTGCTGATATCCCTCAGCAGGTTATCATGACCAAGGATAATGTCAATGTCCAGATTGATTCTGTGCTTTACTGGCATATTGTGAACCCTTCGCAGGCGTACTTTGGAGTCAGTAACGTCCAGGCCGCTTTGATTGAGAGGTAAGATATTAATTGGCAAGAAAGAGGGCTCATTTTACACAAGGCCAAACACACGGAGGAACAATATCCGGGCACTACCACAACCAATTTACCCTTTCTTACTGACCGTCTCTTGTAACACACTCATAATAGAACACAAACAACTCTCCGCCACATCTTGGGTATGCGCGTTCTCCAAGAATTGATCGAGAACCGCGAGGCCATCGGCGAGGAAATCCAGGAAGTCATTGACGGCCCCGCACGCGATTGGGGTGTCAAGGTCGAGTCGGTCCTGATCAAGGACATCACCTTCTCCAAGGAACTCCAGGAATCGCTCTCGTCTGCTGCTCAGGCCAAGCGTATGGCTGAGTCCAAGGTCATTGCTGCCCAGGCCGAGGTCGACAGTGCAAAGTTGATGAGAGCTGCCGCCGATATCTTGAACACCCCTGCCGCCATGCAGATCCGTTACCTCGAGACCATGTCGAGCATGGCCAAGGGGTCCAACACCCGTGTCATCTTTATGCCTACCAACCAGAGTAACAACGAGATGACTCCCCTCCAGGCTAACCAGTGGGAGCAGTTGGCTGGCAAGTAATGTAACGACCCAGGAAAACAGCAGAAGGGTTCCAGGAGGGCGAGATCCTTCCCCCTTTTCACTTTGTACATATGACCATCTCTACACAACACACTCTCGCAATATTTAATAGCGGTGAATTACCGCGTCAAATGATAATTAAAAGACGTTACATTACGCATTACGCAACAACAAACACTATCTTACTGCTCAAGAACCGAATACCAAATTGGATACGACACCCAATCATCATTACAATCGCCGTCCACAGAACAAGCGCCGCATAATCTGCGCGGTGCCCAATGGTATCCAAGAAAGCACTCATGATCAGAGACCCGATAAGATCGTCCATCGTCATGCCCGCAAACAATACTCCTGCCATTGCAGCCAAATGATCCGTCCCACAAATGAACCCCGCAGCAAACATGGCCAGACTTATGAAAGCACCGCAACAGAGACCATAGACGACAGAGAATACAAACATGACGGCCACCGTCTTTGCAAAGAGCCACAATGTCAGGACCGATAGAGCGCCTGCAAAGGTCGACAAGTAGAGCGCGTTGATATAGCCGATCTGGTCAGAGATGAAACCCATCAGGATCCGACCTACTGCCGAAGAACCACTCCACGCGCCGACTATCAATGCCGCGCTATAATAAGTAAACGATGACTTGATAGGACGAGAGGAGCAAAGTTAGAGTTGATTATGATGCTTCTTAAATAGACTGGCTCCATGGCGTTACTTGAAGATGGTGTCTTGTTTACCAGCAATAAATGAACTTGGAGTGTAGTATCCACCAATGATGAAAACGCCTGCAGCACACAACAGCACAAACCGCAGTTCCTTTCAATCCCGAAAGATCTAACAGACCACATCCACCCCCAGATTTACTCTGTTACTACTGTCGAGTCATCTTACTCTCATCTCACCAGCTGCAGCATAGTTCTCCTTCCCAATCCGCCTTACCCTCTCCCTCCGAGATTCGAGCCACAACACCCCCGCCGGGACAAGTTCCAAAAAAAATCCCGGTCGCACAAACAAGCATCGCAACACTCAACCCCCTCGAATACGACATCTCCCCCACCACAGGCGCCATCCAGAACCCGCCCACCCTACTTCCACTTAGCACAATCCCTGTCGGCAGAGTCCCTATTCTTCGTAAACCATTAACTCGGTAAGTCACCGCCGCGAAAAAAAAAAAAAAAAAAAAAAAAAGGCAAACACCCTCCGAGGTCGTAGAGGAGCTCTTTGGGTGAGGTAAAGGTGCCAGGCATTTGTAGAAAATGCGACGAGGATGAGGGAGAGGGTCATGATGAGGACTTCCAAAAGTGCAGCGGGGGGCGATGCCCAAATGTATCGCAGATCGCGCTGGTGTAGGGTCCGGCAATGTCCATGAATGTCCCGACAAAGGGAGGCGATCCATGAGAGTTCGAAGGCTGTTGTTGTTGTGCCTTTGAATATCTCTGTCAGATAGTAATGCTACTTGCTCACCAAGCGTAAGACAATGTTGGTCAGAAGTGTGTCTGTGTGAGATCTGCGAAATAAAGAATGAAAGAATAGAAAAGGGAAGCGCCACATCTGGAAAACGCCATAGGCGTTCAAAAAGTCCATGGTGGTCATTTATGACCCATCTATAAGGAGGTCCATCTACCAGCTCTGCCATCTGCTTGACACCACTGTGGTCGTTGTCGTTGTCATGACCATTATCATGGTTGTGGTCGTCTATGGAGGAGTTTACAGGTATTGTCGATGGTGTCGTTGATATATTCTCTTCCTTTTTCTCTTACACCTGCAACGACAATTGCACCGCGTTCTTCTCTGTGGTAATCAAGTCCGACGGCCCATACATTATTTTCCTTGGTGTATCTGTGGAAGCTCTGATGGTATCCACTTTTGTGACCCTTGTCTTGTGGGTAGCCCGGCGTCGTCTTTGGGTATAACTTGAACACTGGAGAAATATTTGGCGAATTGGAGATCCAGATGGCATAATGAATGTCGTTGGAGTGAAATAAGAGGGGACATTGAAACGTTAAACTGGACGAAGGCCCATGGATACTTATGTGCAAAATGGTATTTTATTAGGTGAGTGTAGATGAGAGTAGTGTACAATGTTAAAAAAACTAGATAAAATGAGGGAAAGAGGCGAACAAACGAGCTCTTCTTGTTTAGACTTTGGCAAAGATATTACGGTTGGTAGCAAACTTCATGCCGAACTGGATCACACTTCCAATAAGCATAACGGTTCCTGACCAGATAATCACACCAGTATAATCAGTACCATGACCAATGGTATCCAGAATAGCTCCCGAGGTAGGCGATCCGATGGTAGATCCAATAGCCATACCAGCATAGAGAATACCAGTGACAGATCCCAAGCGCTCCAATCCAGCAATCGCGACAGAAACTGAGACGGTTGAGGACAGGTAGGCGCCACAGCAGAGACCGTAGGCGATGGAAAAGACAAACATCACAGTGATGGTCTTGGCGAACGTCCAGAGGAAGAAGAGGGTCAAGGTTGCGGCGAAGGTTGAGATGCAGAGGGCATTCATGCTGCCAATCTTGTCCGAGACCAAGCCCATGACAATACGACCGATGGCCGAAGAGCCGTTCATCAAACCGACCATCAATGCTGCAGTTGACTTGTCGACACCATGCTGGATCGCGTATGCTATTTAGTTGTGAGAGAGGATATTGAACCTGATAAGTTACTGCTGTGGCAAGAATAAAAAAACGCAAATGGAGAAAAGTACAAAACGATTGAAACGTACAGTTGATGAAGTAGAATGGGGTGAAATAGCCACTGACGACGAAGATACCGGCAATGAACAAGAGACAGAAGCGGATATCCTTCAAGATAGTCCAGTCGATAAACTTTCTCTTCTTCTCATTGTCCAACGACTCGCCTTTGCGGCATCCGAACTGCTTGATCCTCTTGGCCCTCTGACGACCAGTCTCACGACGCGTCTTGTAGAACATGCAAGCAGGAACCAGGAGCACAAAGTGGGCAATGGCCATAGTGAGCATGGTGAACTTGAACCCTTTGCTTGACAACAAGTTGCTGACAATGGGCGAGATCCAAAGTCCTCCAACGCCACCACCACTGATGGCAATACCAGTTACCAAACCGCGGCGCTTGCTGAACCACTGCGAGGGCAGAGTGAGAGAGGCAAAGTAGGTCAGACTGCCTCCGAGACCGTAGAGAACACCCTGGGTGAGGTAGAGTTGCCAGACTTGGGTTGCGAATGCAGCAGCGGTGAGGGAGAGGGTCATGATGATGACACCGATGAGGGCAGATTGACGATGACCGAAATAGTCGCAGATGGAGCCGGTGAAGGGGCCGGCGAGATCGAGGGCCATGATGGCGAGGGAACCGATCCATGCCAGCTGGAATGTGGAGGCCGATCCTTGGAATTTCTCCGTGACATAGTAGTTCTGTTATCAAAAGGCAGGAATGAAGTGAACGGGGTATAAGGTTGAGTATGATTGCCACGGATACCGAGAAAAGAGTAGGTGTTGGTGGACATGTGTATGAACGAGTGTGTATGTGTGTGCAACTGAGGGCGATGAGGAGTGGTCCAATCGGATGAAAGGTAGAGGTGGATAAGGTTCAATGCAAGTCCGAAGTTGAGGGGGAGTACAAGGTGTGATTGGAAACTGTTGTATTGTTGCTGGTGGCAAGAAGGGAGAGGCAGTGGATTGAAAAAAGTATGACAAGGATGACTGTATTGGTGGATAAGTGCAGGCCAAGCTGTGGTTGATTTGCTACTCTGCTTGATTCGAATAGAGCCAATATTATTTTCAACAGAATAATAAGCTTCCCACGCAGCCGCATCAGGAAAACATGTCAAAGGGTAAACACAACAACCCCGACAAAAGGGCGAAATCGATTTCGAGTCATATCTTAAAAACAAACAAACAGACAACGGTGGTATCGGCTGCTGCATGCTGCACCTTTCGGATCGATTTTCTTTTTTTTCTTGTCTTTTTTTCAATTCACATGCAGGGGGTGGGGTGAGGGGGAGAGGGAGGGATGGATGATTGCAATTGGACATGTACTGTACCTGATAAACACCATAGACATTGCATACGCCCATGGAGATCATCTGGGAGGTGAAGGAGGCCAAAACCACAACCCAGCCATAGAGTGGCCCATCGACTAATACGGGCTGTTCATCTTGGGGATTGACAGTAGCAGTGGCGTATTCGACATCGATGTCAGTCTTGTCGGTTGAGTAGTATTCTTCCTTGTCGCTTTTCTTGATGTTGTCGGATGAGGTGACGGTGAGTTCAGAGTCGAGGTGGACGAGTGCTGATGATGGAGGGAGTGCTGTGGGGGACTGTTCTTGTCTTGCCGTTGAATCTGACATGGTTCGTGTAAGGTAATATGTGTGTGTATGAATACGATTCGTTTGCTGGGATGTGTTAGTGGTGTTTGTTGGAGGGGAGTGGAATGTTTGTGTGTCTCAACCCTTTTTTAATGTGAGTGTAGGTGAGAGTGTGATCTGCCTCTATTTTTTGTGGATCAAGAACAAGAAAAATACTGGGAGGGACGGGGGTATAAATACTTCTTTCTAGCCGTTGATGAATGAAGGCTAAAACAAAACAAGGGTCAGAACAAGAGGAGCGAAGGGTGGATGCTAAAGGTAAATAGGTATTGGATTGCTGTTGCTGTCTTGTTGTCCGTCGGCTTTTTTTTTTGTCTTTTCTTTTCTTTTCTTTCTTTTGAAAATTGAATCCCAGGTTTTTGACTATGGCTCGGGTTTGATAATCCACCCCCCGCTTCACACACGTACATTCAAACATATTTACACAGAACACAACAGATTTGACCAGAGATAGCTATGCACAAGAAACACACTCTTATTATTATTTTTTGGCTCCATTGCTCCACTAGGGCAAGGGTTATATAATAGCAATTCAACGAACACCGACACCCTGTTGGGCGTACAGGAGTGGTTTCTACAAGACAGGGTGGATTAATAATGTAAATAACCTTTTCACAGGGTGGTTCAAAGAGTCAGAAAGCTCATGACTTGGGTCAATCAAAGGAAGTGTACATGAGGGGGTAAGAGTCATCTTTTCAACGGCAGGTGAGGGTGTATTTTTCCGTGTGTCTTACCCTGCATATGTTTCCATCGGAGAGACGATGGAGAGAGTGAGAGTGGCCTGTTCGCATTACTGACGTGTGCGGGGAGAGCGAGAAAAAGGGTCGAAAGGGTCGAAAGGGTCAAGAGGACAAGAGAGACTGAGGGGGGTGAGGGTGAATCCATGAAAACTCCCACCCTCACTCCCCTGTCAGTCATTGCCCAGTTTGGTCCACATTCAGTTTGATTTTTTGTTGAGCGGGATTAGTGGTGACATCTTTTGTTTCGTATGTTTTTTTTTTTGGTTCCGCAGCTAGTCAACGATCTCCGCCTCATGTACACACAATACGGCCAAAAAGACCGAAAGTTCAGTACACCACAAACACAACATCGAATAAAAAAAGTCAACAACACCAACTTACCTTCACGAGTCCAATTGGTGCGCCAATACTATAATGAGGCTATTATGCACACAATTGAATAGGCCGGATGCCTTTCTACCTCAGCGCGTATTCTACTTTTCGCGACACTCACCATAGCCTAATAAAACTCAACATTGGCACATCGAAAAAACCATGCTAACGAAGCGCTCAGCAACCAAATACTCCCTCGCCTTCCCCTCTCTTCTGGGCGCCATTTCCAAAAGGAGTTTCTCTTTTCCGCTGGCGTCATCTGTCCTCTCTCGGTCCACACATTTCCAGATGGTAAACTCACAGAGCGAGCACTCTTGTTTTGAACAAAGTTTAATACTCAGCGCTCCCGGTTTTTGTTTTGTTGTGTTCCTTCGATTTTGTTGTCTCTTTTGTGTTCATGCATGTATACATTGCTACATATCCTATTCAGCCAAGTTCCTTACAACCTAAATAAACAAACTGTGATGGGATTACTAATTGTCAAGGAAAGAGAGAAAGAACTGGGAACCATGCCAGATTGATTGATTGATGTGAGGCCATGAGGACAAGCGCCCTACTTCAATGTACTTGACCAATTTCCAAAAGGAGTTTCCCTTATCCGCCCCCTTTCGCGTCTTCCTGCGTACGTGCCTCTTCGGCACTATTTTGTGGTGGAACACCTACTTTTACTTTGTACAAGGTTTACACATGAATGACCGCCAAGGAACCGCGGTGTTTTTTTCTTCTATTCATTTTTGTTCGCTGCTTATTGTATTGAGTGCGGTGAGTAGATGGTGTATGATAACCCTTCTCTATCTTCACTCACTGGTTTACAATAGCTCACTCTCTTTTTTTTATTACTCTGCTTCAATACATTAACGAAATGCATGTTCGCTTACCTCTTTCTATCTTGACTCACTGGTACCATCGCGCGCTCTCTCCTTTGTGTTAGCGACGATTAGTAAGTGAAGAGAAAATAGGACCATGGCTGATTTGATTATGGGATTTTTCAAACCTGATAGTATCGCTTCTAGCACTTACACGCGCGCTATGCTCTCTCCTATTCTCGCTCCTCGGCGTGTTGTTTGTCATGTGTCAGAACACGCTCAAAGAATAGATCAGTAACCTATCCCACAGCAGTCACTTTCTCCGATGATCAGACGCCACCAAAAACCCTTAAAATCAAAACAAAGAAAAGCGCGTCTCCTCCCCTTATTTTTGCCACCACATCTACATTCCCTTCATCTCTTCCATCCTCATTCACAATTCCCTTTCCCGCACAACTATGACCACCTCTGAGAAGCACGCCTGCGAAAGTGAAACCCATTCTGACCCCAAGCTCATCCGCCTCGACAACAACAACACGATTATGACCACCCCTACCACTACTGCAACGGCGACCACTAGACTTGGCCAGTTGCTTGTCAAGAAGTTGTCAGATAAGGCTCGTATCCCTACCCGTGGATCAAAACACGCCGCCGGCTTCGATCTCTACAGGTAAACAACTATTTACTTTTATTCGAGAGAACATAGCATTTAATGGATACATTTGACAAAACAAAATCGCGGCCGTCTTGCCCTTCTGTTTTGGAATCGTTTCCGCGCACACACTTTATTTTCGTTTCTTTAAAAATCAAATATCGATCTTGGCGTCTCACCCGCCTTCTGTCATTCATTTTATTGTACAACGACAACAGTGCAAAGGCGATGACGATCCCAGCTCAGTCGCAGGGCATCGTCCCCACTGATATCAGCATTGCTGTCCCCGAGGGTACCTACGGTCGTGTTGCCCCCCGCAGCGGTCTCGCCGTCAAGCACTTTGTCGATGTCGGTGCCGGCGTCGTCGACTACGACTACAGAGTATGTGCAACCATTTGATACGTCTTGTCAATTACACGGAAAAGCTATTTTATTGCGTTGCTAATATCATCTTATCTCCGTTTGTTCGTCTTGTTGATTTGTTCTTAGGGTCCCTTGGGTGTGGTGTTGTTCAACTTTGGAAAGAACGACTTTGTGATTGAGGAAGGCGACCGTATTGCTCAGTTGGTCCTTGAGAAGGTCTACTTGTGCGATGCCCTTGAAGTTGAGGTAAGATACGTATGATCCGTTTGATCCTTGTGCCAGTAATGTAACATATTTCCTCCCATTCTTTGGACTTCGTATCTAACAATTCTATTTTGTTTGATATTCATATTTTAGGACCTTGATGCTACTGAGCGTGGAGCCAACGGATTTGGCAGCACTGGCGTCAAGCTTGTTTAAATAAATCAATTTGTATTAAGTATATTCATTTTCCCATTGTTCATTTGCTTTTTCTCGTGTCGCGGGCACTTGTTTTGTGTATCACTACCGCGCATGCCTCTGTTAAATTAAAATCGCTTATGTGTGTGATGCAGTGTGTGATGCAGTGTTGTGTTTATTGTATGCAGAAAAACGTAATAATGGTGCGATGAAGGAATGTAGGGGGGGTTTAGCCTGTAAAAATGACAGGGAAAAGTGGTAGGTGTATCTAAGTGAGATCTCCAGTTTATTCCTCGTCGTCGTCGTTGTCGTCGACACGCTGCTTCTTCTCTGAAGAATCCTTGTCGTCCTCGGTAGGGGCAGTCCTCTTCTTCAAACCCTTCATCTTGCGAGTCTGAATCTTGTCGAAATCCTGTCTGCCCATGTGGATACGGCCGACAGTATCGCCCATAACGTCCTTGGTAATGTTCTTCTTCTTCTTGGGCTTGAGCTCCTTGGGTACCCTGAGCGACTGCTTCCAGACATCGACCTTGGCCTCAGTCATACGACCGAATGTCATATCCATGCTGGGACCCATCTCGACGAGTTCAATACGGGGCAATTTGACACCGGACCGCTTGAGGACGATGGTGTATGTGCGGAGGTAGATTTTGCCGGGCTTGCCCTCGGAGGTCAAGGGGCCTGAGGTGACCGAGATCACGTATTCCAATCCAGCCAAGGCGACCTTGTCCACCGTCTGTCCGTGATAGAAGTCCAGAATCATCGACTTGAACATGATGTAGTTGGGGTTCTGGTCCCACATGTCTCCGTTGAACATGAAGCAGGGCTTCATTCCGATAGCGCTCTTAGGGGTCTATTTTTCGTTGAATTGAAAATATCTGTCGAGTTAGCCTTCAATTACGAATATATCCCTTCCTTCATTTTTTTCCTGTTGTGAATATGCCATGAGCAAGTACCTTGAAGCCACTCATGGGGGTTCCCTTCTCGATCGAGACTTCCAACATGTCCAAGAGCTGGTGATCAAACATGCGGGCAAAGGTCAAGGTGTTGGGGCGCTTCTTGGAGTGGGTTCCGATGACAAAGAGCGAGGCATCATTCTTTTGTGAGAAAAACTGGAGGTTTGAGTGGTCTTCAAAGGGGTGGATCTGGTTCTTCTTTGTAAAGTTGACAGCATAAGGCTTCTTCAGCATGTACTATTATAACGATGATAGCAAAAGCCTTAAGTTAGTTTTGATTCACAGCATTGAGTTATGACGGCACATCAGAGATGATAATGGCGAGATATCCATGCTGGAAAAGAAGGGTACATACGAGGTCGGCGAGGGCATCGTTGACGATTTGACTGGTCTGGGATCCACGGATAAAGATGGCGGTCTTGATGTTCTCCTCGGTCTTGGCCTCTCTGTTCTTAAGGACTCGCTTCACACGAGCGTTACGGGGTGTGCTGAAAGAGGGGGGTTAAAACAGTGGATATGAAGGAGAGTGTTAGGACCTGGATGAATGCTGGGGCAATCAAGAAGCGTTGCAAGTAAGTGTTGATAGTCGTTGGTGTCGAGGTTGTCGACTATATTGCTGTTTCCTGAACAGGGTGTCCTGTGGGGTAAAACTCACATTGTGCGCAACATGATATATAAAGGGGGCGGAAAGAGGAAGGCAGGAGAAGGGAGATGAAGGGAAGGGAGTGATGGAGGGGGTTGTGATGGAGTGAGTTGACAGTCGAAGTAATCCCTTTTCTTGTTTGCACAAAGGCAAGAAAAAAAAAAGAAAAATAAGAAGTAAACAAGCCCTTGATGTGCACAGTCACAATTGCAGGAGAACTGATATGTCACGTGCCGTTATGTTCTCTCGGGTGGAATGTCGATGATATGATGGACGGGCGGGACGAGTGGGCCGATCATTTGTGTCTTGCGACTTGCCCCTGCAGCGTGTAGAACGACAAGGTAAGGCAAGACAACCCTGCTGGTAGACTGTCGAGGCGCCAACTGATACAAGATACTAGGTTTCATCAATTATCTACCGTGAACCTTTCCCGGTACCCTGGTAGTCCACGATTCACCCTCTCTCCACCTCTCTCCACACAACCCTGCCTCATATTGCTGTTGTACAATGACTTCTTGGCGTGCAATTGGAGACATATCTGACATATCCCACGTGAAACGAGCCCTTCTTTCTGCTTTCAGGAAAAACGATTGCCAATCCCGTTCAACTTTTTTGTAACTCTTTTCCTCTTCCTTCATCCTTCTCCTTTCCACCTTCATCCCCTGCACCCTCTTTCCACCTACCCTGCATCCTTCCATCTTCATTTTCACACTTCTTCCCTGCAGGACCGATTTCCCTCCCGCACACACATAAAGAATACCCACCAGGACCAGCGTCGCTCCCTAGACTGGAAGCCGCAAACTAGGGTAAACGATGGCGTCCTTCCCCCGCGCAAAGGTCGACTCGTCCACCCAAACCGACCCCCCACTCCCATTCACAGCCCTCCTCGACCGTGCCCTTGACCGCGTCGAGGCCACAGTTCCCCTCAACCTCTCCTCCGTCACCTTCTACATTCGACGCCACCATCTCTCCAGGATAGAACAACTCGAGTCCCTCCTCTCTGATAACTTCTTCTTCAAGTTTGTCCTCTTTCGGGTCGGCCTTAAACCCCAACACGTCTATTCGGTGCTTTGTCTAGTCTTCTTGTATGGGTGCCGGAGGTTGTATCGCAAGAGTGTTTATCTGACGACCAACCTTTGTGCGGTCGCTTATCCGGCTTATTGCTCTATCCGGACCATCAACAGCGAGCCGATCGCGCCGCCGAGAGAATTGGGGTTGGAGCCGACGGAGTATGCGCCGTTGACGAGTAGTAGTAGTCGGCACCATCGGCGTCGGAGCAGTATCTATAGCTCGGGGGCTAGTGTGAGGTCGGGCAAGAGGCGGTCGTCGAGGAGTTTGCATCGGATGGGGAATAGTAGCAGCAACAATATCTCGGGCGTTGAGGATTCGTCCTTGCAGGATGACAGCAACTCGTATAGCAGCAGCCAGGAAGACGATTATGGTAGTCGTCGGTCGATTGCGTCCTCGTGGGGTCGCCCTTCAGATTACTCCAACTACTCGGAGGATAACCTGACGACGACTAGTGGGTCGGCCATTCTCTCGATGACGGTTGAGGAGAAGATGAAGCAGCGGATGCGTCGACGATGGGCTCTGTTCTCTCAGACGAGGAAGGACAAGGCGACGAGGCAATGGCTGGCCTACTGGAGTATCTATGGAACGGTACAGGTGATCGATACCTGGTCGTCGTTCTTGCTCGATTGGGTCCCTGGCTATAACCTCGGCAAGCTACTGTTCCTCTGGTGGGCACAACGTCGGGGTGCGACCTTGGTCTTTGACTACTTCCAACCATTGATTCAGTCCAAATCCAAGGACGGCCGTGAGGTTGCCCGCAAGACGAGCACCCGCAGCCTCAACTCGGAAATGTCGCGTCAAGACCGACAGGGAGGTGGCTCGGGCAGCGGCGGCGGAGGAAATGCAAGTGGATCGGGATCGAGACCTGGAAGCCTTCAAATCCTTCCTTCGACCTTGGCCCATCAACAACAACAGCAACATCAGCAGTACCAACAACAACAGCCCCAATACCAGCAACAGCAATTTGAGCAACAGTTCTATGCCAACGGAGGCTCTCGCCGGGACACTGCGACGTTCCGGGAACTGAACCAGGGTCGCCATCGGGACGACTATGAAGATGATGATGAAGAGGACGACGAGGACGATTTCCATCATCTCCATCAACGCCAACAGCTTCTCCAACAACAGCAGCTGCAGCAACAGAGACAGCACAAGCAACAGCACCACCAAGGATCGCTGGACCTTCTCCGTGAGGGCATGACCAGCTCCCCCCATGACTCTGGCTCCTTTGCCGAGACTTCTCTTTTCGAGTCTGCCGAGAGTGTGTGGAGCGCACCCCCAGTCTCGACCGGGATCCAGGCCTCTGTGGAAGGTGGCGGCCTCGGAGGAGCTGGAGTCGTAGGCCTTTCTTCATCCTACACGTCATCGGCAGATCGTCTTCATAGCAACAACGCGACTCCTACACCTATGTCCGTTCAGGAACAGTACCATCTCCGCCAACAACTTCAAGTCCAGCAACAGCAGCAACAACAGCAGTCCTTGCAGAAGCAGCTCGCCATGAGCACTCAGGGAGAGGAAGACAGCTCTAGCAGAGACGGCGTCGCTGACAACAGTCTTCATTCCTACGCTGTTGCTTCGACCCACCATTGGAACCCCTCCTCGTCCTCCTCTACCGACCTTTAAGAGGTTGACACACTCTTTTGTATACCTTTTTTTTTTTTTTCTTTATCTAATGGTAGAATAATAAACTTTCGCCACATTTTTTCTTTGTAATACATTCTTAAACTTGATACATGCTGGTTTTATTATGATGTGTATTATTGATTCCCTATCCTTGCCTTGCCAACTCCAAGAGCTCCTCTGGAGGATGTCTAACATCATAACAAAAGTACAAAGACAATGAGCACATCCGTTTAGTACCCCCCCTTTCTTTCCTCATATCAACAGCCCTTTCAACACCGCCTTATACATACAAGTCTCCCCCATGTCATTTTTCACGTAAAGGGCAAAGAGAAAGAGAGACAGACCAAACTGAAAAAAAAAAAAAGAAAAAAAAAAAACCACAACTTACGATCGCAAAGACCAAACATCCTCAGAATTAGGCTGACTCTTCTTTTGCGCCCTCGAATCCGCATCCCGTTTCTGGATCATGACCTGGGCGACCTGCGAAGATTTGGTCTTGATGCTCAGACAGAACTTGAGATGGTCGTACCGTGCCGCACAGTCCTTGAATGTCCCGTACCGGTAGTAGTTTCTAATATTTGATCCCAATGCTGAAAAATTTGGAGGTATTAAACCATACGTAGGTGGAAATGCAAAAAGAAAAAGAGAAAAAAAAAAAAAAAAAAAGAGAAATGGGAGAATAAAGTCAGATGGAGCCTTGTCGTGTGAGACGATAAAGTGAGAAGAAAGGGAGGGAAGCAAAGAGAAGCAACCGAGGAAGAAAACGGCTGTCCCCCTCCTCCCCGTTTGCTTTCCAAATTCAACTGTCCTGGTATGTCCCGTCCCCCCCCCCCCCCGCTTTGTGATAGTTGAGCCATTGGACTTACAGGAGCAGGCGGCGAGCTCGTTCATAGCGTCAGAGACTTGGAACCGTGCATAGATATCGTCCGGCTGCTTGTACTCGTCAAACTCCATCACAGGCAAGTGAGCCGTGACAATAGGCGCTGCAGGAGCCACCTTCACTTCCGCTACTGGCTCTTCTGCTGCTGCTGTTGTTGTTGAAGTCGTTGCTGCCGTAGTTGTTGCTGCTGCGGGGGTAGTATCCTCCTGCTTGGGGTGCTCCACAGGTGTTGTAGACGATGACTTTGAGAACCAGCCCATGATTGTTGATCCTGATGTGTGATGTGTGATGTGTAACAGCGTTGAGTTGCGATCAGAACGAAACGTTGGAAAAAAAGTAAAGCTGCAGTCTCCGGGAAAGGCGACAAATGGAAGCAGTCACTTCGAAGTGAGCTAGGACAATGTTCTCAAGAGGTTTTATTTTACAGAAGAAAGTGTTGTTACAGTGAAGCGTCCTGTTCAGGTACGCGGATATGAAAGTTGACGATAGTCGGCTGTTGTTGCTGATGAATCACAGAGATGATGAATGGCTCGAACGGGTGTGGGATGAACTGGGCAAATCGCCGGCTTCGTGTTACTGATACTGCTGTTCCATTTCCTGTTCCTCCCCCGCCTGCCGTGGTAGCCCCAGTGTTACTGGGAGCACCGTTTATGTTATTTGTGTTGTTTGTGTTGGTGGTCGTAGCCGCGCTACCGTTGGCGCTGCCGTTGCTGATGTTGCTACTGCCGCTTCCGTTGCCGTTTGGACTCGGCTTGAACAGATGGATCTTGAAACGAAGTCCGCCGCTTCCGCGCAAGTAGAACTTGATCGGGACATCCTGATAAAGTTTTTGACTATAGTATCGAAGATATCAATGGAAGGTTGTTAGAACATCATCCTTCCTTGTGTCCGAACTACTATCATAGATCGCTCGTGAGATGCACGTACCGATCCAATGCTGAGATGAGTTTTTCGTCGTAACTAAACAAAGCCTGATCCAGATATGGGCTGTCACTGAACGACTGCGGGCTGTATGGTAGAACACAGAGCGATCGCTTCACCGCTTGCGCAGACCTATAACCAGAAACATCGAAGTAACGGAAGCGGTCGTAAGCAACATAATCCCTCTGCGAAACAAACATCATGGCTCAACAAAACATCTTGCCTCAACATACCCTCCGTTGCGGGCATTCCTCATCCCGTATTGTGTCTTCTTCAGATGATCCTTGGCATAGACGTTATTGGAGCAAGTGGATGAATAGTGGCGTTTGTCCTTTCCTGCAGTCGAGTAAGCGGTCGCACAGAACTGGTCCGCCCATGATTCATAGAGTCGAAGGAATTCCGTGGATGCATTGTCGTAAACTTGAAGAATCTCCGTCGTGTGAATGTCGTAGAACACAAAGAATGCTGTCTGATGTGAGCTGTCAGCCGGCTATTTTTTGAGGTAAAAGAAACGAGCGGCGTAAGTACAGTTAAGCGACTTGATAACTCCAGGCAAATATCGCGACATGCCTGAAAGATGAACGTTGAAAAAGTACCTTCCCAACAACGCAATCCAACTTCCCGAACTTGATGAGCAAGGTGGACTCGTCCAGGAACTGCATCCGCCACATGACCAAGCTTGCAAATTGCTGAAACGTAAGGTGAAAGTGTCGAAGTGCCGCCCCACTATCGCAATGAATAGAAGTAAGCAGTCAGCGATGCAATACTGGAGCCAAAACGCAAAATCCTGCATAAACAATGTTGAACGTACCCGTCATCCGCGTAGAATGCTTTCCGGAAGAGATACGCCAAGAGTCGCTGTTTGATGCCACTGAGGGTTTGAGAGTGCGGCTAATTAAATAGGACATACAAAGTTAGTCTTTCAGCGATAATGCCCTGAACTGCTTGCGAGATGCATAAGCCATTACAAAAGTTGAACGCACCTCGTCACACTGTGGTTGGCGAGCCGATTGTGCACTAAAACTATTCGCCGCGATGTTATGTTGGTTCGCTCGCGGAGACTGGCCATTCGTGTTGTTGGCTCCTGAAGGCACTTGGTGGTAGGTAGTTTCCGAAAGGGGTTCCATAGGTGACGCGTTGTTTGGCGCAAGAGCGAACGACTCGTGTCGATCCGCTGTCCTGGGATCATTCATATCTTCGTCCTTTGGACTGAATCCACGAAGATATGTGGAAGATGCTGCGGACATGCTGCTCTGTGCAATGTATTGTCCGTTGAAGTCTCTGTATTGCGCCAGCACCCATTCGTCGTCCTCGTGATTGAACCATCCTATCCTGTGCATGTCCACCAGCTTGCCATTGTTCTATGGTTGAGATATAGGATGCCACTGCGTTAGTTGAAACAATCTTTGGTAGGGGTGAATGAGGGTGTCAACAATTTGGTTCGCAAAGCATTCATCTGTACCTTGACGTGAATGATTTGAATGGCTTGGCTCTTGATCAACATGACTGCAAACAGCGAGTCGTAGAGACTCACGCCATAGTGATGTGCAATCATAATGTACTCGCGTGAGAACTCGCGCTTATCAGTGATCTATCACATGTTCACAAGAGAATGCAGTCTTTGTCAACAGGTTTGCCTATCTTCTGACGCGCTTGGTTGGTCATCTTTCAATGTCAAAAGGTAAATAATAAGTACCTTTCCAGTGGCGAGCTCAATGACGTAGAAGACGACGGTGTCCAGGTTGGAGATGCAGTTGAGGGCACATGGATAGGTGCGAGACTCTGAGGGTCCTGCTGTGGAAGGGGACACCGCTGCAACAATGATCTACATATGCGTAAGTGTAAATGGCACATGGGAACATAGTGTCAATGACTGGTATGTTTGTTTGTTGTTTGTGTGTTTGTTGGTATTGGTTTCCACATTCATTTGCGTCGCCGCTCTCTGCTGTGCAAATTAAGAATCGACTTACAAATCGACCATTGGCAGTCACCAGGCAAAAGTCCTTGTGGAGTAGCTCTGTGCCCCTCAGGACTAAGGTCTCATGCTTCAGTTCGAGGTAGTCCCCGAACTGCAATGACTCTGTAGGTCGCTCGTCTGGGGGTCCGCCGGATCCCTTGAAGCGGTAGATGTGCACTGCTCGTTGGTTCTTTGACATCCCTATCAGATACTTTGAGATTGAAAAGAAAATGTGGCGGGGGGTCAAACAAAAAAAGAGTTGTGATTAGAAATCCGAGTGGGGTTGTGAGTGATTTGATTGAATTATCCATATATAAAAAAGAAAAAAAAAAAAAAAAAAAAAAGATATTTAAAAATCAGAGAGCCATAAGGCATCAGCGCAACAAAGAATGAACAATGACAGGGCTTTATGTCTCTCTGCATCGTCTGTTTTGACGTGGTTGTTCAAAAAAAATATAAGTAAAAAGTTGCTTGTTTTGGTTGCTGGCTCGAAAAGAACATATATACCTGTCCGCAGGGTGTAAACTTCTTGAGGAACGAGTACTGGCAGTTGACTCCATGGAGAGTAGCGTTCGGGTATATGGACCGGTACATTCGCCGGGAGGCAAGAACAGAGCATTTGCCTCGATTCACTCCGAGTTCCCGTCCTCGCAGCGAAGTCAACAGTGACTCCTTGGGCCGGCGGTTGTGGGGGACGAAGGGGATGTTGTCATTAGGATCGAGTGACATCGCTATTTAACAAATAAACAGCGATGATATTCTGTCGTAGTTGCCACCTAGTGTGGGGCAAGGGTGGGGAGGAGGGGGAGTCAGTGTCAAGGCTATGGGGAGAGGAGGCGTGTTTATGAAGAGGTTGTGCGAATGAATATGAAGGATGAATGATTATGTGGGCAAGTGAGTGTAGGAGGTGATTAGGACTATGTTGGAAGGGAGTAGATGACAACGTTGAGCGAATGAAGACAAGGGAATGGGGAGGGGGGAAAGAAGGTAAAAGGGGGGAGGAGAGTGAAAATGACAAGGGAGCGGCTCGCAAAAAAGGAGGGAACAGGGAAAGAAAAAAAATTGGACTGCCAACGCTTTTGCCTTCGTTTGCTTGGCTAACTGATGGTGTGTGAACTCTCAGAGCGGAACGAGTGTGCGCTTTGGTCAACAATAAACAGGATGCCAAAAAGAGGAACAATAAAAAAAGAGAAAAGGGGGCAGACAAAAGGAAGGGTTGAATGTCATGTCAAAGCTCATGTTCTGGACAATGGGTCTTTTCTATCTGGCTGTTTGTCTGTGTCAAACGAATTCATTGGTAGCACGTAAAAATCGTTTGCTTATCGATTGCTTCGCCTTGACTCTGAGAACATGCACCCTCGCGATTGACCACACGACCATGCCTCTCCTTGATGATTTCTTCTCCTTTTGTTCTGTTGTTCTTTTTTCTGGTTTATTTTTCCAATGTTGCCGTTCCTTGTTACTTGACTGATGATGATTCTTGTCCAGAGGAATAAACAACAGAAACGAAAAAAATGACACTTGCTATGAGACCGGTCCCTTCTTCCACCTCGGCCTCTTTCTCCTCGTTCCCTCCTGTTCAAGACAGCAATTGCGTCTTTTTGGATGATATGTATGACAGGTCGGATCCAGTTCATCCTGCCTGACCCTGCACGTCCTCACTCTTCAAGATGTGAAGAAGAATGCTAGTTCCCGATCCTGTCAAGTGCCTCCAGAACAACAACACTGTTTCCACGGAGAACCTATCATACATCGATCAAAAAAAAGCTCAAACATTAGGACTGATTCAAAGATTATCAAACATCGCCACAAGACAATAGCACAACTCATGAAGGCAGCAAACTAAGTTGCAGATAGATCAACGCCTAATAGCACTTACAACCATGCCGATGGGGTTCTTCTTCTCGGGGTTGGTCTCCTCGACAGCCTCGTCCAGGACCAAGTTCATGAAGGGGTCAAATCCTCTGAGAACTCCTGTGACCTTTCTGTCGCCGTTCAGCTGGATGAAGACACGCTTGTCCATGTACCTATGATAGTCAGCATAGTAGGAAAAGACAGACAACAGTGGTCAGAAGGCTGTTCGAATCGCTTGAAAAGATTCGGCGTCTTGTGTGTAAAAGCTTTGCAGGTGAGGTCTTCTGCTGCGGTTGTTTGCTGTCCTTGCGCCGCACGCTCTGTCATTGCAATCGAGCGCCGTGATGTCTTTGTTGATCGTGATGCTTTAGATCCCTTCTTCTCCTTTGATGCGATCTGCCTCCAGTATCATATGTTTATCCCGCATCCTGTATCTTGGCCTCGTATTCGCTTTGTCTGGCTCAACATACTTCTTGAGTTCTGGTGTTGCTGCTTTTGACGACATGGCTGTGTGTGTTGTGTGTGTAATGTGTGAAGGATGCACAACTTGGAGGCGTCCAAAAAAAAGGCGTTTTTGGAAACAAAAAAAAGTGACGTCACGAAAAATCACAAAGGGCGCGTCTGATCTACGGATTCGATATCCATGCATGTGTGGTACATGTCACCATTCGGGGTCCTCCAATGCCTTGCCGCTCCTTCAACGGAGCTATGATACAACCTCGTGGCAGTTTAGCGCCTTTGTACTAATCGTATGTGCACGTCTTATTCCCTCTTTTCACCTGTTATTATTACTTTGGCAACTTTTGTCAGTACTTGACTCGAAAAAAAAGTCGTAGTAAGCGCCAAAAGGTGTGCTTGGATGCCTTAATTGGCCGTGCTATAGTGATAAAGTAGAGGACTGAACGAATGTATTTGTGGCAAAATGGGAGTGTCAATCCTTGGCCCCTTTCTTTACGGACCCATGTTCATCCTCCGGGCTGCCGTACACTTTTTTTGCCTGCCGTATATCCCCCCTCCGCCTTTAGTGGCGGGCCAAATTTTCATTCGATACCTCGATCAAACCGATCGGCCTCCTCCACAGTCCAACAGTAAACCGAACCTAATAATCATAATCAACGGCCTGCATACATCACACTCCTCCCTATTTTACTTTCTTCATTCTTTCATTCGCTCCATCTCTCTCTCTCTCTTCCTCATTCCTCCCATTCCCTCAATTCCCTCAACTACCCAGGAACCTCTCTCTCCACCCACTCACTCCTCTTCAAAATGCCAGTAAAACCAACCCCTGTCGGACCCTACAAGGCAATCCTATTCGATATCGGCGGCGTCGTCGTCGGGTCACCCTTCCAGGGCATCGCCGACTTTGAGCTCCAACACAACCTCCCCGTCAACTACCTCAACGTTGCCATGTAAATCTCTTCCTCCTTCCCATTGTCTTGTAAACATACAAACTCGCCGTCTTAGGGAACGGGTTATTCGTCTGTCAATTGTTAACTTACCAGATATCTCATTTTTTTACGGCACAAAAGTACGAGGGCGGGGCATAATGGCGCATTCCAGAGACTGGAACGAGGAGAGGTGGACCTGTGGTCGTTTTATGACGCCTTTTCGGATCAGCTCTCTGACCCCAGGAATGTAGCCGCCTACGCCAAATACGCTGAATTGCGTTCAAAAGGTAATTACCCTCCCCCTCCTTTAATTTTCTCAACCAATGTCAATTGACGAAGATGACACATCTCCCCATCATTAACCATGCTCCTATTAAACCTTCCATACAAATAGCCTTCGACGAAAAGTCATTCAAGGCTCCAAAGGTGGACGGCAGAGCTCTCTTCCATCAAATGATGTCCAAGGCCGCCGTCGTAAACCCCTACATGGTTGAAGCAATCGCCGCCCTCCGCAAAGCCGGATACACCGTCGCCGCCCTCACCAACAACTTCAACTACCCCTCTGACGAGCGCGGACAACGGGAGCAGGATCTCATCCTCAAGGAAACCGCGGATTCTTTCTTAACAGCAGCAAAGACTACGGCTGGCACAAAGGGACCAGGAGCAATCGTGATGGGCCAGGATCAATTGAAGACGTTGTTTGACCATTTCATCGAATCGGCCATCTTGGGGCTGAGGAAACCGGACCCTGCGATTTACAAGAAGGCTGCCGAAATTGTTGGATTCAAGTCTGAGGAGATTGTGTTCTTCGACGACATTGGCGCAAACCTGAAGGCGGCACAAAATGAGGGTTGGACTACTATCCGTGTCCTCTTGGGTAAGCCAAGGCAGGCGATTGAACAACTCGAGTCCATCTTGGGTATCACTCTCCTTGCTCCCGAGTCCAGACTTTGAACCAATCATGTTTTACCAATAAACAAATGGTTTATTTATCTATTGGTGATGTGCTGCCTGGTGTCCAGCGTTGGTCTGCTTAGTCGTAAGAGGCGTTCAAAAAGTCCAAAAGACTGCCGCGGTTCTTCTCCCGCTTCTTGTCCTCGCTTGACTTGGCCACTTTCAACTTGAGCTAACATCAATAGTGAGAAGGATTGACATGCATTAATTTGACAACTCTTTAGAAGAATAGAACAACTGCCTCAATTCAATGGTAATGACTGCCATAAAATGTACCTTTTGTCCGGTGATGGCGCTTCGAGGGTTGTCATCAGAATCACTGGACGAAGAAGATCGGCGGCGATGGCGCTTGCTCTTGGACTTTTTCGAGCGAGATCGGGAAGGTGACCGAGATCTGGATCGAGACCGGGATCGGTGGCGCTTTTGCTTGCGACGCTTCCTGTCACTCGAACGACCTAATTGAATATGATGTAGCGATGTTTAGAAGTAGTTCCTATAAAAATATCTCTCTTGGTAATAACACATGGCAAATCTCGACTTCACGACGTACTCTCCAGGTCACTGTCGCTATCGCTGCTCACAGATCGACTCCTGCTTCTGCTCCTGCTACTGCGACGACGCGATGACGACGATGAAGATGATTTCTTGTCCCGGTGCGAATGCGAGTGTGAACTGCGATGATGGCGGTCCTTAGAGGTGTCAAGTCGAGAGGTGGATTGACGATCCCGATGGCTCGATGTTTCTGATCTCGAAGGCGAGCGTGTTTTGGACTGAGGAGACCGAGAACGGCGGCGATCATGGTGACGGTCACGGCCTGAACGAGAAGATTCGCCCCTGTCTTCCCTCCTGTCCTTAGAACGCGAAGAGTCGTCCTTACTCTCCCTTCTGTCCTTGGAACGAGAAGACTCGTCCTTGCCTTCCCTCTTGTCCCTGGATCGAGATCGATGGCGACGCGCTGTAAATGTTTCGCAGGATCAAGAGGATATTCGATCCAATTGAGATAGTGTTGGCCGTCATTCAGAGCAAGGGTTCAAATAGATCCTCGCAATGAGTTGTTGGAGGTAGGCCGGTGGATGATGAGAGAACCGTTTTTCCGCGTGTCAGCCAGTGTGAGAGTCCAATTGAGGGGAAATCCGCGCAAAGGAAAAGAGCGAGAGTGACAAGATGATATATAGAGAGGAGAGAAAAGAAAAGGCGAAACGAGAGAGAGAAAGTGAGTTCTCCTGTGACGCATAACCATTGCATCACACCGACCAACTGTAGTCAAAACATCAAAGCGCAGCATTGAGTGAAAAAAGACGCCAAGGTTTTACTTACAAGGAGAACGCGACCTAGAGTCGTGACGGGGTTCCCTTTTCTCTCGACTGTTGTTGCTCTCTCGATCTTCACGGCGGTCGTCCCTACGGTCCCTTGAGGGGCTTTTGCTTCTTCTTCTGTGTTCACCCATGATGGCGGCGTCCTATAATGTGACAAGTGTACGAGATGGAGACATAGTTGATTAGCAAACTTGCTTTCTGTTTGTTATTGTTGAGTGTGAGCCCTGTCCTTGTTGGATGGGGGAGATGATCTCTTTGGTGTGTGTTGGTCAAGGTTGTTTCTTACTTTGCTGAATCTCTGCTTGCTTAGTTGGTTCCGTCCTGTGTGTTGACGTTATATTGGTTTAATCGCTAGTTGGTAACTTGTTACAGCTGCTTCCTGATTGCCGTCGCTTGTCCTGAGCAAAGCGGATGTGGTTGGTGGGTGAGGTAGAAGAGTAAAAGGGGAAGATCACTCGCCGCCGTCTTTCGTCTTTGTATGGTGCAGAAATATCCACGTGATGCCATGTAGAAAGAAGAACAAGTGCGTCTACGGCCCCGCGGTCGTTTTGAAGGTATTCTTTTTTATTCTTTTCCCTTTTTGCCTTTCGCCTTCCTTTTCCTTTGTTCATTCCTTCTCCCTTTCCCTTTCACACTTTCCTTCTCACGCACTCAACACACAATTCGCCACCATGAGCTCATCTGCCTCGCAAACACCCGCTAAATCCCCAAAGCTCAGACGCATCGCTCTCTTGGGATCCCGAGCTGTCGGTAGGTCCGCCTTGTCGCCATGTCGTCGACAACTCTAGTTTTATGTCTTCTTTTTCTGCTGGTACAAAATAGAATACCGAAAGCTCCGGGTACAAGAAAACGACAATGCGAACAGGAAGGACACTTGGACGGAAAGGAGGCGTACTCACAGCACACAGTCCGTTCTTTTCTGCCTTGGATTCGACACACCTGCAACCAAGACGACCTCTCGTCAGTGCGGAGAACTAGAGCGCGGGGGAAGAAAAGAGGGGTGATAGAATGCTTGGACGAACCAACCAACGAACTGAGATCAAAGAAAGACAACAAACATTCGACCTGCTATTTTTCCTCCCCTTTCCTTTCCTCCTCCACCTTCGCCCTTATGCCGCTTCTTCAGAACACCCCCATCTCGTCCACTTCACCTTCAGCCTTTTCCTTTTCTTCCTCTTCTTTCTCGTAACCCCCTTGCAGTGGAGGGGCATTTGAGCACACCAACCAATGTGTGTGGGGAAAGGAGGACGTAAGAAGAATGCAGAGGATATGCTTCATCTATGCGATGCCGAGACACTCGTCCCTTCTCTTTCTCCTTTAAAACAAAAGAGAAACAACAAGAGGTGGTCGTGAAATCGACGGGATATTTATGCTTCTTGTGCGGGATGTATGCCCTTTGCTCGGATCGGCGTGGGTCCATGGTAGGAAAAGAAGGCGCGGGCGAGCAGATCGCAATAGATCGTGACAAACATAAACAAACATTGCCCTTTTGGATCCACTTTCGGCAGATGCACCTAGTTGACATGTGTGCCTATCGTTATCATTACCTGTTGCACTGGTTATTTCCTTTCCACTTACCTCTGTATTCTTCTTTGCCAACCGTTTCGTGAGCGTGGATCATTGTTCTGTCATCTTTTCACTTTGTTTCTTTCTTTCTACTGTCTAAAAAGCCTGTTACTCAATGGATTATAGTACGAAAAACTAAACAATGTGTCCCTTTCTATCTTTATTATAGGCAAGTCATCGATGACGATTCAGTTTGTTGAGAATGTCTTTGTGGACTCCTATTACCCTACGATCGAGAATACCTTCACTAAGCCCATTAGCCATCAGGGCCAAGAGTACCAGGCCGAGATTATCGACACAGCAGGACAGGTAAGACCTTTGGGGAGCTGACTGAATGTGGGTGCTGACTTCAAGAGGGGGGACCCGTTAAAGTCAAGGGAAAATGCCGTTCTGTTCACATGGACCACTTTGGATTACCCCACTTCTCTGGTGACCATCGTGATCGACTTTTTATTATTGAAACCTTTTTTCTTTTTAACGAAAATGTCTGAACGGAAGGGACAAATGAAAACGAAACAAAAACAAGGGCACTCTTTCACTTTCTCTTAATATCAAGGACGAATGAAAAGCAAAGTGAACCGGGTGAAAAGAAAAGAAAAACGAGGGCACTCTCTGCTCCTATTCTTTCAATAGCAAGGACATACCAACAACGAAAAGAGATAAAAAAAAAAGCCATGGGCATTTTTTCCCTGTCTATTGACATCGACCCTTCATATTCTTTGTATTAACTGACTTAATGCTCACTCTGAACGCCGAAATGTAGGACGAGTTTTCAATTTTCAACGGAAAGCATGCGCTCGATATCCACGGTTATATCCTGGTCTACTCAGTGACGAGCAAGCTGAGCTTTGACATGATCAAGATTATTCGCGACAAGATTTTGAACTACACTGGAACCGACTGGGTGCCCATCGTAATTGTTGGCAACAAGAGCGATCTGCACGGACAACGCCAGATCTCTACCGAGGAAGGCGAGGAGCTTGCCGCCCTGTGGAACTGCCAATCCTGCGAGACCTCTGCCAAGCACAACGAGAACATCGGTACGCTCCTCTACTCTTTCTCACAGTCCCTTGCAATTTTTTCTTGTTATCGTGCCTGTTTGAATGTGCGTGTGTTGTATCTATCTATCTATCTGTCTATCAATCTAGGATGATAAGCAATGCGTGTGTATGTATGTCTGTGTGCTGACCGTGTTTGTTTTTTTGTTCTTATTTCTTATCCGTAATCCATGATGAACCATGATCCAATGAATCTACATGGACATAGGACGTGTTTTTGAGTTGATGATTGGCGAGATTGAAAAGTCGACCAGTGTGCCAGAAGAACCCAAGAGCGAGTGCATCATCCTTTAAAGGGAGCCCTCTACATACTAGAGCTTACCGACATGCCGAACAATAACAACAACTGCGCCTACGTTTACGGATACGGCTATGAGAGAGACTACGGACAGACGGCTTTGTCTGACAAATACACCGGGTTTATCCCAGGAGACACTGCACATTTTGAAGCGCAGGTGCATCCTTGTTTACAACCCATACACCCTACTCATACAGAATAAACAACATCATCATCGTCAACAACAACAAACTCCTCCTTCCAAAAACCCAAATAAGTACATCCAAGTACCTAATGAAGCAATGGGGTGCATATGTTGTGTTTTTAGCATTTCTTGTTATCTATGATGATGAATGATGGTGATGATGATGATTTTCTGCTATCACTCGGTGTATGATATGTATGTATATGTTGCGTGTGATATGTGTGAGATTGGGAGCAGCGATAAGTTAAGGAGGTCTCATATGTTGCATCGGGTACGACCTGAAAAAGGAATGACCCTTGTAATCAACGCTGAGAGGGATATGAATAATGGGTTTGACGACACAACCTGAGCTGCACACCTGCCTGCACACCTGCACACAGGCCTAATGGCCCGATCAACAGTCACGCTCGAACAGGTCAATGCATAAAACCAAGGGAGGCGTCTTTTTTCTTTCCTCTTTCTTTTTTTGTTCTCCATCCCCAACAACACCAAGTCTCTCTTTCCCCTAACAACAACCAAACCTTCCCACGCTTCATTCACCATGACCATTAAGATCGGTATCAACGGGTAAGCTTACCTCTCTCTCTCTCTCCCTGCTTCTTTTCTCTCCCTGCTTCTTTTCTCTCCGCATACCCTCGCCGCTTCTTCTCGCGACACAGCTCACATACGCGCACACAAACACATCATCCCTTTCAATCTACTCACGGCTTCATCCTCTCTCCTCTCCCTCAATCATACTCGTTCACACATACTCAACAATATTCATTTCCTTTCCATCCCAATAGTTTCGGACGCATTGGTCGTCTTGTCCTCCGCGCAGCTCTTGCCAACAAGAACGTCGAAGTCGTCGCTGTCAACGATCCCTTCATCGACCTCGACTACATGGTAAGCTTCTTTTCTCCATCGTCAGGATGATGCCTATGATATTACGCAATAGCAATGTCATATTTCATATATACATGCTTTCTCCAGGACTCTTAACAATGCATTTATAATCCCATTGCGGTTATCGAACGTACACTAACTTTTCTTTCCCTTCTCTACTGACCTGTTGGAAATCTCCACCTACCTCCACCTTTTTTTCTCTTCTCTTTCTTGTCTGGTATGACATGGAATGGGCTGGATAATGAACATGTAGGTCTACATGTTCAAGTACGACTCTACCCACGGTCGTTACAAGGGTCATGTTGAGGCCAAGAACGGACACCTCATCGTCGATGGCCACAAGATTGCTGTCTTTGACAAGTACGTATCGTTAATTCTCCTTCGATGCTCAAACGATCCAAACTCAACCCAAAATATTATGCACAGACCCGTAATATTCCTCAAAGGAAAGGCGCTTCTTTCAAAACATGCTCCATGCGCTGCTCTATGTCTCCTCCCCGTCATGCAAGAAGTAAAACACCAATTTACTAATGGCCTATCTGTTTCTATTACCCTTCCGTTTTCTTTTCGTTCATCGCTCCCTTCAATGAAAACATCTAACAGGCGCAGCCCCGATGAGATCCCCTGGGGTGAGAAGCACGCCGAGTACGTCGTCGAGTCGACCGGAGTCTTCACTACCATCGAAAAGGCCTCGCTCCACTTGAAGGGCGGCGCCAAGAAGGTCGTCATCTCTGCCCCCTCGGCCGACGCCCCCATGTTTGTCTGCGGAGTCAACCTGGATGCCTACAAGCCCGAGTACAAGGTCGTCTCGAACGCCTCCTGCACCACCAACTGCCTCGCCCCCCTCGCCAAGATCATCCACGACAACTTTGGCATCACCGAGGCCCTCATGACCACCGTCCACGCCACCACTGCTACCCAGAAGACCGTCGATGGTCCCTCGGGCAAGGACTGGCGTGGAGGCCGTGGTGCCAGCGCCAACATCATCCCCTCCTCGACCGGTGCCGCCAAGGCTGTCGGAAAGGTCATCCCTGATTTGAACGGCAAGTTGACCGGTATGGCCTTCCGTGTCCCTACCCCTGATGTCTCTGTTGTTGACCTGACTGCCCGCCTGGCCAAGCCTGCGACCTATGAGCAGATCAAGGCTGTTATCAAGAAGGCTTCTGAGAACGAGATGAAGGGTATTATGGGATACACCGAAGATGATGTTGTCTCGACCGACTTTATTGGTGATACTCACTCGTCCATCTTTGATGCCAAGGCTGGTATTGCCCTTTCGGACACCTTTGTCAAGCTGGTTTCGTGGTACGATAACGAGTACGGTTACTCCACCCGCTGTGTCGAGTTGATCGAGTTCATGGCCTCCAAGGATCACCACTAAATCCTTTTTTTCTTTCTGGATGGATTCGACCTACGACAACCAACTCGACAAGTCAACAACTCAACAAAAAAAAATGGATCTGTACATTTGTGTAAATAGTCAATAGCAACAAAAACACAGGAGGGTATAGGAGAAGTGACAGAAGCGTAGCATTTTTTCATTGCGCTTCCTTTTTTCTTTTCACTTTCGAACCTGAATAATAAAAAAAAAAAAGTTCCTCATGGGCATTTCATTCACGTCTCTTTCCTTGTTTCTCATGAACGCGTGTTGATGTTTCTTTCTGTCCCCTCATGTTTCTTTCTGATTCATCGGATTCACTGCCAGAGTGGTCAAGTTTGGTTCAAAAGATTTGGATGAAGGTGTTGTTATTATTGGGAGGGAGAGGTTGCGGGGTGTTCAGCTGAACGTCTAAGATAAAGGTCTATGTAAATGAAGTTGCTTTAGGCACGCGATTAAAGATGACAAAAAAAATGAAAAGAGAAAGAATGCGTCGAAGGGAGGTATGAACAGAAGGAGAGGGATGAATAGTGTGAAGAAGTAGTGTGTGAGGGAAGGGGGGTGACGCGCTTAGATCAAAGTGATGTGAATATCGCCACTCTGGTTCTTGCACATAACAAGCCCATTCCCATGGCCAATAACTCCAATCACTTCACGAGTATTCACAGACTCCTTATCCTTCTTGCCCAAGTCCGACGACGACTTTATAGTATGGACCGACCGCGTCTCCGAGAAGGAACCGTGCAAGGATCCATCGCGAGAGTTGGTTCCTGAGGCGGGGGGCGAATGGTGATGGTGGTGGTTGGGGTACTGGGAGCCGTTGTGGGGGTGGTTGAGGTAGGACTGTTGGTGACGGGGGTCGTCCCGGTCCCAGGTTGCAGGATTGGATTTCGTCGGTGTGCTGGGTGCAGTGGTGCTGCCTTGGGAGGACGTCCGGGAGGACATAGCGGTCGACTGGTGGTGGGTTGAGGACCCCGAAGAGGAGATGGAGGCGGCAGAGGTGGTCAAGTTGGGCGTCGACTGCTGCTGGTTATGGGTATGGTACCGATCACTCAACGAAGGGACAGAAAGGGTAGCGCCCTCAAGGACCTCAAACTCGGGTTCGTCAATCACAATCTTGCCGTAATGCGTCCGGGCTTCGATCCTGCCCTGGTAGTTGCCAGACATCTTGATCCGTGTAGGGCCTCCAAAGTTGATAAAGTTGCCTAGGAGGCGTTGCTCCTTGTTGGCGAGCAAGATCTTGACATCCAAGGGCTGGCACTGCGTCTTGGCTTCGACAGTGAAGGGTCCAAAGAGATCAGTCCCATCGACATCGACGCTGACGGGGTGATGCAAGGTCGCACAGATGACCTTGGGAGCTGGCTGCTTCTCATCCGTGTTCAACAAATGAATCTTGGACGTGATCTTTCCCGATCTCGCGGTCGCGAACAACCTCGCCACCGAATACTTTCCCTGGATCCCTCCCGAGATGGTATTCTTAATCGTCGCAATCTCTCCATAGAAGCTCTCAATCGTCACATCCCCCTTCGCATTCACGATCGACAAGTTCTTGATGAAGGTATGCGAGATATTTCCAATCGACAGCTCAATGTTCGTCCCCTGGATCGCAAAAGACTCGAGGCTGTCGAGGTGTCGAGGAATGGTGACGAATACTTGGAAGGTAACGGAGCGTTCGAGCCTTTCTTCAAGGGGAGTGTGGATGGTGTAGGTGTATTGGTTGCCGTCTTGGACGGGTTCGAGGGCGGCGGCGTTCTTGAGGATCGACTCCTTGGCTTGGACGCTTGTCCGGATCTGGATCACGTCTTCGTTCCCGCTCAGAATTGTGATCTCGCCCTTTTTTTTAATTGGAGAATGTTGAAGGACAGAGAGAGAAAAAGAAAGTTAGATGTTTGAATCTTGTCAAAAAAAAAATGGCTTGGTTTGTATAGAGTGAAGAGTGAAGAGGGGTGTGGAAGATGGCTCTCATCATTGGACATAAAAATGGGAAAGAGAGAAATAGAAAGCTCAATAGGGACGTTCTGTGGGCGGGGAGCATAAACGGTAGACGAGAAAGGTTGATGGGAAGACAGAACGAGAGAAGGGCTCATATCAATGAACCACACGAGAAGAAAGAGGATGGCTGACTATTGTCACCACCCCATCGCAGCCAGTCAAAAGTCACCCAGTCTGAGAAGGTTACCGCACGATAGAGTGTGGATGGAAAAAAAGAAGAAAAAGAAAAAATGACAGAACAAAAATAACTTTTATGTCAAACTGTTTGTTGGCCGTCGGTATTATCGTCAAATGCCATTTCGCCAATTGAGGAATGAAATGAAAAGGAAGAGTGCAGCCGCACCTTCCCTTCATTACGATTGAAAAAGGAAACGAAAAATTTAAGTAGACGATATGAGAGAGCCTAGGGAAACAAAAAAGGGAGCAAGGACCAATCGATGCTATGAGTGCTGCTGCAATGTCAGCACCTACTCAGCACAAAAGCTGACCAGACCCACAGCCAGCCCAAAAAAATAATGTGATCGTAACACAAACGGGTTCTCTCATTCGTATCCGACAGTAAGAAAAATAAATATGAGCTTTCCCAGGATCAGATTGAGCACCATATAGTAATATTGCTGGGGGTGAATTGTAGGGAAAGGAAAGAGGTGGGGACTAGGGCAAGAGTGGGGAAGTCACAACAGCAAGCAGCTCTCTTTACGCCCATCATGTAGCCAAGGAGAGGCATATGCAAAATTACAAGACATCAAGAGAAAGAGAAGGAAGGCTCAGCAAGAGCCAGCTTGTAGTTCGATCACATCGGATGTGATCGGTTGAGAGGCAATGTCTGATATTTTGATGTTGTCGTTCCTGCTGATGGTTTGAGAATGGGGAACGTGCTGTGTGTACGTGTGTATGGTTCCTGAGGTGATAAAAGTGGGTGATGGGCGGAGGTGAAACGGTCAGTTGAAGGGCTTTGTTGGTCTTACCTTGGCGAGACCGACAACGTTGATGGCAATGTTCGAGCAGAGCTCGGCACTGATCTGCACATCCTCGTTCTCGAAATGTGCTGGAAGGAGTGGTTTGTTGAAGAACCCCATATTATTGGACGTATTTGTATGTAGTTGAAGGGGAAAGGGAAGAGGGAAGGTGGGTGATCAAGAGATGTACTCAAGTGTACAAGGGTGCGCGCTTGGAGAGAGAGAGAGAGAAAGAAATGCAAGGAGAAGAGGATGAAGGAGATTCGATGCTAAGTGAGTTACTGAGAGAAGGGAGGAGTGAGTAAGCGAGAGGGATATTAATGAGTGATGGAGTGAGAAGCTGGCGGATGGAATGCTGGTGGTGGTGAGAGTGTAGTGCGAGCCCACGTGGGAGAGTGAGAATGAAAGATGAGTGTAAGGAGGAGGGTATAAGGAGAGAATTATGAAGAGAAGAAGAAGAAGAAGAAGAGAAGAAAGTGAAGAAGGGAAAAAGAATGAGAGGGGAGAGGAAGAAGTAGAAAAAGAAAAATATGTAACGACTCCTTTTTTAGAGTTCTGAAGGTGCAATTTCACCCGCTCGCTGGTTCTCAATCTTCTCTGCCTCTTTCTTTATCCATATCTCCCTTTTGTCATTTCATTATCTTATTTCACTACGCAATGAGGTCGTTGGTTGATGAGGAGGTTCAATCATAAAAATTAGGTCCAAATGGTCCGACACACAACACACGGCTCTGTCCTCAGCCTTTTAGTGTCACTGACTGACTGTGGTTTTGCGACCTTTAGTGAAACGAAACAAATCTCTTTGTTGACCGGTGCAGAAAAAACAAAACGAACAACAAACAAGGGGATCCACTGGTTTGTTTACTTGATCGAAAGTGAATTCATTTATCCTATTCATCCGCCCACTCGCTTTGTAATCCCCCTGAAATTCCCTTCGAACTCTTTTTTTTTAACCCTTCGATCAACTCTTGTTCTGCCCCACATCCATGAAAGCGTGTTTTTGCTTCTTTATTCCCATCAACCCAAATGCCGCTTATTTAGTGCGCCTTGATCAGCTCTTCCCTCCTTTCCTTCATTCTTCCCTTCTGGGTTTCGTATTGCTAATGTGCAAAAAAAATGCAATAGCTAATAGATCTGAATTCAATCAAAATGAACGTAAGACCACCAAAAGAGAGAAAGAGAATAGCAAAACGGCGTAAGCTGTGAGCGGAAAGTAGAGTGGAATGAAAAAAAGGCCACGAGTTCAAATAAGAAAGTCGAGGAGGCGTCGACGACTATCTAGGCCCTCTCTCTCTTCACCTCTTGGCTGAAGCGCGAAAAAAAAAATGTACTGTGCCTGATCAGGAATCGATTCTCTTGCCTCTCATTGTTCTAGTGCCCTTCCACTCATTCTTCCCTGTGCTCTCAAGAAAAAAAAATGGACCAAACAACTGGCCATTCAAAAAAAAAAAGGTCGGTCTTGGAAAAACCAAATATGGCTTCATTCACAGGTTAATCCATCGATTAACATAGCTCATTTTCCTGCAAACAGAAATGGAGGCTTCCATGGACTTGTTCTTGTCAGCCATGCAGGAGGTCAGCACCCAAAGCTTGATCCTTGTTCGACTCTCTCTCTCTCTCTCTCTCTCTCTCTCTCTCTCTCTCTCTCTCTCTTTATTTTGTTGGCGTTGGAGAAGGAGAAAGAAGAGAGTGAACAGAAGGAAATCTGAATCTCGACTCGTTCGTCTTTTTTTTTTTTTTTTGTTCACTGTTGCCGGTCGGGAATATATTACGCCGCGCACGGTTGGTGTTTCCCATTGAACATTTTTTGCTTCTCCGTCAGTTAGTCCCTCGTCAGTACAACCATGGGCAAATGTACTCTTTTTAACTGCCATAAATGTACTCGTTTCTCTCTCTCTCGCTCTGCAACAACTTTGTGGGGTGGAAGAATGCATAGCAAACTGATAACGGACGCAGAATACTATCCGCGCCTTCGTTCCTGGTGCATGGTGCCCTGGCTGCTGTATAATTCACATTTCTAGTCAATACACGCCACTTCCATCCCCATGCATCCAAGTAGCCAAACCCCCCTCCCCCTTCCCAATGCCCTCATTCCTGCTGACACTTGCACCCTCCATTCCGCCTCAGTCTCTCGAGGATTGGCTTTGTCGGCATTGAAAAAAAATGTCGAATGGAGAACAGGTCGGTATCATTCCTGCGCCTTTGATTTTTTAAATAGAATCGTGCGCGCCTTTCCCTCTTACGCCACTATCCCTCTGCCTCATCTTTCCTATCTCTCTCGCTCTTACTCTCCCCTCTCTGTCAGCAAAGATAACCATGAAAAAGGAAAACAATGACGAGGCCAAGAAGAACAGAGAGGGGTAGAGAGGGAAGGGAGGAAGGAAGGAAGGCGATTCGACCTTTTTCTTTGTTGGCTCAGTGCTCTCAAAGGCAATTTCTCCTCAGCTGGGAAAAAATAACGATCACACACCCAACCACACAACGCGCAACTAATCCTCCCTTCAGTTCCTCGCTTGAAAGGAGAAAAAAGAAAAGGGTCCAGGCACCACTTTTCTTTCTCAACAAAAAAAAAAAAAAAAAAAAAAAGGCTCCATTCGCTTCAATTGAGCGCAACGTGCTCTCTCATGTAGCCATGCCCTAATAAAATATCCGATATGCACAACCACGTAACCCTCATTCGTACTGCACGAAATGTGCGATAAGAAAACAGAGAATAATCCCTGTCGTCTTTCCAACTTTTTTTTTCCTCCCCTTACTTTCCCACAATCCAAAACGAGATGATCAATCCTCTGTTCTGTCTCCTTGTTTCGATATATCGATTGGGCGTAAACCTCTATTTCTCAGGAACAAGAGGAAGGGAAAAAAAAAAAAAAAAAAAAAAAGAACTGACCACAAAACGACATAACAAATGGTTGGGTCCCCACCTTTCTAGCGCGCCTGTTATTTTATTTTATTTCGTTTGGCAAGTAAAGCTGGGATCGAAAAAATAAAAATTCAACATTGGGGCGGCGATTTTTTTTTTCCCTCTAATAATTTCCCATGACGGCCGACCACCCCTCTCTACATACCAACGGTTCTCCTGTCTTTGAAGTTTGTGAACACAATTAAAAATTGTTGGACCAGCTCCGCCAGCAGGAGCAAAGCCCCCTTCAACCACCTGGGATGGAGGGAGAGGAGGGGCGGGCATGACACCATAGCCTTTTTAATCTCTTCCATTTCATCTCTCTTTACATTCATTCTGCTGCTTAGATATCTTTTTACTGTTAATTTTTATTCACTTTTCTCTTTCACAGCCGTTTGCAAATGTTCTTGGAAATTAATATATTATGAATTATGATGCTTAGTTGGCAGAGGGACGAATGCGCCCGGCGGTAGGTTGAGGACGCAAGGAAAGTGTCCGGGTCCCAGTAGGAGGCGGCTGTTGTTGCGAGAGGTTCGGCGAGGTGGGCGGCGTCTTGAAACTGCTGGAAAGAGACAATCGCTCAAAACGCTGCGATTTCGTCGCTGCCCCATTTGATCCTACCGCTGCTGTAGTCTCGTGCTTGGGTGAAGGCGTTCTTTGTGGCGACATCCCAGCAGACAGCAACGACGACGTTGACGAGGATGGCGACAAAGTAGCTGTCATGGACGAAGAGGAAATGAGACCAAAGTAAGATGCAGCACCACCCCTGCTTCCAGGGGTAGCAGCAGCAATGGCGACATCAGTCATGGGAGAAGTCGAGGCCGAGGCCGATGCCGAGGTGGGTAAAGATCCTCCTTGCGACAATAACGAAGACTGTGAAGATTTGGATCTCAGCGAATGGCTAGAGCTTACAGAGACGGTCGACGCCGAAGAGGTCTCTCGCCGGTGGGGAGCAAAAGAGGAGGAAGAGGATGGTCCAATCGGGGTATTTTCTTGCTCAGCATTAACGCTGCGACTGCTATTGCTCTTGTTGTCCTTGGACAGCATGTCCAACGGTGACCCGGGGCTAGTCGACCGAGAAATGGGCAGAGTATTGGACCGCCGGCTCGCTTCCAACGACCGTGTCGACGCCGGTAGAGGTTGCCTTGATTGCTGAGGCGTTGTTGTTGTAGTTGTTGTTGTTCGAGACGGTGGCGCAGGGATTGGTGAGATCGCGCGACCCATTATTTGGACCGTCTGACTACGAGTTGGGGCTGCGATGACTGGTGTAAACTTGGCAAACACCGTCTCGTTGACATGTCGGTTCTCGATCTCCTTCTGAAGTGTTTCGAGATAGGGGAGTCCTTCGTACATAAAGCTTTGCTCGTGTTCTATAGTCACAAAATGAAATTGTAACACATTGTTAGCACAATTGCTCTTTCATGTTGCATGTAACTACACTTCGCATTTGTTTGTTGGCTGATAGTTTTTTACCTTGTTCGAATTTGATGATGGCATTGAGCAATGTGCTTTCGAGCTTCAGCAATGTTGGATACGCCCTCCGACGGAACTTTTCTTCCTCGACAAGTTGAAAGGACGATTGGAAGAGTCGCTTGGGGTCACGCGCGGTCTGCTCAAACGCGATCATCCTCTATTATCCGCACAAGCCAACAACAAACATCACAAGAAGTTAGAATGTGTTCGAAGCATAGAGAATGGCTGTTGTTCACTGTACGCCATCGTAAAGCCCTTGAACATGATCCAAAAAGTTACCTCGATGTGGTTGCTTCGAGTCATCATGAGTTTGTAGACTGGTCCCGACTTGGAGTACCGTGTACGGCAGCTTTCGATTTCAAGTTGTAACCGTTCCATTTTTTCTATGTAAGTCACATCTATACACATCAAGACAACGTTCGTTAGTTAATGGCTCAAAGCAATTGATGGGATCCTTAATGATGACTGTAACAATAAGGCCGTACCTTCGTGCTCAATTGCCTCTCGGAAGCGCTGTCGTTCAAGATCACCGACAAAGCACTGGTCCCAGACCAACGTTAACGCAGCCCAGCGTTCTCCTGAGTGATAGAGTTTCCGTGCCGCCAGCTCCAACTGTAGTGATTTCAGCTCTCTCCCCAACTATCAATCGAACAACAAACAAACACAAGCTACAGTTAAACTCGTGATGTTACACGCAAGTACACCACACAAAAACTCTCTTGGTACACAACGCGTCACAAAAACA